TTAGTACCTGTACTATAATCTCACAGGTAGCCCGATAATATAGATATTGCACCAATGACTTTTCTAGCATTGCATCGCAGCTTTCCTGAACATGAGTGGTCGACCATTCCAAGTCTACCTCTGCCTACACACTTCAGAAACAATATCGCAAATAACTATGGACCAGAAGCACTCCATCCCATAGTCCAATCTACAGCTTCCTAACCCTTCAATCAACCTCACATTCCCATGACAAATCTAAAAGCCATCAAAATATACACCCACCTATTATCCAACCCCATTACTCACTCATCTCACTCACACTAACTCTACACTCCTCTCCTCCGAAATCACCCGCAATGTAGCATCAAAAGCCTCCCCTCTCCCGGCCCTTGCCGATCCGAGGTTGGCAGCGGCCAAGAATACGTGGTTCGGACTGACGGACCGGCTCCACTAGTAGCTCTAGCCCCTTTCGTTTCCCCACGGCTAGATAGAACTAGACAATGCTCAGCCTCTTGCCGATCGGGGATCGTGTCGGAGAGTAATATTCCGAGAAACGGAGAATAGTTTTTATCGGTTCATAGTACGGGTGTTAGTGGAGGTATTTGTCACTGAATATAGACTATTTAAGGTTACGCTTGATAGTTGCGGAGTGTGGGTATTTCCGTATGCCGGGGGTTTTATGCTGAGATGTGATGAGTGGAAGAGAGTATAGTCTGGAGGTCGGATTTATGCTGAGAGACAGTTTAGGCCTTAATGCTGACTATGGTGTGGATGCGCTATAAATTCCTGGACTTTGTCCCCGCTGGAAAGTAATTGTGACAGATTCAGTTCAACTTTTCGTTCGGCAACTACGGGGGTGGTTGGATATAGTGGTCTTCTGTGACCGGTATAGAGCTATTTGGTCGATTTGGGATTGGTATTAATGATATACTTCAACAGCATTATGATTCATAGGAGATTTGTCAACCAGGGAATCTCAGGAACATAAACATGAAGTTCACTCTACATCGAGATTCTTGGTGAGTGGGAGAAGGATATTTGTAAGAACGACGTAACCGTTCGAAATTGTTATCTTCCTTGAATTGATACTATCCATAGCGTCCAGATTGTACAACTACTATCTATTGACTGTTAGATCTGAACTTGCATCTGTGCATGACTTATAAGCACGAGTTCAAAACATTTTGTTGACTATCAACCTTGATACCCAGGAAAAATTGTCGAAGCTAATATTACGTGGTCGTAATAATGTCTCTATCAGTTATGTATGATGCAAATATATAATATCCCAACAAAGGAAATGAGAAAGCATGCCGATACCAACTAGTCAGTAACATGAAATCTGGACTTTGAGGGAATACCGGATATGACAATTATGTGACAGGTCTTAGCGAAAGCGTCAGAATAGTTATAGCAACGGTCATGAACTTGCTCCACTGATTATGGAGTCTGATGTGTCAAAGAATGCCACCAGTCTAGCACTTACTATGAACTATCAAGCTAGCTGTATGGCGTGCATTCAGTGCATCGTGGCTTGCCCTAGAAGAGTCTAGGAGGCGGTTGAAAGCGTTCCTTTACAGTTATTAGCTAGCTACATTCATCGCAGTCAGTTTCACATACTACTAGTAAGAGCTATTAGTCAAAACGAATTGTCCGTCTTGACAGCGATAGTAGAGTTACATTCATATAAAGTATTTATTATAGGATCATGCAAGACCCCGGAAGATGCGAAGGATTCAATCCTCCATAGTTTTAAAGCGAACGCAGATCCAACATTTCTTTCAGTCCTACTGTGGAGACAAGATGAGAAGGGTTTGATGCTCATATTACCTGAAGACACCAGCATTCATATTTATCGTCCAATTCATCTCTACATCAATCCTATGTGGAATATATGCTCTTCACAGATCTACAGGTACTATATAGACTACTGCTACGCTGTTAGTCACGGGCAGCAGTCAAGGTTACAATAAAGTTGGGCCTGATTGAATCTATGACTAATGGATTGCCGCATTGGGGCTGGTGTTCCCCGGACTGCAACCCGGCGAAAGAAGCATCGTCGGCCCTTCGATTCTCCCCTTATGCATGTCTGCCTTTAGCTTATATCAGTCCGATCATCTCCCCCCCCCCCAGTCCTCCCACGTTCTGGATGAGTTCTACTCCGGCCTCGTCGGGTTCGTCAGTGCAAGACCCATCGGCCACCGGCTATCAGGGGGGAGACGCAAGAGATGGATTTCGGCGGAACCCGATCTGGGGACTGATAAGCGGCCGGGGAGGTTACATGAGGGCAGCGTGTCAGCCGTCCGTTCTTATCGGAGGGCCCACAGTTGAAGCCTGGACGAGAACAACGTAATCGCCAGAGGAACCAGTCATCGCTAGCGCTGCCCCGGTCTGCTGCAGGTTGCAGCTCGCTTGGAAATTAGCTCGTGTGTCTGCCACGCCGGCGCCTAGAGATAACCACTGCCTACCATTATTCGATTGATTCATCCATCATCTTCGCCACTGATAGCTGTATCATCCACGCCCCGGTCCGAGCTTCAGTCATCCCGATTCATCTTCGAGCTCACGGAAGATGGTTCATGTATATAGACACCTCGCCCGTCGATGTTTGGAATGGTCTTAGTCTATTCCCCAGATCCAACTAGCCATTGCTAAGAACCGACCCCTCACTCCACTCGGACTACTTCATCTGGGTCCAGATTTTAACATCGAGATATCTTCCATTCGTCCGTAACTCATCGAGTTTCATCTACACTTCTACATCCACATCCTTTACACATTAAATTGCCTCACATTATGGACGGTCCTGATCAGATAGGCCCGGACTACCGGCCTAAGCGGACTTGGAATGACGTCGGCCGCCGCTTTGTCAAAACCTTCACCACAAGGTCGGTCATGGAAGCTCGTTAAACCAGTCGATGTGCTAATATGTCGCAGAGAGGGCCTCATTGGAGACTATGATTACGCTTACTTGTTCACCCCGAATATTCCCTTCATCACAAAGAAACGAAGCTCTGCACCATTCTTCGGGCTCGAAGACAATGTACCTATCGTATTGGCTATGCTGCTTGGACTACAACATGCGCTGGCAATGCTGGGTGGCAGTGAGTTAGATTCTCTCTGATACTTGAAGCGTGCTGACCCGTCAGTTATTTCACCTCCTATCATGATAGGAGGCACATCTGGTGCCAACTTCGGAACAGAAGACTACCAATACCTCGTCTCAACATCTCTCATCGCTTCCGGTATCTTGTCCGCCATTCAGATGTTCCGTTTCCATATCTACGGAACGAAATACTATATTGGTACTGGCTTGACTTCAGTGGTGGGCATCTCCTTTGCTACAATCACCGTCGCAACTGGTGGTTTCGAACAAATGTACTCCAGTGGATATTGCCCGACCGCTGAGGATGGAACCAAGCTGCCCTGCCCTAAGGGTTATGGCGCTCTACTGGGAACATCGTGTTTGTGTGCTCTTCTCGAGATTGGCCTTTCCTTCATGAGCCCTAAGATCCTGAGACGTGTCTTTCCTCCCCTCGTCACTGGACCCACTGTTCTCCTGATTGGAGCCAGTCTTATCGAATCCGCTTTCCAGGACTGGGCAGGTGGCTCTGGAACCTGCTCTGAGAATCCTGGAAACGGTGCCTTGTGTCCTAGTGCGGACGCACCGCATGCTCTGCCTTGGGGAAGTGCGGAGTTTATCGGTCTCGGATTTCTGGTGTATGTATCGATCATTCTCTGTGAGCGGTTTGGTGCGCCTATCATGCGATCCTGCTCGGTCGTGGTGGGATTGTTGGTAGGATGTATCGTGGCGGCTGCCTGCGGATACTTCGATCGATCGGGTATTGATGCTGCGCCGGTGGCCTCATTTATCTGGGTGAAGACATTCCCGTTGACCATCTACCCGCCCATGATCCTTCCACTGCTGGCAGTGTATATTGTGGTCATGATGGAATCGATTGGTGACATTACCGCCACTTGCGATGTATCTCAGGTTGAAGTTGAAGGTCCCACCTTCGACTCACGTATTCAGGGTGGTGTTCTGGGCAACGGTCTCACCAGTGTGCTGGCCGGCCTCATGACCATGACTCCGATGTCGGTGTTTGCCCAGAACAACGGTGTCATCGCGCTGACCAAGTGCGCCAACCGCACAGCTGGTTACTGCTGCTGTTTCTTCCTCATCATCATGGGTATCTTCGCCAAGTTCGCCGCTGCACTGGTTGCCATTCCCGATAGCGTTCTTGGTGGCATGACCACGTTCCTTTTCTCCTCTGTGGCTATCTCCGGTGTCCGCATTATCACCAGTGTGCCATTTACGCGTCGTAACCGATTCATCCTGACCGCTTCGTTCGCTGTTGGTATGGGCGCCACCTTGGTATCCGACTGGTTCGACTACGTCTTTACCTACAGCGGCAACAACCGCGGCTTGACAGGATTGCTGGATGCTATTGATCTGGTGATGGAGAACGGGTTCGCCATTACCGCTCTGATCGGGCTGATCCTCAACCTGATTCTTCCGGAGGACCCAGAGGAGGAGGCAGCTATTCTGGAGGCACGGGGTGATTACCGACGAAGCGAGGAGGTGATGACTTCGAGGGAGAGCACGCAATACACGAAGGGCGAGCCCTCGAGTGTTTAATCATGTTTTCTATTCTGTTTGTTTTGATTGGCGATATGGTTATATTTGGATACCCTGACCTAGATGGTCATTTGAATTAATACGACAATTTTATTATCGAGACATTTTCGTACCTAGTAGAAGCAAGGCGAAGGGCCAAGCAGTAGTGCTATTTCCATCTACCCGAGTCCCGAGATTCTATGTCCTGCCGGACTTTCTTCAGTGTCCACGTGGTATTCAAGTTGCAGCACAGCATTCCCGCTCAACATGATTGGTGCTTGCTTTCCAGCTGGGATGCTAGTCAATGAGCAGACACGGACTTAGCCGAATCTGGACAGAAATTTGAAACAATCCGAATTTGGAAAAGATAACAAACACTGTCTTCCCCGCCCATGGACCGGAAGAATTGCATTTAAATTGGCCAGGCCGATCACAAATAGATACCCCGACCCCCTCCTGTCTTTGGGAGATCTCACGCGCGATGTTGTTCCTGCGCCTGCCGATCATCGCAGGGCACATTGATCATGGGTGCCCTGCATTCCTCTGCGTGGATTGTGGCGCGCACCCACCCTGAATCAACTCGATCAACGTAACCTCCATGTATCGTTCATCTCTTCAAAAGAGACAGGATGTCTTGAACTAACAGCAGCCTGCCAAAACCTATACCGGCAATATGGATGCATCCACAAAACTCTCAACCACCCGGCGATGGAGATCTTCGAGCCAGTTCATCATCGCCACCGCGTGCCTGGCCATGTTTACTGGTACGAACACACACATACCTGCCTCCTCCCGCCGACAACTGTCTCACATCCACTAACCACGCCAGTGAGCAGAATCGCTTCTAGCCGGTTTCCCCGTCCCGATGCTTCCGTATATGCTAGAAGAGCGTCTGCACAACGATCCCTCCCAAACCACTGCCACCATCAACAGCCTGCTCAGTCTACACGGCCTGGCGTCAATTCTCGCTGCCCCCTCTTGCGCGACTTTATTCGATACGATCTCGAACCAGAAAATCCCGCTTTATTCGGCCCTGGTGCTCTGTCTGGCTGGAACTGCCCTGTTTGCAATAACCACCACATGTACCCGTCACCCTAGCCATACATCGTTCCCGCTCTGAACGCTAATAGAGTTAATGACCCAGCATGGGTGCTATACCTGGGCAGGATTCTACAGGCAGTTGCTGCCTCGGCTGCATGGCTTGCGTGCACGACCATGCTCACCGAGATCGCAGGTAGTGCACGAGCTGGGGCAATGTTGGGACTGAGCATGTCTTTTTCAACGTTGGGAACGGTCAGCGGACCGATGTTCGGGGGCGTTTTGTTAGGCTGGTTCGGATACTGGCCAGCTTGGTGTCTGCCGATGGCTCTGTTGATCCTTGACATGATTGCGCGTTTTGTCATGATTCAGCCAGACCATTTTCTACTTGATACGCAGTCTTCAACCAGACTTGCCAACCGCAGCAAGCTATGTCAAAATGTCCCCGAAGCGTCCCCCTTCCTACCACAATCAGCTTCATTCGACCAAGACACCAATACGAAAGCGGAGCCCGACAGCACTGCAACCACAGAATATCGCAATTACTACACTGTAATGCTCCAAGACGCAGGAATGTGGGCAGCCGTTCTGAACACAATGTCCCAAGCTGCAGTCCGGGCAGCATTCAACGCCACTCTACCCGTGTATCTTCGAGATACATTTAACTGGGGCCCATCGTCAGTCGGGGCGATATTTTTTGCCCTCCAAGTCCCTGTCATCTTTTTGCCTCCCTTATTTGGCCACCTCCGAGATCGCGTCGGTACACGATACCCAACGGCAGTCGGTTGGGCTCTTCTATGCCCGTTGATGTGTTACTTAGGCGTACCTGGTAGGGACATTTCCCAGGCTAGTGGCAGTCGGACAGATGCAGAAGTCGCTTTTATTGTATGTATATGTGGTATCGGGTTAGTGATGTCGTCGGTTCAAGGTGCTGGGTCGTTTCATATGAGGTGTAAGTCCACTCATTCCGATGGTTATGTATAATAAGTGTGAGACGCAATTTGCTTGTTGAATGCTGACGATGATTAGTCCTCCTAGAGGAAGTTGAGAAAGATACCCCCACCTTGTTTGGGCCCAATGGTGGGCGCGCGAGGTGCTTCGCGCTGGTGTCTATTTCGTTTAATGTTGGTTTGATGCTGGGCCCGGTCGTCACTGGGTTCCTGTTTGAGAGTGCAGGATACTTTTATATGAATATTGCTCTGGGTAGGTCTTGCCTTGAAGATATTATTTATATGTGCAGGGACTAATTATGTGTACTCCAGGTGCTGCCTGCATGGGAGTGGCGCTGGTGACATTTATGTTCTGCTGATTGAGATGTGCCTGGTATTTGGGTAGGAGCAACAGTTAGTAGAGCGTATGCCAACTGTATTTGCCGTTGGTATGATATGCATGTCCAGAACAATTGATACTGAAGTTCGAGCAGAACACTACTAATACAACTATTGAAGAATTATTCCAACATCACGAAGGAGATAACTATTGATGATACCCTTTTACCCTCTCACCTAGTGCTAGAAATCTACTAAAGATTGCGTCAATTGTCTCTAATACTTTTGTGGGATGCGTGCAAATACAAGTCTGTAATTGAGTGATGCATGTGTGGAAACTTTTCCACTGAACCAGTCTCCTAGGGCTGACAGCGATCATGCTTATACAACAAACCCTCGGTTCCAACCACACCTTAAAACTCTCCTCACTGTTATCCAACATAACTTACTTATTTTTATTGGTACTATCTGTGAATATATTATGCCCTTCCTTTTCATCTAGCACATACGACCACAGGGTGTGGAAAATAGGGCTTCCCGTCCGCTCAGCCGTACTCAAGCCACACGCCGGGAGGTTAGTAGTTGGGTGGGTGACCACCAGCGAATCCCTTCTGTTGTATGTAATTTTCTTTTTTTTTTTTTTTTATTTCGTTGTTACCCTGACTGTTGTAGTAGACCTTACCTACAACTATCACTTCTTCCCTGCTTCGTACTTCCATCCGCCAGTTAATCCTTAAACTGTGGCGCATTGACAGACGTACTTCCGCTGACACGCCGAGGATTCGAGAAACTCCTTTCAACACGGGTCCGATAATCTCCAATAACCACGAAAAAATCGGTTCCAAGGCAGTGATTATATAGGAGTGGATGTTGCTGTAAATATTCACACTAGAAAAACGTTTAAGGGTATGCTTCAAATATATCCTAGTATCCGGGTGGGAGTAGCAATTAGCAGACCGCATATCGCAAGCTGTATTTGCCGTTACGATATTATACACAGCTAGAACAAGATATTGAGTTGATTTCCTGGGTAGTTCGAAGGGCGTTTTAGTCTCGTTGAGTTATCATCAACTCACCGGATAATCAAGTCCTCACTCAATCCGACGCTTCTTTCAGTCTCTGCAATAGCCTCTCTATCCTCTCATCGTCCCAGTCCTCCGAGAAGGGCCTACAATCCGATATGGCTTCATCCCTTGCAAAACAAGCCATGTCCACCGGGGTATTGGCTCCTTCGTCCTGAGATTTAATATTTGCCAGGGCTCCCCGGTTCAGGAGAGCTTCGATCGTCTCCCAGTTGCCATTAGCTGCTGCCCAATGCAGGGGTGTGCGACCATTGTCGTCCATGGCGTTGATCTCCGCTCCAGCTTCGAGTAATATTCCAAGGTTCTCTGGGGTGCCCCTCGATGCAGCTGAATGGATTGGTAGACTGCCGTTCAAGAGTCTCGCATTCATGTTCGCACCGTGTTTGTGGAGAAGTGACCTGAGCCCATCCGACGTGCCACAGGCAGCCGCAGTATGCAAAGCACTGAAGCCTTCCGAGTCCTGATCATCTAATTTTGAACCCGCCTTCAAGAGCAAGTCGATAATTTCGGGGTTACCATTCTCCGCTGCAATGAGGAGGGGAAATGATGGCTTTCCCTCCTCTACGATTGTGCCTCTCTGGTTTGGATCGGCACCTCTCTCTAGCAGTGTACTGATAAGTTCAGTATTTTGATCTCTTACCGCGTACAAAAGAGGTGTGCCGACGGTGTCGGGTGAACTCGGTGTGACCATCGGGCCATGTCGCATCAGGAGTTCAGCCATATCTCGATTGTTTGCCTTGACTGCTAGTGTCAGTGCCGTTTCACATATTGATTCAGGTGGCCAGCGGCGATGACCGTCATATAAAGTGTAGGTTCCCGTGAAACGACACTCGTCGGCTGCCTTGGGGTAGGCATTAACATCAGCTCCACGCTGGATCAGCAGCTCCACAATGAGTGGCCGAGTGGCGGCAACAGCATCAAGTAGCGGCGGGGTGTCTTCAGGCCCCGGATTGAGCTGATCCTGCAGTCCGTTGTCGAGTAGATATGTTAACATTGAGACTGAACCACCCCATGCGGCCGTTCCCAATATGGATGTCTCATCATCTGGCTCTTGGCGATGAATATTCGCTCCTCTATCGATAAGCAATTGGAAAGCCCAAAGATCGGCACTCCGAACAGCATCTCGTAAGCTTCGGTGTGTATCTGCTCCGTTCTGCAGGAGGAGATCAACAAGATCTTTTCTCTTCTGAGATAGAGCGCTTTGTAGAGCCCGGTGAGAATCCACTCTTGCGCCTGCATTGATCAAGACCTGAGCGAGTTCGAAACTCCCCGCGTCCACCGCAGTTCTCAAAGGCGTCGAAAAGCTTGACTCCAGGTTGGGATCTGCTCCGCGTGATAGCAGCTCATGCACAATCGCAGTATGGCCGCCTTTTATCGCCGACTGCAGAGCTATTGGGTGATCTGAGACTTCCGCGTGGCTATCGACGTTGAGACCCTCGTCTAGATACTGTCGCACGAGCGTCTCGTCACCTGCACGAGCTGCGTATCTCAATGCTTCGTCTGGTGTAATTTCATAGGCTATCAGCTCGCGTAATATGTCGACGTGGCCGCCAGCCGCGGCCTGATACTGGGCGGCAGTGATGCCACATTGGACGGGCCTAATGACTGCTGTGGTTCTGTGCTTCATGCTCCTTGCATTCGTGATGCGCTCGCACCTTAGCAATGCCTTCACAATATCAAGGCGACCACTACAAACTGCAGTCACTAGGGCGGATGCAGGGTGCCCTTTCATGTCGTGGTAGTCCTCAGCGCCGTAATTGAGCAGAGTCTCACAGACAGGTAGATGGCCTCTCGCGACAGCGAGAAATAGAGGATCCGACCTTTGGCCGCCAAAAGTCCGTGGATTCGGGAAGTTGACATTGGCACCAGCTTCTAGCAGCGTGATGGCGACATCTGAATGACCTTGAGCAGCTGCTGCACCAAGCGCCGTACTTAGTGCACCCCCTTTTGCATTGACTTCGGCCTTTGCCTCTATCAGCGACTGGACTATTTCCAGGTGGCCCATGAATGCGGCTGCTTGTAATGGACGGTGGTACAACCCGCCGGAGACATTTGGCGACGCACCCTTGTTTAGAATTGCTTTTACCACTCGTGTCAGACCACAGTAGGAAGAGTTATATAATGCTGTATAGTCATTGGTGTCGCTCGGTTCATCCCGCAGCCACGGTCGGTCAACCTTTGCCACTTTGCTCCATACTAGCCCAAAATAGGGCCCATTGTCGTTAAAGAGATCCAGTAAGATAGTCTCTAGTTCAAGGTATTGCCAAGCGCCTTGAGAACGATCTTTATGCTCGTTCCAAAAGTGCCCTGCATAGCATGCCAGGGGATAAGTCCAGGGGTCGCCGGCGGCAGACTGAACCGCATGGTGAAAGTACGCAAGGCTACAGTTAGCCAGGACCGCATGGCACAATCTCGCATCCATGAAGAAGTCGGAGCATGAGTCTCGTAAGATTGCGGCAGAAGTGAGGAACTCTCGAACGGTGAAATGGGCTAGCTTGACATATACACACTGGGTGCCACTCGGTTCGTCCCCAAGGTAATAAGTCGAGACAAGACTGGAGCAGGAATCAATGAAGCTTTCTGGGTCGAGAGGCTCTAAGTTTTCGTCACAGAAAGGAATGTCTCCATTATCAACATTGATAGCTATGGCGCTTGTGATCTCATGCAGAGATAGCTGCAAATGCGTCAGAGCGGGAATGATTCTTGATTTCCTATCGTGATGACTACTCACTGGCCGAAGAGCAAAGGCTACCCAGCGTAGAAGGTTCTTCACGGCAATGCGGTTGCTCTCATCAATTCTGTCGATTGTCATGGTGTAGTGTTCGTCTAATGACTTTGGTAGGTCTCTGAGAGCTTTTTGTACCGCCTGTGGTGTGGCACACCGTCGCAGTGTCTGCAGTTGGCAGTCCATCCAACGAAATCTGCAAAAGATGTCAGCCACTCAACAGTTCTGTAGGTCAAGGCTGGATACGCACGAGCCATTGGCTTGGGCCAGCAGGCTCTCTTCAATCATCTTCTTCAACGATATTGGCCACCGGGCAAGTTTGCCCTGACGCGAGAACTGGTGTCGTAGTGCTGTCTGCATATCAACATTCACTGTTGAGTCATCAATTGTAACGGTGGAGATCTTGAGGCCTTCGAAAGCGGGTCGAAGTTGCTCCAAGTTTCGGCTGAACACAATCAAATGCTGTTGTCCTTTGGTCTGTTCCATCATCTCCGTGACGAAATTCGCAAGCTCGGGAACTCCATTCTGGAGGTATTCTTCGCATTCGTCGAGACCATCGATAACAATGTAGTTATGCTCGAACTGCAATAAAAGGTCATTCAGTAACCTCTTCCATGAAACTGAATGCTGGTCGTCGGATGGGCTGTTATAATTCCTCCACGGCCTCGGGAGATAGCGAGGAATGGTTGCTCCTTGATGAATCAGCTGCCTGACGAAGGATCCATACACGCGGTTGATGTCGACTCCTCTTTCTTCCGATGCATCCATGAAGAAATAGCATAGGCTGCTACTTTGATCCCCACCACAGTGGTCCTGAAGATCTTTAATGATCCTCGAACTGCTAGTTGTCAGACCTCCATAATTCAAATGGGCGCAGAGACACTCGTCGACTGGATCCAATAGGAAGCATACGTACCATAGGACGGTCTTACCACATCCAGCTAAAGCAGGGTGATCAGTAGTCGGTTAAGCTCAGTACAGAGGGCGCCACTTACCGGCTCCCTTGACCCACAAGAGATGGTTGCGGTTGATCTTCCATTTCATGTATTGCTCTGTATTTAATAGCCAGTCACCAGTAGCTGGGGCACACTTTTGGTACTCTTCATCTTGCTTGGCTGATTGACAGCGTCCACCAAGCTGGCTGAGAAGTTCAGCTAATTCACGGCCTAAAACTGTTATTAGCGGTCTTATTGACTCTGAACCCCAGCTTACCCTCGTCAGATTGAGCCACACTATTTGATAGTCCAGTAACCTTCTTCTCAACGCTCGGCAACGACCGGGTGTGGCTTATAACCTCCATGTTCTGGCTAGACGAACCGTCAGAAAAGCCACGGTTGCATATTCTGTCACAAACTACCCACGTATTATCAGCCGCCAATGCCAATTGCAGCTTGCTCTTGGTCGTCGCAAGGGTCTGCAATACTTTTTCCGCATCTACAGGTTGTAAGGGCCACACCAGAGCACGATTCGAACTGGAGGTCTTCCCTAGTTTCAAACTTGCTTTCAGGTCCTGCAATTCGACCAAGCAACTGCGGAGAGTACAACCATCCCCATCCATCGCCTGCAAAGACGGCAAAGAAGGCAAAGAAGAGGCATCGTCGGAATCAACTGCCTTCACTAGTTGCTGTGCGATGTACCCAACACTGGCGACCTCGTCCACAATCCGAGAGATAGCTTGGGGCGCATCTCGGACGCCCATGCGGTAGTCATAGCATACCGATACCAACTTACCACATACTTGGACGATGCCGATGAGAGTGCCTACAAGGCCAATTGGTTCAGCCATATCAAGTGCGCACGAGCATGCAAATCAGAATCCAGGCTGCTTGAGGCACCATTCCACGGCAGGAGGCCACAGCCTTGAAGATAGCATTTGAAGTACGAGCTAGTGGAGGGGCACGACCCATATTTGAGATAAACTAGTCCATACATGGGACATCACGTGAAATTGTCTCACAAGGCTGCAAACGCAGGGACGGATGAGTAGATCAGAGAGGATGTGACTGCTCCCTGATCAGGCCTTGAGCATTCGCTGAGAGGTTATTCGTAGTGTAGAACACTCACTGAGCAGAACCCCGAGTACCCTTGATAAAGCGGCGGTACCCAGAAGAGGGAAGCTACGATCTTTTTGGGAGAGCCAGTACGTATAGGAGGATATAAACTGAAGCTTCACGTAGAAGAATCTACTAATACAATAATGTTACAAGATTATCACAACTCCACGACTAGCACAATGCGTAATTATACGCCCTCAACCTCCTCCCCCGGCGCCAACATCTTGATATAGCAATGCTCGCCTGTCTCCAACACCGTAATAGGATCATTGACACGCAAGGTGAATTCTACACCATCAGTTAGTTATACCAAACTACACAAACAAAGCAACAGGAGGAAGACAATACCTTTGATAGCAGGAACACACTGCATCCCCAAGCACGCATTCGTCAAGTCCCCCACATCTATGCGTCTATATTTCTTCAACGTCCTATCCGGCTCCCGGGGATGTCGTACCCCGGTATCAGGATCCACATTGGGCAGCTTGCACCGGATAGTGCGGCATGCTGTGTAGATTTCGACACCATCCCCAGAGGAACCTCCGATAAAGATCCTCTTCCACCCATCCTCCATAAACTTCCCCGGCCCCTGAACAATCACATTCGCCCTAAACCGCCTCACACTCAACTCGGGAATCTCATCCGCACAGTTGGCCGCAATATCTCTCACGCTCGCCATATTGAGTAGATGAATGGGATATGCGTCTGCGAAGCCAGTCACGGGCTGGAAGCCTATTTCTTGCTTCCTTGGGGCATTGCGGTAGATTTCCCTTCTGTGGGTGTGGCTTGCGCGAAAGAGAGACAGCTTTCTCCGTTGGTGCGGTGGGAGGGTGGTGTCATATGTTAGGAGATCTTTCAGGGATGCGGGGAGGAGGTGGGAGTAGTTGTGTGCGAGGGGGATGTCTTTCCAGATCTTGACGGGGGTGAGGGGGAATTGCGTTGATGAGTTTGGCGGGGGGTCGAGGGGGATGGTGAAGGACGATTGGGATGGGAGGATGTGCAGGGTTCTTAGCAGGGTAATTAGGGGGTTGCGAGATGGTGGGAGGGGGTAGTGGACCAGTAGCACGCCATTAGATAGTGTCTCTGGGTTTGTAGGTGAATATGTAGGTGATGACGGATCTGGGATCCAGATCTCTGGTCGGAGGAGAGCGAGCTGTCGGAAGTCACGGTCTCGGAGGGTGCGGGCTGTCCAGGTTCCGCTCTCTGCTTCCTTTTCTTTTTCATTTGGTGTTGTGGTTGATGTGTTGGTGGTAGCGTTGGAAGGTTGTGAAGGGAAAAACTCCGCAAAACAGAACAGCCGGTCATACTTCAACCCCGTCTCTATCACATCTGCTGTATCCAGCTCCACCCCGGCGCAACTCTTGATCGGGTACGTGAACAGTGCTTTTATGCGCCAAGCTGGTAGCCCGGTGTCGGGGTCTGTGTCGGTGCTGGGCACACCGTGGGTGTACTTGGGTGAGTATTCATCGTGCAAGTTGGAGCGCTGCGATGGTGAGAGACCCAGTCTGCGGCAGCCTTTTGGGGGCGGGGGTGTGGGGTTGAGGTTAGGGAGAAGGATAAGAATGCAGACGAGGATGGGGAGGGTGATGGATAGGAGGAGGATATTAGGAACAGAGTTTAGACCATGTTGAATGGTGGCAGGAACGCTAGAGAGTAAGTCTAGCATTGATGATGCGTATGTAGGAGTGAAAGGATACGATAATTGGTTGATGTTGGTGATATAGGTGGTGACAGTGTAAATGGAAAAATTGTTCCTGAATATGGCGTCGGCAGTGATTATCAGATTATCAGTCGCCGGTGTCGGAAGATGCCGATGGTGGGTCCACTCATGGCCAAGGCTGCTTGTCTTCTGGATGAACTTTGAGTTCAAGCTTTACCAGGCACTTTGGAGCTGCCTTGAAATATACCTGATTTGCCTGCAATCGCAGGCTACCAAGAATGCAATGCTGGTTCGATAATATATCGGTTACTTACCCAATTCTGCGTCCCATGACTACACGAGTCTATTTTGATCCCCTTGAAGACACAAGGAGGAAGGAAAGACAAAATTGGAAGGAGGGAGGCATTTCTGGGATATGTGTCTTATCTGCGACATCTGCGATATCTGATACATAATCTCATATATAAATCTGACCAAAAAAATCATGCTATCTGCTCTGAAGATATACGTCGTCAAAAGCATCTGGGTGCTTCAAAAACCTCAAAGGTTCCCGCGCAACGCCTGCTCCCTCTCAAAAGCTTCAAACAGACTCTTGAAATTCCCAGCCCCAAACCCATCAAAGTTCTCCCTCTGAATGATTTCCATGAAGACTGTAGGACGGTCACCCACGTGCTTCGTGAAAATCTGCAAAAGATATCCCCCCTCGTCGAAGTCGATAAGAATGTTGTATTTCTGTAACAGGGTAATGTCTTCGGCAATATTGACGTTCTTCATAGCTAGCTTCTCACGCATCTTGACATAGTAGTTGCTAGGGACTGAAAGAAAGCTAACGCCGCGCTTTTTAAGGCTTTCCACGGCTTCAATGATATTGTTGGTTCGGAAAGCGATGTGCTGGCAGCCTGCCCCTCCGTAGTAGTCCACGAATCTAGACAGATACATAAGAATTGATTAACCGCCAAGACTCTTTCTAAGGTGGGGTGTTGCGACTTACTCTTCGATCTGAGATTTCTTCAGACCAGTGGCTGGCTCGTTCATCGGCATTTTGATCACATTATTCGGAGATGCCACAACGACTGATCGCATGGCCGAATAGTCCGAACACATATCTTTGTCGTCCACAGACCAATAGCGGTGGAAGTTCAGAGCATCCTCGTAACTAACAGTCACAATAGTGAGCAAAGTTCTTCTGCAGATATTGGAATGACAAGATAAGGGAAAGGGTATGCCTACTATTTAACAATCCCGTCAAGACCATCCCAAGGCTGGTTCCCGACGCAATGATCAATTTCGATCAAATCCACCTTGGGCAGCAGCTCATTTAGAGCATTCATATCATTAACAGAACGGAAGCCAGGAAGGAAGACTCCTCGATAATTCGACCGATTGATCAGAGTATGAGCTGTATCTCCATACGTCTTGATTGTTGCACAGAGTACTTCCCCGTCCTTCTCATCGCTAAGTATAGTTGGCTTCTGGATCGAAGTTGCCCCGTTTTGGATAGCATGCTCCCACACGCCTCTGACGTCGTCGACCTGGAAGGCAATATCCTTAACTCCGTCGCCGTGTTTGATCAAGTGTGCTTGGATCTCAGTCAACAGACTGCGATCTTTTTCGGACACGTCCTTGTCGGAGGGGATGTTCTGGGGCCCAGTTATTGGGGCAGTCAGCATGAAGCGAGCGTTCCCGTTGGCAACGACATAGGAGGTTGTCAGGTGCGATCCGGTTTCTGGTCCGCTGTATGCGATAACCCGGAAGCCGAAGTGGGCAACGAAGTAGGTGGCAGCTTGACGGGCATTGCCCAGATACCAGGAGATGTAGTCAAAGCCGGTGTAGTTGGGATTGATGCTTTTGATCACGGCCAAGTTGGGCGGGACCTTGGATGGCTCGCCGTCGACACCGGTGGAACGCATGTTGTGCAAATAGTAAGATTCAAGATATATACAGAGGTGATCGAGCGACTTGACAGGAACACCGAAGTTCAACAACGGCATGGGATATCGAGCCTGGCATACTGTCCTGGACCAGATTTATAGCCATCGTCGAAAATGCAATGCCAGCTATCTCTCGGAAAACAGTGTAGATAGAAGAGATTCGCCATCTTACATCTCAGCTGATGCATCATACATCATGCATCATGCATGGCTGTGGGTAAGGGTAGAAGGGCTGAAGAAAAAGCAAACACCGAATCTTCCTTGGCATTGTGTAATCAGAAGCTAGTACACAAATCGAATGGCGCTTGGCAATTTGCCACATATATCAGTTTCATGGCAGTGGCAGGTCACAAGCCTCCTTTTGTAATCTGATTGTTGTGTTTGATGTTGATTGATCTGTATCTCGCCCGAAAGATAGGAAACGAAGAACCGGTATTGCCAGCTGTACGACTCCCTTAGAGGATATCTCTCAAGAAGTGGAAGAAGAGTAGCATAATGTATCGGTGAACTCTGGCCGACTGTAGTGCTAAAATTTGACACTGATGTTACCACTGCCCCGAACCCTGCTTCTTAACCTATTTCAGATCATGTCGAGATTGGTTATTCAGCGCCACTGACGCCCTTTCCGAGGGTTTCGGAGCGCTTTCCCCTCGCGTCAGCAAGGGAGAGAAAGAATAGGGCAGGCTTCTTTTGCCGAGAAAAGTCGAATATCATCATTGAGCTCGATACTTACTTGATACGGCGCCGGTGAGCTGACAAGGTCAGATGAAGGGGTTAATTGTAGACCTAAAATGAGGGGGTGGGTTCTAGCTGTGTCATTGTAGACGTCCCACATTAACATTAGCTTTAAGAGATAATCAATGTTGTGCCGGGGCGTCAACTGCGGTAGATTAGGTTAATGCGGCCCTCCTCGGGTCGTAGATCACAGATCACAGCTGAATTGGTTGACGCGTCATACAACGGGTTTGTCCTGCATCTCGAGTCACACTTGTGCAGGTTTAGTGGCTGGGGTGAGATTAGCATGCACACTCTGTGAGCTATCATGGTGGCAATGCTGCAGCTTCAATCGGAGGCTTTTCGTGGGGCACGTGGCACACATATGTTGGCGGGGTTAATGGTAAGCAAAGGTTTGCGCACTATTTTACCTGATGACTTGTACCATGTTGTTGCTTTTTTGGTGTCTTTCCGCATTAGAGCAAGCCAAAGAACCGCTTCTCTTCTGGGAGGTGGACGATTCCAATTCCCCTTGATGTCCTTGGGTCTCCTACGGAAGCTACCCATTTGGCAAAGCTTTGAAACGTGAATGAGAACCACAAAGGGACACCAAGTCATGACCGAATGCTATGATGTCGTCGTTGTAGGCGCTGGCCCGGTAGGGCTCATGCTGTCAACATGCCTCTTGCGCTTGGGGCCTTACAAAATTAAACAAATTGACCAGCGGCCCTTCCCGACAAAGACTGGGCGCGCTGCTGGGATCCAGGCGCGTTCTCTCGATGTGTTGCAGAATCTGGACCTCAAACGTGGCATCATGTCATATAACCCAGGCCGAATCTACGAGGTTGCCTTCTGGGACACTTCCAAGGACGAGCCGGGGATTCGACGAACGGGGACAGCGAAAACTTATCCTGATTACATCGATACGAGACATCCGTTCTCTACCATTCTCCACCAAGGCCGGATCGAGAAAATATTCCTGGATGATTTGAGGGAGCGAGGGCTTGAAATCCAGAGAACCTGGACCATTGCAGGGTTTAGGAATGAGCCGTGCAGAGAGTATCCCGATCACCCACTGGTAGTGGACATCGTCAGCGTGGACGGGAGAGAAGGTTCAACTGTGCGAACAAAATATTTATTTGGTGCAGATGGGGCGCGAAGCCGGGTCAGGGATCTTCTCGGGGTGCCGATGTTGTCGAAAGATCCAACAATGCATGTGTGGAGTGTCATTGACGGGGTGGTAAAAAGCGACTTTCCGGGTATTCAGGTACATATCCATTCTTCTTTCGACAAGCTTTGGCTCCTTGAACCCACTAACCGCAATACAACTTACTAGATCAAATCTACCGTCCATTCCTCCAAAGGGTCCGCCATGATAATTCCCCACGGCAACAACGTTGTCCGTATTTACGCTCAGATGTTTCCGGAGAAGGGACAAGAGCCCCTCACGTTCGCGACAGTACCGAAAATCCAGCAGGCAGTCAATGAGGTTCTTGCTCCGTATAAAGTGAAGTGGGAAAAAGTGGAGTGGCACTCTGCATATCGAATCGGACAAGGGCTCGCCTCAAGATATACTCTCGATGAGCGAGTTTTCATCGGAGGAGATGCATGCCATACGCACAGTGTAAGCACATGACAGACTCCAGAGGATAAAAGTAATCTTTAAGCTAACAGAGCGCTTTCCTACAGCCCAAAGCCGGCCAGGGAATGAATTACGGCTTCCTAGATGCACACAATCTCGCATGGAAACTACACCTGGTCGAATGTGGCTTTCTCCGGCGCTCCCTTCTAAAGACCTACGAAGGGGAACGTAAGCTTGTAGCAGCAAAGCTCCTCGAGTTTGATGCGACATACGCGAACTTGTTCAGTTCTCGCCAGCCCGCTGGCGCGAATAAGGCTGCGCCGAGCTCGGAGTTTGTCCAGGTATTCAAGCAGAACACGTTCTTGACGAGTGGCTACGGGGTCGAGTATCCCGTTAATAGTTTAACTTGGCCTTCAACTTCTACACCATCTAACTCGACCGCTCTGCGTCCTGGTCGCAGCTTTCCCACCGCAACTGTTACAAGAGTCATCGATGCCCGTCCCGTCTACCTGGAGCAGGAGATCCCCTTTAACGGTAGCTATCGCATTTACATCTTTGCGGGAAAACCTGCAATTACCTCAAAGGCGATTTTCGATCTCGCCGAAAATCTACAGGCCAAGAGCAGCATATTTCGCCGATATCAGCGGAACGTTGATACTTCGTATGAAGGACGACATAACCCTCACTCCACATTCTTCACCTTTTCGCTGGTTTTCCACGCACCGCGATCGACGATTGAAATCCAGGAATGTCTTCCGGACTATTTTGCCTGCTATAGGTACCACATTTACGCGGATAATCGCAAATTGTCGCAGAGAGGTGAAGCTACAGAAGGCAACGCTCATGTCAAAATGGGCTTCGACGCAGAAAAGGGTGGTATCGTCGTCGTGCGTCCCGATGGGTATGTGGGATGTATCCTTGATCTAAGTGAGGGGAGAACGACTGCCTCGACTTTTAATAGATATTTCGAGGCGATCGTGCCAGGAAATGAGCACGATACTGTGTCGGCAAGGTTGTAGACAAGGCCATACATCATGGAAAACAACCTAGAATAAGCGGTCTATGTAGAGTACCCGTTTAGTTAACTATTCATTACATCATAACCTCCTCCCAGACTGATCTGTAAATGCCAGGAGATCTGCGCAACAGACCTACAAAGTATCAGTGACGAATCGGCTAAGAGCTGATGAAGGTAACGAATACAGGAGATGCAAGATACCGTTGCAACAATATTACATAGTGCCTGCCCCGTAGCATGAAGTGATGAATAAATGAATCACTCTCCAGAAGGTCAATCCACAGCCTCAGCTGAGAAGAATCACCGGTTACCGAGGGCAAACCAACCAGAAAAGTGTAGGAAGTCCGAAGAGAGCCCTGCAACCATTTGCAAGGATCCACGATCTTTCTTAGGTTATCTCCTCCACATTTATATGCTATTGGCTACTAGAGCGTCACTGTATATATCACGGAGGACAATGAGATGATATGCAAAGCCCGAAATAACCCTGTTGAAAGTCTAAACAAGTGGCAAGTTGCATGCGCGAATGACGATCATCGCTAGTCACGCATGCGCATCTAGTAGATATTGTTAGTTCTTATGATCTACGTGGCGATAAGATCGGCGATCGGATATGTGGCTCGGAGGACGTGGTCATCATGCGTGGCCCTAAACTAGATGCATTGACGGTGCTCACCGATCTCGAGGGTATAGATCACAGGTGAGCTGTTGGAAAATGACGGAATATGCGCAAGTCGTAAAACTGAAGAATGCGCTCGGGGGATTCAGCGGGGGAGGAATGGCAGGTGACCACTGCTGCATGGGAATAAGTGGCTTGTCTTCATAAGATGAGGCAAAGTCTCCCTCCCTCAGAGCTTTCCCCAGTCCCCACCACCATCCCTGCTCTCCTTGCCAATTACGGATGGCTGACCCTAAGCGCATATCTGCGGCTGAAGTTGCCCAACATTGCAGTGCCAGTGATTGCTGGGTCGTGATCAATGATGAAATATGGGATGTAACTGAATTCGCCCCAGAACACCCAGGTGGCAGTGGCGGTGAGTATCAACAACATCATGCATGATACCCTATAAGCTAATGATTCGAACCCAGCCATCCTCCGCTACGCAGGCCAGGATGCCTCCCAGGCCTACAACGAAGTCCACACTCCCGACCTTATATCCAAAACCCTCACTACAGACAAACTCATCGGCCACCTCGATCAATCTTCTTCCCCCACGAAACCCCACAACAACTCTGTTCGAGAGGCAGCTCCTCCACCCAACAAGTCACCTCTAAGCACCATACTAAGCGCCCACGACTTCGAAAGCGTTGCGCAAGACACCTTCTCGAAAAAGGCGTGGACGTTCTACTCGTCCGCCGCCACAGACCTGGTATCCGATAACGCGAACCGATCGCTCTACAACCGCATCTGGTTTCGGCCCCGATTACTACGCAATGTGCGCGACATAAGCACCAAATGTACAGTCCAGGGTGTTGACTGCGCTTTGCCTGTCATCGTTGCGCCAGTGGCTTTGGCAAGTCTAGCGAATCCTATCGGCGAGAAGGGATTAGCTAGGGCTGCTGCTAGTAGGGGTATCTTTCATTGTGTATGTTGTTCCTATCTCTCCCCTTCTCTTATGGTATCTGTCTGAATTTATATTGCCACATGCTGACACGAGAGGACAGATACCAATCACAGCCTCCATTTCAATCGAAGACATAACATCCGACATCCAATCCCCCTCTACCGTCTTTTTCTTCCAGTTATACGTCGCCAAAGACCGAACAGCCTCCGAGTCCCTTCTCCGCAGAGTATGGAAGCTGGGTATCCGCACCCTATTCGTGACGATCGATGCGCCCGTAGCGGGCAAACGGGAAGCGGACGAGAAAGTCAAAGCACAAGAGATGATATCAATGCCAATGACAGGCACAAGATCGAAGAATGACGAAGCAGGAAGCGGACTCACCCGAACAACCGGGTCGTTTATCGATAGCTCATTTTGCTGGGAGGATCTCAGCTGGGTGAAGAAACATTGGCCCGGAAAGATCGTCATCAAGGGGTTACAGTCTGTGGAGGATGCGCAGATGGCGGTGGAAGTTGGTGTCAGTGGGATTATTTTGAGGTTAGTCAGTTATTATCCTATTCTATTTGAATACAGAAATGAGTTCAATGACGGACTAACGGGTACAAAGCAACCACGGCGGCCGCAACCTCGACACTTCCCCGCCCGGACTGCTAACGTTACTCGAGTTGCGACGCCATCTTCCTTCTATCTTCAGTCAACTGGAAGTCTATATCGATGGAGGAATCCGTCGTGGCACTGATATACTCAAGGCACTTTGTCTGGGAGCGAAGGCGGTGCTTATCGGCAGGCCGTTTCTGTATTCTCTCGCCTATGGGGAGGACGGCCCGAAGCATCTTGTTGATAGTGGGTCAGATCTATACTCTATATTCTGCATGGTAGTACTGACATTGTGAAGTTTTGCAAGCTGAGCTCGAGACTGCCATGAAATTAGTTGGAATTACAGATCTTTCGCAGGCGAATTCGGCCTTGGTTAATACGCAGGATCTTGATCATTTGGTCGTGCGAGATGTGGGGATTACTGATGTAATTGAGGTGCCTCGTGCGAAGATATAAATTGGTAATAGAATATCAATAACGATAGAAACCATCATTATATCTGGCGCCCCCGGGGTCTCGGATGAGAAAGTATGTTGCAAATTATCGCAGGGTATATAGACAGCAATCCTATAACATTTTAGGATAAATACAAGTGATGTGGCATCGTCCATAACAGGCAACTAAGCTAAATATACATAGTATTTGATCTATGGCAACATCATCGTGAATACCTTCGTCCTCCGTCGATCGATCTCTTGGATAACCTTCTCGCCATTCTCGGCCCACTTTTCAAATACCTGTCCTACCAAATACTCAATCCTGTCCTCTTCCTCCTCACTCAAACTCTCCTCGAATGTCTCTTTCACCGACGAGGCTCTTTCCCTCCAAACCTTGAGCTGCTCCTTATCCCCTTGAATCTCACACGTCCGAGCGACCGCCTCTATGGCCTCGAGTGTTGGTAAAGAATTCTCTTCTGTCAATGTAGCCCATGTCTCCACAACACGACGCTGCATAGCACTACCCTTCATCAACTTGGGTCCGCCCTGCGATACAAGGATGCTACCCAGAATAGCCATTGCACGGAGTGATTCTGGACTATTCTCGTCAGTACTCTCGGTAATCGTCTTCAACGCCTGGCGTGCAAGTGCTTCTGCCGTCGTATGGTCCCCCAGTCCCTCGTATGCCCGAGCAAGCCCAATGTCCAATTGAGCCATCATCATCCGCTCGGGCACGGTATCCTGTCGCACTCGCTGCAAGTAGCGGTCTTTACACTCAAGACTGAGGACCAAGGCATCCATAAAATTGCCCTGTAAGCTAAGCGTATCTCGGAGGCGCAAGGAGGTCCGCAGTGTGCGCATGTCCATCGTCCCTAGCAACTGAGCTAAGATCGAATGCGTATTTTCGTAAATGTGTTGAGATTGTTGCCAACACCCTGCTCTGCTCAATACAGTGGCAACATCTTCAATGATGGATACTGTTCCAAGGAGGGAGGAAACAGTGGACTTCCCAATGTCCCACGCATCCTCATACGCCTTGCTCAGAATGTCAACCACAAGCGATCCTGCCGAGCGGTATTGCCCCATGTTTATACAGGCCAAAGCAAGATTCGTACGGCAGCGTGCCAAAGTGTCTTCAAGAGGCTCTTCCTGCCTCTGAACCTTCCCTAGCGCCTCGGAAGCCATGCTCAAGGCGGGAGAATATCGCCCCTGCTCGAGAGAAACTGAGGAACACCTGACCATCATATCTGATTCCAGCCACTCCATCTGGCTGCGCCCGTTGACAATAGTCAGCGCCTCCAGATATTGTTCTTCTGCCTCAGCAGCCTTTCCAAGCAGTCTGTACACGAAGCCAAGTATCCGGAAGGCTGATAGAGCTACATACGGTAGCATCTCGATTCGTGGTCTGACCAGCCGCACCGCATCGCGTGCCATGTGCTCTGCCACGTGGAGATATTCGCACCGATCAATCCCGCAGTCAGCAAGTCTACCTGCGATATTCACCATGCGATCCAGGTTGCCCTTGTGGCTCACATCCTCAGCCTCCAAAGGGTACTCGAGATTAGTGTACAGGCTTGGCCTTGCTTCAGCATGTCGTCCTTGCCGGATGAGATTCAATCCGACTTCGTACTGGCTTAGACAAGCGGGTACACTCCCACGGCCTAGTCGGCGTTGGTTTATTTGTGCGACCTTTGTCCGAAGAGGCTGCGCCGCCAGGCACATATCCCATTCCTCATAAAACTCGGCCAGATTCCTCATCGCGGCGAGGGTTGACTCTTGATCACCCACTTGTCGGATGCAAGACTTGACCAACTGAACTAGGAGAGGCTCAGCTTCAGCATGTCGGTTTAGGGTGACCAAGGCTTGTGTCAATCCCATAATAATGTCAATCTCCATGAGAGAACCTGTCGCCTCGGAATCTTGCATCCGTTTTAGAGCTTTCCGAAACACAACAGCAGCAGCGGCTGGCTTGCCCTGGTCCTGCAGAAGGTCCCCAGATTGTACCATGGTCATAATATCACCCAACTCGACGATTGTACTCATGGCATCTGTTGCCCAATGCTGTAAGAAGGCCTTTGTGCACGCAGCTGCCGTGGCTGCTGCGTAATCCTGCCAATCCTCGTTTCTGTGTGAATCTGCATAGTCACACACTCCCTTGATGACCAAGCTGGGAAATAAGCTACAGACGCCGGCGCCTTCTATTTCCAGACCAATGATGCCTTCGCGCTGAGCAAGTTCGTCACGCTGCTTACCAGACTCCATGGCGGCACTGCTTAAGCCCATGCGACCCACGTGAATAGCTGGCCATGGCCCTGTTTCGGTTCGTTCTGAACCGTCTGGGGTTTGCGGACACATAACAGTCCTTTCCCTACGCACTATGTTATCCTCATCGCATCCCAAGTCACTACAGGAAGCCTTGAATGCATCAGCGCATACATTCTCGTCAGAGCACTCGCCACAAGTGGATGGTTCACGGTGACGATGAAGATATGATGGTTGGAAGAGCCGGTCGGACTCACGACCAGGGTACTGGTATTTTGGTCGGTGCTGCAGGGTCTGAAGCCAGATCTTTGCTTCTTCCTCGAGGTGTTGTAGATGGCGATCGGTCTCCAGTTTTCGCAAGATAGATTGGATAGACAAGGAAGGTATGCCACCTCCAACCTCCTCACCATCGGCTTGCTTGCCACTTTGATACTGTCGCCCAGAATCGTACTCCGCCATTGCTTGACTGAAGATCACGTCTCCAAGGAAGATATCCCGTTGTCGGTTTGGATCCGATGGAACGCCACCACAGATTCCTACAAGCAGAGCGAGATCAATACTGGGAAAGGTAGTGCGCAAACCCATAGCTACCCCAGCCGCACTGACCTTGCCCGTATGCGGCATATGCGCGACCACCACATTGTGCGTGCCCATAACACCAGTAGTGTAGGCATTGGGATCACCAGGAACTTTGCTGTATACCTCTTCGGTATCCTCCCAGTGATGGTCAAGAAGCGCGATCACTGCATCTGCTTCCCGGGGAAGAGCACAGACAATGGCGATCTTGAAACCATGACGATCGGGAGGAGGACGGGTCACCACAGTCATATCCTCAGCATAGGGGTAAATAATAGATTAATTCCTGCGAAGGGGGTGTATCAAATATTATTCAAGCTTGTAGGCCGATAATGTGTGGGGTTCTTGGATGATAGATGCAGGGAAGCAGATAGATCCATTGTTGATTGTATCGAGGGGCAGGGGATGCTGAGCGGCGATTTAGCGCATTGAGGGTCCACCTTTTCATGAACTAAGCTGTCAGCCGAACGAGATCGGCGCGGAATCTTCTATAGCACCAATCAGAGAGACAAGATGGTTCGGCAGCATCTCAACAAATGTCTCCTCGGATTATGAGCGAATAGGAGGGAAAGTACCAAGAGAAATAGCGGGTAGCTGACCAAAGTTCGTCAATTGAAAAGCGGTTCGCTCAATTTTCTGCACTTTAAGACTTGCCATTCCGAGTCTGTTGTGACGCCATTTCAGACTTCGGACCCTTGGCTGGAACACAAAGTGCATCGGCCACCAGCCAGTCTCAGCTATAATTATCCGCTCAAAGGGTCACACAAGGAGGCGCCGAGTCAATCGTGAAAACCAGCCTCCAAGTCGCGTAAAGCTTCTCAGGGTGCTTCAATTGTTCTTTGATCGGTTCGTATCGACTGGGACGGGGTATCAAAGTCGCCTGATACTAGGGCATCCTAGGATACATGAGACAGAATAGAAGTATGGAGTCACTCAGTAGGTAGGTGGCATTTGCGTTGCAAAGTATTAGAGTAATGCACTTTTTGTTTCACTAGGCATTGACCTTTTGTCTTCTTCATGTATACCGACGGGAAAATTAACGTAGCACAGATATGATTGAGTAGGATAATGGAGAGGAGTTAGCTACAACAAAGATTTCTCTCCCATAGTTTGTCCTGCAAGTCACCTATATGCTCCAGAGAATCATATCGAAGTCATGCGGTGACATTCTCAGCTCCCCGCCTTCTCATCTGACAAGACCAATCATTGCCCATCGCATGCACAATCAAACCACCCATTATTGCAACTGCACAACATCATCTGTTGGGACAAATATAATATCTCCATCGCTTGGTTGACTAGACGCGATATATATATTGTTTTTGATCTATATTGTTTTTGGTCTAGCGGTTACTTAGTGCCTCGACACCATCTCCTCCCAAGAAACATACTGCTTCCACACTTCTTACACCCCCAGCCTCACCTCAAATCCCATCAATACATCGCCCACCCCCCACTCGCACTGACAACCTGCCCAGTAACCCACGAAGCATCCCTCCCCGCCAACCAAGCCACCACACTACCAATCTCCCCCGTCGTTCCCAACCTCTGCTCCACCGGCGTGCTAGCCATCTGCGCCTCCACAATCTCCCTCGGAATCCTATCCAGCAAATCACTCGGCACCGGCCCCGGCGCAACAGCATTAACCGTCGTCCCATTCCCACCCAACTCGGCCGCCCAAGCGCGCGTGAACCCCTCAATCGCCGCCTTCGACGCAATATACAGACTGATCCCCTTGAAACCGTACCTTGCACCCACCGAACTCAAGTTGATGATTCGGCCGTGACCCTCGGGTGGGAGGTACGGCAGCACGGCCTGAGTCATGAGCATGGTGCCGCGGACGTTGAGGTTGAAGATGGTGTTGTAGTCGTCTATGGTGATTTCGGTGAGGGGGTTGACGATTTCGATGCCGGCGTTGTTGACTAAAATGTCTATTTTGAGAGGAGTTGGGGTGGTGGGATGGGATTTGAGTTCGGAGATTAGATCTGAGGCGCCGGTGGGTGTGGAGAGGTCCGCTTGGATGGTCCATGTTTTGGGGTTGTGAGGGAGTTGGCTGATTTTGGTGCGGAGGTCGGTGATGGATTGGGCGCTGTTGGGGGAGACGTAAGTCATGCAGACCTGGAGGGTTTTAGTTTATTTGGTATGATGTAGGGAAGGGGTTGTGTATGTATATTGGCTTACTTACATTTGCACCGCGACGTGCAAGTTCCCACGCGATGCTGGCGCCGATGCCGCGGGATGCGCCCGTCACGATGGCGAGCTTGCCATGAAGTGGGAGAGTAAACTCAAACGACGATGTATCCATTATTTACGAGGAGAATAAGATGGTTCCATGAACTAGTCGATCGTGGGTTGTTCAGTTAATGACCTGTGTCAGTGGGATATATATAGTAGGACATTCTAGCTATGAGACAACGGCTTACGCTGTACCGTGATGTCATTCCTCGGGTATAGGATATAAGTCAGTAACTCCGGAGCCATAATCCTCTAGACACATCCATTGCACATTGGCCAAATGGACATTAGCTAATTCAGTGCTATTGATCAGAGCTTACTACAGTGGTTGGGCAATGGCAAGGTTGATCTGGGGAAACCGATCAATCTACTATAGGATATTGTCTTTGCGTAATGCACAGTAGCATTGTTGCACACTACATTGCCTTACACAACCGACCGATTTCAGACAGAAGCGATAAGAGCGAACGAGACGAAGGATGAAGAGCAAAACAGGCCTACAGTGTACAAAATTCCAAGTGTCAAATTCATGCTGGCGCTGAAGGATTTCAGGTCATCATTTGCATTGCTAGTCACACCCAATACGAACAAAACTTCAAGCCAATGCAGAACCAACATATACAGTCAAGCTAATCACATAGAGTCATTGATCCATTCGTCCATTCGTGTCCTCTGGTGGTAATCATGCCCAGACCGACAGGCACTCATCATCGTCGAAAGTTCTTTCGCGTCTCGATAGGAAGTCCTTGCTCAACATTTACAGAATATCGCAGGTTCCAGACACCTGTGTCTGTGGGGGACTGACAGGCACAGTCACCTCACCAGCCACCACAGTGGTGCTACCATCAACTCCCTGGAAGGAGCAGAATCCGCCTCCGACAGAGGAAATTTTGGTAATTGACAGTTGGTTGGCTGTAGATGAAAAATGTTAGATACATGTCCTTCAAGTCCGGGAGTAAGAGTAACTAAGTCAAAGACATACTGATTGCATGAGTGGTATCGTCAGCTGGGAAGGTTTGAAAGAACGAGGAACCGTCGGCGCCCCAGAAGGTGATGGCGACTTCGAAGGTTGAGCTATCAGTGGGAGCGGCGCTGGACAGAGCAGCGAAGGTAGAGCAAGCCGCGGTGATGAAAGAGGTCTTCATTTTGAAAAAGTGCTTTGGATGAATTGGTATGAGATGTTTTTGAAGAGATGAGAAGATGCTGGTTAGAGGGATATGTTCCTTCTCAAGTGACATGGAGAGACGGGGACATTTATATGTTTTCAGTCGCTCCTACTCGCTCAGTAAAATCCCACACCGCTTGATCCCCATGATGTTCTCCTTCTAGATGTGTTCGTGGTTTCCGAATTGGGTAGACCAAAAATAGGCATCTACAGGTCTGATGCATCGATGTCATAGGACTGGGTGCCACGGAAAGATCGCCGCTGTCAGGCAAGCCACCCGTGACTATTGAACCCACCACGACACTCGTAGCGAGAATTGACTGGTTCGAGAGCGAGACATGTTCAAGGCATTCATTAGTTGGATATTTTGGGTTCAGATCGTGTCTGACTCAGATCAAGCCCGATCGGCACTATACGAGCCGCGTGGTGCCCCGCAAACTCCGATTAGTGACTCGATCTGCCCATGTCTACAGGACAGATGAGACATAACCTCGTACTGGTGCCTATTGAGGCACATTGTTTCAGTTGCGAGAATAAGATATCGGGCATTGTTCTCAGAAGGGGCTTAGCTTGACGACACCGCAACATAGAAAACAGACTAGAAATCACTAAACTGGACTTGGTAATTGTTCAAAAGATCATCCTTCGATGGCATACACGAACTGTGTATGCCGGCTGAGCTGAGGGTTGGGTAGTAGTGAGGCTGATTGAAAGGATGTTGTGGGCACGCATGATTTGCCTTGAAAGGTGTCCAAGCAAGGAGGCATAGACTTGAGGGGAACAATGCGTTACACAGTAAACATCCAAGCCTGCACGCAGTTCAGCGATGCGACCTCGAACTCGAAAACGCTGTAGCTCACTACACAAAATGAATGAGCAGCAAAAGAGGGACATACTCTATAAGGTATTAAGTAAGCTAACTTAGGTCCCGACTCTAGTAATGGGTTTATCAATACTGGCCAAGATCACACATGACTTGGGGTCTTTTACAAAAGAAAAGTCTGTTGTGCTTAAAATTCCGGTGTCGACTTACTAACCAATAAGCACGTTAGGACAGGCGCATAATTTCCCCCGCGATGACCTTTGCAGCAAAAGCCTTGTGTGTATCAGACTCGCGATAGGGTTCAAGGTCAGGACACAAGGTAATTCTGAGACTTTCTTGATCTACTAACTTCTTCATTCAAGCTCGTTTTCGTCAGGTTTTCTCGTCACGGATAATCTATGCGTGCTATAAGGCTGAGTACCTAAGGCGGTTGATGCACCGAAGGAGAGCCGGAAATATGATATCACAGATCCGGATGTGCTGGCATATGCTGGCTAGTCCAACGTGTTATTTTCCCATCTAGCGCTGCATTTTCCGAAGGGTCCGGCTGGGCAAGGTTTGGACTAACATCTGCACCACTGGCTCTGGCATCGGCTTGGAAGTTTCAGCCTTATCCCTTATTGTCAACACAATCGTTCAGCGAATAACAACGCAGAAAAAGTGAATGTGATGCAGGTTCGGTTACACTTTCAAGGCCAAGTAGCACTTAAAGATCTATTTATGTGATGGGACGATATGGGATGAGTTGGTTTATCAATTCAGAACGCCGCAGGATGCAGAAAAGCCCGTTCCAATGCGGGGAAATTTGATCACGAGACCACCCTCTCCCTCCCTATGCACGACTTGTTGATTACTATACCCCCATTCACTTGAGGACTTGGATCTAGTCAGTGCTCCAGTACCCTGAGTTACTATGGACTTTTATCCCCTCTATTCCGGCTGAGAGGAGAATGAAGGTCGCAATAGTCAAGGAGACAGGGTAGGGTCAGATCAGGCAGTTAAGATATGAACATCGCTTCCAAGAACTGTACTATCAAGCACTACCAATCAGCAAATCACTAGTATCCACATATCAACACTGAATGACCAACCATTACTGCTCAACTCCTGCATCACAAGACATATCCACGACTTTTGCTCACAGTTCTCTTTCCATTGGCTTTATTCAACATCGCAGCAAACCTAGCCTCCGCTTCAATACCATTGATGTTCTCAACAAGTTTAATGTAGCCCTCATCATCCAATGCGAAGAGGGCCTCTTTCACCCAAACACGACAAGTCATAGCTTCATGAAAGCGCGTCGAGTACTGGATGGGGATCTGCGACAAGCGGGTCTCCAACGGGCCGTGCAGTGCGGGGTGCAGATCTCCCACCTTCAGCGCCAGAAGGTATTGCCTCGAAGTGATGACCTTTTGGTCCAACTTGATCTCATAGCTGTAGACATTTCGGTTGGGGAAGTTGATGATATTGAAAATGGTGCCATCGGTCGGGGATTTGGCAAGGCAGAGACCCCAGTGGAATGTCGAGCTGGACTCTCGATCTGCTAGGAGGAGGTAGAGACCGTTGGGCTCTAAGTGCAGGGCCATATGGGTGACAGTGATGGAGAGTATTAAAAAGACGTATAAAAGAGTGAAGTCGGTTGGTGCGACCCAGTTGCAGATGTATACTGGGTAGTGGGCACTGTACCCCTCATGTTCAGGGTGTTCTTCCAGCAGCTGAGGCGGAAGCTGCGCCACATTTGCAAGGATATGTGGCGAGCAAGTGAATGAAAAGTGGATGTGGTAATCCTAAGCGACACTTGTGGGATTATATATTCATAGCGGGAAAGCCTGCGTTAGTCGTCTTGACTAAAGGTTATCAACTCGGGTCTAAGCTCATAGCGTGTCCGAGGTTACGTCGTCAGTGGTTCAGCTTCGTTCAACGCCTGTGCTCATTGACAGCTGAGAAGAAAGTAAACACCGGTCATCACATGATAACAGTAAGAATGAATTACAGTGAAACGCAGGACCATCCACTTGGGCGTTTGCCGACGGAGTGCGATTACTAAATGTTGGAGAGTGATGACCGACACCCCTGCAAAGCTAACATCATGCCAAGGCCCTACAGACCACGCGGGTCTGATTTGACACTAAGCCAACCTGTGAGCCCCTATTCCCATCCGCTCAGGGATATCGCGTGGCTGAGTTTGGGCAGAAGCCAGCGGGTACTCGAATGCATTCCATACTGTTGTTATCACGAAGGTGCGTGACTACGCGATCAATCACAAGGAGAAGCTGTCGCAGGGCAATAGTGTGGCAGGCGCTGCACTGTTCCTGCATGCAATTCTGGCTGACTGGCTTCTGCATGATGCTGGCCATCCGAGCTGGTATGTTTGGTCCCGGAAACATGATATGAAGAACTCATTTACCTCCACTAAATGTTCCGACATGAAGTGGTCTGGCTTGACGGCCACTCTTTTTCCCTTACGCATATCATAACGAAGTTAACATAAAGATTAATATCAAGAACTGATATGTCGTTGGTCCCCTGGTTCTGAGCAGGTCTCAAACTATCTCGATAAGACATCCTTGCGACGTCTGTGTGTTCTGATTTGTGGCTTGATTCTTGTTTCTCCTCGGCTGCGACAGAGCTTGAACAATCATTGCGGGTCATTAGCGCATTTTGGCATAGCCAGCCGGTGACTCAGATCACTAGATGAGTCTGGGGTAGATATTTTGATACTCAGTTAGGTGGGGTTACGATAGAAGTTACAGACCAACGCTGAGTGAGTTAACGTTAAAGGAGGCGATTCAATCCTTTTGTGGCGACGCCCCGAGCCATCCGAGCTTCCGAGCCTGCGGTGAATCGTGCTCCCCAGTCGAGAAGAATAATTGAGCTAATGATGTTTAGTACTACGGGACTCTCCTCATTGTTTTATAAATAGAATAGTGGGATGGGGCCACGTGTGTATCTGTTTGTCAGCTCTTCAAAATACCCGTGATCATCACGCTTCCGCATGGGAATGCCGCGAACGATACGGTGACCACGAAACAGGTACCTGCACCTGTCCGACTGTCTAATTCACCCATATCTGTGAGCATTACGACTTCCATTATGCCTGATATGTGTTGCTCGGACGATGCGTTGTACGCATCGGGCGGGAAGGGCTCCATGCGGTATTTATTCCTTCATGGAGGTCATTCCCAACTACCTCCCCCTGACAACTTCTCGGTGGAGGCGAAAGTGCTAGTACAAAATACTCATGGAGAGATGTAAGCAAGCAAAGCAGACTTTATCCCGACAATGCGCTTACCTTCGATTACGCGCCCCTGTCGGCCGAAACACTGACTTCTTACTAGCATTTTCGACGACAGCCCAGATCAACCCACCTCACAGTACCAGTTCATTAATCGCACCTTGAAATCCGTCGATGGGAAGGAAGATGCGTACATACCAAAGCAGCTCTTTGTAGAAAAGATGCTGATGAATGTTTCTATCCCTACATTACTGTTCGCCGAAATACCACGGTGGGTCTTTACCCGACCTTGACATCTCCGTCGGAACGAGAATGACTGAACAAATACAGTGACCATGCAGATACCCCAAGCAGCGAGAATGTATCTTACGTGTATGTGTACCTAAGCCTTTTTCTTTCCTATCGAAAATCTGCTTGCTGTCAAATATTACCAAGGTTTCTCCTCTCTAATGTCCCGCGTCAGCACCCTATTAATCCTCGGCCGAACTGGTGTTGAGCAAGCCTCCTTCCAGGACTATGAGTATCTGAAATCTATGCTTCATCTATTCGTTCCCCGATTCGGTCGGGCCATATCCCGCATGAGCGACGTATACCTCCCCGGTGATGCACTGAATCTGTCGCATGAGGTTGCCGGCTATATGATGGTCCCGTCGGGAGATACCAATAATCTTCGCACCTTTCTGGCCATGTATGCAAAGCGCTACATGCTCAAGTCATCTAGCGAAACCGAGGTATTGGAACGGTGTTTGTTGCATATGCTGAAGATGCCGTTTGAGTTGAGCTCGGCAATACGGTATGGTCTTATTCTGTATTGAGCTTGTTATCTCGGGTTGTGGGCGGCGCTGGTCTAGTCTCCCGATACATTGGCAGAAATTTGAATGCGGGTTCTGCACATGTACAGTGTGATACCTTTTGGATCTTGGGTGGGTTTGGCCGATTACAAGTCAAAACTGCCAGGCATTGACCCTTTACGTCGGAAACGCTTGTTGAATGCGGACGGAAAAAAGGACGATTATTTCTTCTACACCGATCGCTGCCATAGCATACATGTGTCAGGTGGATATATATTTCGGTGGCTCTGTCCCCTTATATACCTAAATTGAAGCTCAGATGTTCATACTCACACCCCAGTCTTGATAAAAATTCCTCTCACAATGTCATGGAAACTTGCCAGTCTCATAACCTCCGCTTTCTGGTCCAGCCAGTCTTGTACTCTGCCTGATGTAGACGTGGAAACACATGAGCTTCGGTGTTGAACACCACGTCAGTCAATGGGAGAAAATCACTTGGTGAGAAGAGGAGATAGAGGTATTTCAAGGTTTATCACGTCTCTTCGGAGGAACTATCGTGACATCACTAAGAGATGTATAACCTTCCCCGTCCTTAACCCGCGTGTGCTTTTGGAATGCCTTGAAGATCTCCCATCCCCATTGTCGATATATCGGATCTTTCGTAACACGATACATTAAGAAGAGGCTCTCGACAGTCTCTGGGCGTTGTAAGTTATCGGCATCTATTAGTCGGATGTTGATATCCTTAATCCAGGAGTTAATGTCGTCTCTGCTTGAGGGTCGAGACATATTTGAATTGGAAGATGGCTCAAGGTCGGAATCATCTGTCTCGAACCATACAATTTCCGGTGCTAGCCCCGTCTCTGTGACTGCGTATTGCGCCCAGCATGTCTTCGTTAGCCCCCTAGCGAGACGCATCTGCTCCTCTTTTTGAGCATTCCAGTGTCCAGTTCTGCGGGCCTCGGCTTCAGTCAACCCGCCCGTAGCCCCGATTGCGATGGATCCTGGGAGAAAGCAAACGAGGTGGTCCATCTTCGGGGAAAGACGACCACCAATGCCGCCTGGAAGCTCTGCTATGTATTGGAGGTTGGAGTGCTTGGTGAAGGTAACAAGATTCTTCTGAATCCCTGCGAGTGCCTCTTCCCACATCTCCCCGTAGATAGATTCGTTGGTCTGCAGGTATTGCTTTACTAAATATTCTATGTCTATATGAGCCTGTATTCAACGTGTGGGAATGGACATGCGGACTTACCATAGTACGAATCGCCACGGCTTCCGAGCCGAATTGTCTTATGCCGGAACCTTCCAGTATCTGGATTCACAAAGATAGGTACAAGACCATCTTTCACACCGCGGCTATCGAGTACCTCCATAACCTTTTCAGCTTTATTCCAATACACAGTGTCTCCCGTTAGATGGGATAGGTACTTCATCTCCAACTGCACGGTAGCTGCTTCGGCGGTAGATGAAGCCCCGCCATCAGCATGCGAGCGGATTCCTTCTCGTTTTGCTAGGTTGACGCTAGCATAAGGGATCCCCGATCCCGAGTCATATGCTGCGAGCAGTCGGTCTGCTAAGTCGACTGCCTTGGACAGGTAAACGGAATCCCGCCCGAAGGAAGCATCTGGAAGCTGAGTGGATAGGTAATGAGCAGACAGCAGGCCCCCGAGCATACGTATTGTGGTCTCGAATGTATTCACGTCTTGGTCTTGATCATATGTCAAATTCTTTTCAAGCCATTGTCGAGCGTCTGATAGGCGAGTTGTGAGGTTCATGATCATCAGCGTATCCAGGCTGTCTACGATTATCCATCCCAGGCCATTGGGGCTCATCTGAGAGCCCCTTTTTGACAACGGATGGAATCGGTCTTGTCCTGCTCGAAGGTTGAATTTTCTATTTCTTAGGTTTGATGCAATGCCGTTCGTCACTCACCCCAAGCGTATTTTGCGTATGCATCCCAGCTTGTGATGAAGGCTGTTCGAACCTCCTCTCTATGGCTTTCCCAGTAGGTGTCGTTGTGGACTGAAGGAGATGGTCCGAGCAGTGTATCTAGGCTCAAGAAGTGGAAGCACCATCCCACAATGAAAGCCAATATTGCGACTAGGGACGCTGAAGCTTTTGAAGGGGATGGAAACAAATAGCGCCAAGTGCCAGTGTCCGGAGTTGGTGCATACAGTCGGCGCTTATTCCCTCGACTATCTGTGTCGCTACAAGCCATGGAATCAGTGGTGGGTATGGAAGTCACACGTCGATAACTGATCGGAAACCATGCCAGGTGTGATGTTTAACAACACTCCCTGAATAAAGAAAGCTTACCCAGATCCCATGCACTGAGCAGGAAAATGCGGCGCACACATGGACGTGCTGGCGGCTACAGGATGGCTCCAATTTGCGAGCAGCACCCGCCATCCCCACTCCTAGCATATCTAACAGCTCGGACATGTTCACAGCTCCCCCATTGGCTATGTCAATGGAGTGGGCGGGGGTAAGGGTACTATCCGTTAGCAGCAACGCTAGATTGGCGCCGCTGTTTGTGATGGCTACAGGTCACCATCTCATAGCTCCAACGGCTGAAAAGGTATAGTGGTGCATGCCTTCTTTGTGGCTATGGCGCTTAGCGATTGGCACTCGTTATCGAGTACCCCTCGCAATGTCGATCGGGCTGGAAGCTGCATCATTAGGCTTATTTAGTGTAAATATGGATCCAAGACGCTCCCGGAAAGGTATTGGGCGCTTAAAGCACTGCCTATATGAGGTTGGCGACCCGACATTTGCTACTGGGTCTTCTGCGAGGACTTTAGGAGTCTGAAACTTACCATCGCTATACTGCGGCTGCCGTGACATCTCTCTCTTTCTCTCGATATTGCGACCGACTTCAAGCACCTTCTGTCTGCATGAGCAGGTCGTCAAACGGATTTGGACAGACCCTCCGACGCGATAATACGGGTATCGTGACGAAAAGTCACCATATATCGTCAGAATGAGTGTCAGCATGGACACGACTGAATCCAACTATCCTCCCGAGACGGATAGTAGCGGTACCGTCACATCCTACATGCCACTCACCTCGGTATGGACGGCTTCCTCGGGATGCGAAAGCAAGTTTCGCCTTGACGGGCCGAGTCTCATGGCCTGGGATCCTGGATATATGCTTGACATAGACACCAATGCTCGATGTTGTCCACCTCAAATGGTCACTTGGTGGGAACAAGCTCTGCTCGGTGTTGGAGGTCAATATCACACACAGATGGAGATTGGGCCGTTCACTGGACCGGAGTCGTGGCCAACGGTCGCATCATCGATTAAGAATGAATACAGCACGCTATGGATGTGTTGCCCATCGTAAGTGCACTCCATCTACAAGGATTTACATTCCATTCTACAAACAACATACTGACCACACACAAACAGAGGTTACTTCCTGTCTCAGGGAACAGTCGGGCAGGTAACAGGAAGGTGCATGTCAAGCGTTTATTCCGGGCAGACTTTAACATATGGATCAACGCCATTAAGTGACCATACAGCATGGTCAATAGCGACAACGACATTGACAACGGATTCGACCGTTGGGGCAATCGATATAGTTGGCTGGGAAATAAAGTATCCCGTCACGGCCACAGCAACAGCCACATCTACGTCAACGGCGACCGCGTCCACCTCCTCATCCACTTTAACTTCGGTTCCATCAACAGCACAGGACAATACTTCAACTTCTGGGAATACCCTGAGCACTGGTGCCAAAGCTGGAATTGGCATTGGTGTTGGGGTGGGCGCAGTGGGCATAATTGCTTTGATCCTGGCTTTATTACTTTTCAACCAGCGGAAACGTCTCGCCGTAAACAGTCAACAGCCGGTCGCTGCCTACGCATACTATCCGCCATTTGCAAGAAATACGAAGCCCGCTGAGTTACCAGGGTATAGGGGTATGCCCGGTGATGCGTGGGCTTCATCACCTGTGGAAATGGGCGAGAGGTGAATATAAAAACTTTGAACTGAAATTTCGCACGTTCTTGTCTCTTTCTATATTTGTACATATTTATCACCTATATTTTCTGGGTGCATGATAATGGCGTCTACAGAGTATATTTAATTTCAAGGAAGAATACCATTGTTAATGAGACTACATATAGCTCTCAATCAAATCTGGCAAGGGCCGGAAATGGCCACATTCCCCTACAACATAAAGCGTGCTAAGAATATTATCTCGAAAACAAGATATAACGACCAGATCTTTTCACTGGCTTATCAGAGCACACAGCCCAGAATTAAGATGAAACACAACCCTGTCATGGTTCATTATCACGGAGGAATGAACGTTGGGTCCAGGACCGCACTAATGGCTGCATTAGGCCGTCGCAACTATCTAGAAACTAGACTACGCTCATAACAAACTAACATGCGCCGCCAACTTTAGTATACCACCTACACCCTACGCAGTAATATTTATCACACCATTCATACACCATTTATTTAGCCGTCCACCGTGGTCTATGCGCTTAATGGCCAGGGCAACTGGCCCCGGGGTCAACGGTACCTTGCACGTGCAGCCTTAGTCTTTTCTTAGGGACACACACCAGATAACTACCTGCCTCATAGAGTTAGTCGAGGAATAACTTGGAGCAGCAACTCAATAAATTGTGATCTCAGTCAATGTGTTACTTTCACACCTATAAATTCATCGTTGAGCATTCTTGTGAATGTAAATCGAACATGTTCATGTACCTCCGAAAAACAGACGCATCATGAATCCGCCCGAATCCCGCGTGGATTCCGGCCCGTCCTGGAGCTAAGCTAAACTCAAGCGAGTCCTTAACAGGAGAATGGAGAGCACTGGCCTACGACCACGGACCAACTAGGCCCCGGGCAGTTCCGGGGAGGGAAGCTATTCCGAGCTGCCAGCTTAGCGCGCGGAAGTCACTTGCTCCTCTTCTTCCTTCTCACTCGGACGATCGGCTCAACATGATCCTGCGATTCTATTCAATTTCTTCATATAAGTGTCAGCTTTTGTCATCTTTCATGCATGTGCATGATCCTGCAAATGGTAAGGCTGACATATCCCCTTTTTGCTTTTCTCTCCTGTGGTCAGGCGCCCTCGGCGATCTTCCGGTTGCATTTCGGTTAGCAAAGGCGCGAGGGGTAATCGTTATATTAGGATGGGACCCTTAGTCTAATTTATGGGTGGCACTAAGAACAAGCGGTGCTATCACACTGCCTCCGCGCTACGTCGAACAATCTCATTCGGTGTTACAAGATCCCTACATCAATGGACCCCTGCACAGTCATCCCAGCTGACTTGATAGGCCTCTAACATTCGTGCACCCCTTAGTTCGGCTCAGCCGCTGTTTAGTGCTTGGCCTAGTCGCTATCCGAGCAGGCCGGATCCCCTACCTAAGCAATCTCTAACCCCAAAAGGGCATTCGCGGCCCATTGTTGTCTGTCAATCAACAGATGGAGGCGAGCGGCGCGCAACCAACATCCCGCAGATTCTTACCACATTCGACAATGGCCATAGGTTAGCTGCAGGACCGGCGCCGTCATCCAGCGATCAATCAATGGCCAGGACCCCAAATACCCATGCTATCCGTTGGGGTTGTAGTGTCTACCCTGCTACTTGCTCAGGGTAGGCTGTAAATTGGCTTGGTTATATGGGTGCCCTCTCCGCCCTAAATTGCGCACCATGCTTTCACCCTTCTATTGCGATCTCGCCCACCAGGAATGGAATCAGAATGAAAGAGCCCACCATGCACCGTGCATACTTCACGATGGGCCGGAGCCAGCGATTCTGGCTCAGGTCGTTATCTAATGTGGTGATGGCTTTCATGGTCGTTATTGGCCTGATGAAGATGTTCTCCCAATTCCGTGAGTTTACTTCATTCTAAGTTACGTTGTAATTCGTATAAGGCTGACCTTCCCAGAAAGCCCTCACGAGGCACAAACATCAGAGTCTCAACCTGTAATCCGCAAGGTCACTATGGTCTATGGTAACAGAACCTCTTATTATCGAGGTTTAAAGACCCATGAGGATCATTCACTCAAATTCGGATATCCTATGACCGTGCTGCGCAAACCCATCCTTGGGGGATACTGGAGTAAACCCGCCATTCTCTTATCAGCCCTCGTAGAGGAAATGGAAAAGCCAGAGGAAGATCAAGCCAAATGGTTATTGTGAGTTTGCCAAACCAGCATGTAAGGAGACTCGGTTATCACTACCGTGAACTAACCAAGTTTCCCAACAAATAGTTGGTTTGATGGAGACACTATCCTTATGAACCCCAACATTCCCCTCGACATCTTCCTCCCACCTCCTCAATTCGACGATACTCATCTCCTCATGACAAGCGACTGGAACGGCATGAATAACGGAGTTTTCTTTATCCGCGTCAATCAGTGGGCCGTAGAATTGCTCTCTGCTACACTTGCCTACCCAACAGCACATCCCGAGGTTAGCCTATTATTTGCCGACCAGTCCGCCATGGATAACGTTATCCTTGAGCACGAATACTTCCGCCGTTCTATCGTTTTTTACCCCTTGCGATGGTTCAATGCCTACCCGCGAAACGCCGATGCTGTTGACCTCAACCCCGATCGCCCCGTGGACTCCCAAGTACATCATGGCGACCTTCTGGTTCACTTCCCCGGAGCACCGCCAGATCGGTTTGACGAGATCATGGACCCCTACCTCAAGGTAGCCGAAGCGCATACCCCAGAATGGGAATTACCTCTTCAGAAGACGGGATATATGAAAGAGATAACCAACTTTTGGCGGGACAGACATGAGTTGTTATTTGGGGATACACCAGAGTCGTCCGACAACCTTGCTTGATCGGGCTGGTCCCAGAAATTCACATTTTCTGTATACAAAATGAACCGTTTGGCTTCTTGTCGCAAATATCGCTCATCTAGTGCTGGCACATTTGTGAAGGCGACAATGTTTTGTGACAACAAACACCATGATTGTACGACTAATCCACTGTTCCTGAGGGGGTTATCGTTGCTTTTGCTCTAACAAACCCCATGATACCACATCTCAATGCAGACTTTTTGAAGTTATCATATCTCCAATACTCCTCCATGGTCCCATATGTCATACTACCAACCAACGACCACCCAACTATGTAGACAAACTGATCTACTCCCAACGCGTGCTCATAACCACAGTGCGTGGAGAAAAGTGTACACCTCCCCACCCAAAAGCGGCTCCTTTCGGCCGGAGCCGCTGATCACAATTGCTTAGTTAGTTGGGTTGGCGGTAACTACCACTAACCACGGCGCTTACACAACATATCCTGTTGGCCAGGATATATTAGTGGGCATAATCAGGTATAAGAATATCAATGGAATTTAATTCCATTGGTCAGGTCAAATTGTCTCAATAATGTTCGATCCCTGCTCAGACATGCTTAGATCGTAGTACTAGTCGCCATAACATATTCATGTAGATGTCGCCTGCATCATGGGCGTTATTATTAGTTGCATTTTAATGCCTCGTGTGTGGCTGAGTATGGTTTCATAGCACATGATTTAATTGCAGATTCCAACATGGGCTGTGCTTCCATCATTCGTCTTATAGTATCACCTAGACCTAGGAACGCCATGGTCAGTTACTACCCTGGTATCACTTTCTTTCCAGCCAAACTAGTAAGTTATACGTAATAACCCAAGAGTCCAGAGACAGGCACACACACACACACACACACACACACACCATCATAGTAGAGTTGCTCACCAACAGTCGGTAACGCAGCCATTAGAGCATAAGTACTAAGTACAAGTGCTAGTAAAATATTCCGCCCGGAAGGGGACGACGTTCATGTCTCGAAACTAAATAACCACTAACGTAAGCCCGTAGTCGGTCTTCTTCTAGTCAGAAAATACGTACTCGGCCCATAGTAATACATGATTCCTTAACAAATAGAATGCAAGCACTACGGATGCAGTTTTCAATTCTTACTAGTAGTCAAATGCCGAATGGGTGTCAGTGCATGATTGGCTCTCCCTTTACCCCACAGTTTTCGATTTCTATGAGCGGGTGGGTAAGAGAATCCTTTGCGGGGATAAGCTTTCTCACGTATATTGCCGGATTGGGGTTGGGTTTTACTTGTCTATACGAGGTTCGGGAGGAGAAGGTTTATGGGATGGTTTGTCGAGGGGTGTTGTGTTGCATTTGAGAGGGGTAGCTGGTAATACTAGTAGTAATAAGGGGTTGTAGATACAGTTTCTGTATCAGGCTCGATAGGCTATATAAGGTCGAGTATATCCACTATGTTTTTCGAGACAGAAGCATCGTCTCTTGATTGCCTCTATCATATTCATTCATCTGGAAATCCATCTATTGGTCACAATGATTGCTCCTGCTACCTCCGACGATAAGAAGGCTTCCTTCGCACGCTTCAATGCTACCGCTACCTCTACTGATGTCATCATCGAGGCAATCCGTCGAGACGGAGGCGTAATCGTGGAAAATCTCATCACTCGTGATGCAGCCGGACAGATCAAACAAGATCTGAAGCCACACTTTGATAAAGATATACCAGACAAGTATGGCTTATTCCCTCCAACCACCCAGCGTGCTACCGGCCTGCTAGGCATCTCAGATGCCTGCGTCGACTTGGCTTGCAATCCAACCTATATCAGCGTCGCCAATGCACTTGCCTCATCCAGCTATTCCTTCTGGAGGGGCGATCATAAGGTGACGGTGTCCGGAAAGCCGATCATCTCTAGCACGGCTGGGTTCCGGGTGACACCCGGAAGCAAGCAGCAGGTGCTTCATCGTGATGATAAGTATGTCTGCAGGGACCTATGCCTGGCTAGTAGGCTGACAGGATAGCAGTGACTATCATCCACATGACGCTCAATTGCCAGTGATGATTGGTTGTGTGACTGCATTGACGAAGACAACCAAGGAGAATGGAGCGACCGTTGCCATTCCAGGTTCACATCTCTGGGGCTCGGAGCGGCAACCATTAGATGAGGAAGCCGTTCCTGCGGAACTGGAGCCCGGTGATGCGTTTATTTTCTTGGGTAATCTGTATCATGCTGGTGGTGCGAATGTCACTGAGTATGTTGCTCCTTTCCTCGTATCTTATGTTGCACTTTGGTGACCGATCCGACACATAGAAACGATTACCGCGAAACGGTGGGAATCTTCCTCTGCAAGCCAACGCTGCGTCCGGCCGAGAACCAGTTCTTGGTCGTTCCAAAGGAACGAGTCAAGAGCATGAAGCCCCAAGCCCAGAGACTTCTAGGGTATGGGGTCTGCGAGCCAGGTGTTGGCTTCATGCATTATCAGGATCCAATGAATGATATTCAATATTGTGATAGATACGGAGGACATTCTCCGAGCTCATCCTTTTCAGAACACAAGAAGATGACCCAGCTGTTGTTTGGAATCTCGACCATACTGTATCCACTTCCCGGTGCCATGATGCTTCGAGCTTGACCAGAATGCACGCAGAAAGTCCAGTGCCCTATGGTTGCACCACAACCCAGTCGTCACAAGTAGCTTTAGCAGAATCTGTTCAACTATTCGTTGCTTAACCTCGTCTCCCCAACACTCTGTACCAGCAATGAAAAGAGGAAAGAAGAGGTCCTGTGAGAATGCATCACCGGAAGCCAAGACAACCTTTTGGATTCTATCAAGCAGTATGGGTACGGTAGAGGAGATGGTTTTCATCATTGCGGTTGGAGATGCAAAAGCCTGATGAAAGTATATAAGCGTCGCGTAATAATGTGTGTCTATGAGCGCTTCAAAGCCTTCTCGCGTAGTCTTCCCCTGGGACAAAAGACATGTGATATCCGACAGACTCATTTGTGTGGAGGCCTGCTCTAGCTTTGCTTGCCAGATATTGAAGTTGACATCAGGTGGCTGTCGGCCTTCAATGAGATGCCCATAACGATGCCTTTCCATGGCAGTAATGTCATTAATCAGGTCTGTAAATGTCCATGGCTGGAACTCGATTGCTGTAGTCGCTACTTTACTGCTGCTTGAGAAGGAGAAGACATTATTGAATACCTCAACGTCCCTGATCTCTTTGATCGCAAATTGTGTCATGGGATCGAGAGTCTCGTTGCGAGCGCACACTCCATACCTGCTTACGATTGCACGGCAGGCTTGTAGATGAGTTGTCCAGTCAGTCGAATCGCGAGTCACCAATTCCGCATGGCAAAGTGTAATCGCAGCAATGAGAATTCTAGTCAGACATAGCTGGTCAGGGGGCTTCACGGCATGGCAGTCTAGTTGGCGCTGGATCTCTTGGTTTAGGCTGCGTAAGGCAATATCTCTTAGGCTAAAATTGACCTGTTTCATACGTAATGCAATGGTACCAGTAGATGTGGCTGCTAAGTGAGCGGCAGCGAGGTTCAGTATAGACAGGCGGACACTTATAGACCCTTGCGCCAGAGGCAGCACGATCTTTCTCCAAGGATTCTTGTGACTGTCGATCCACGAGAATATGCTTACAACGTGGCGGCTAAAATGATTGATCAGTCGTTCACCTAGAACCGTCGATGACTGGCGGCGACCGAGACCATCATCTGTCAAAGGGTGAGGGATCGGCGGACTGGCCTCCACAACAAATGTATGGAGGATAGAAGTACCATGCTTGACGATATAGCCTTCCGTTTCTCGATCTTGCGGACTGAATCCAGGTTGAGATAAAGACTGGTTCCCTCGACGTGCCATGGCATGGTTCCAATTCAATTGAACTGCGTCGAACCCAGGACAACCGAGCCCCCGAATAGTGCACTTACGGCACTGTGGAATAGTCCGATCACATTTTATGCGTCTTTTGGTGCATAAACGGCAGTCTGAAGTGTCAGCAGGGTTTGCAATGAGTTGTGATCGATCTCCGTACCTCGGGTTGCAATTTTCCGATCGGCAGGGAGAAAATCATTCCGAACATTCTTCATCGTGTAAGCCGGTTGGGGAATATACCCCGGCGACAAGCATATGTAAAGCTGATACCAAGATTAGGTGGTACTTGAAGGCCTTAGCGACTTGTGTCGTGGCATGAAACTGCAAGATGGATTCCTATCATTGCCATGTTCGGGGATGGATGAGTGGATAACAAATTGATAGCATCAAACGGATGGTTATCGCTGAGTGGGTCACATGATCTTCCACATTCAGGACAACGGGCATTATTTCCTTCTACGACAGCATTTCTATGAACTCAACGATGTCAAATGTTCGATTTGAGAGCAGTCAATATCAGATTTATTCCCCGTTATTGGAGTCAGGGGCTGATTTGCAACGCTTTGAAAAATGCATGATATTACTCTATTTTGCCTATTCCGGTATGTCCCGGCGAGGCTGCGGCCAAGGCCGCCAACAGCCGTTTACTGTATTAGGCAAGTGTCGGCGGCTGTTCATACAATTGTAAGGTGACCAGCTTCTGTATACTGAACACCAAAAGGCATAAATAGAGCTCATTCCTCCCAGAATGCACTTCTAAATCTCACCGGAAAGCATACTAGAGCAAACAATTTCTCAAGTACTCGTTCAATACCAGAAACACTACCATGAGTTCCGTCCAAATTGCAGTTGTTGGCCTTGGCCGGATGGTACGCATCTTTTGCATTCAGAGTCTCGTACCACAATGCTAATATACACCCAGGGAAAGCGCCATGTGCATACATTGCTCTACCGAGTCCCACGGGCGAGAGTGGTGGCAGTCTGCAGCACTGATGCTAGCGAGATTGAATGGGCCACGAGCAACCAGGAGTATAAAGACTTCGGCATCACTGTCTATGACAACTATAACAACATGCTGGCTCACCCCGGACTTCAGGCAGTCTGGATTTCAAGCAGCACCGACGTGCATGCAAGCCAATCTCTGGCTGCTATCAACAAGGATCTACATGTCCTTTGTGAAAAGCCCCTGAGTACAGACTTGGCTGAGGTATGCTATTACTGGCGTAACTGATGTACCCACGCTGACATTTCGACCCTAGGCCCAGTCTGTGGTTGACGCAGCAAAGGCCAAGCCTTCACTTAAAGTGATGGCTGGCTTCTCGCGCAGGTTTGATGCCTCCTACCGGGACGCAAGCCACAAGATCTTCGATAAAAAGGCCATTGGATCGCCATTTCTCGTCCGGTCAAACACCTGCGACCTGAAGGATGAGACGGGCTTCTTCGTCCGATACGCATCTCGCAACGGAGGTATCTTCGTCGATTGTGCCATCCACGACATTGACTTGTCTCTCTGGTTCTTGGATAACCCGACGCCCAAAGCTTGTTGGGCAGCCGGAACGCTTCAGCATCACCCTGAGCTGAAAGACCTGGCAGACGTCGACAATGCGGTAGGTGTTGTTGAGTTCTGGGGCGGCAAGATTGCATACTTCTACTGCTCGCGGACCCAGGCACATGGACATGATGTGTGCACCGAGATCACCGGAACCGAGGGCAAGGTGATGGTCAACGTGATCCCGCAACAGAACAACGTTGTCCTTGCCGATAAACTGGGTATGCGACACGAAGTGCAGCCGGAATACTGGGAGCGATTCGAGAATGCATTTGCCGTGGAAGCCAACGAGTTTGTGAATGCAGTGCTCAAGGATACCGAAGTTCCGCTGCCGCTAGAGCGAGGAATCATGGTGATGAAGATTGGACAAGCTCTGCAACGTGCTCTGCTGTCTGGGGAGGTAGTCCGGTTTAACGAGAATGGCGAGCGACTGAACTGCAATGATTTACATTGATCCTGTAAACTCCTAACCTCATAGAACTGTTAGTCAAATGAAACGCTTATCTTGATGAAATTATGTTTAGTGGGAGAATGCAAGGAATGCGGGGATGTGGGGAACTTCCCCTCAAGGCGGCTTTGGCCCAAAAGAGTAGGCCGCGCCGTCGAATTGCCGTTACCGCCAATTGCTTCACATCCAACAATGCCACCATCCTCGCAGTCTACACTGGCACGGACGCCTTGCTCTAACTGCCGCGGTAGGAATTAGAAGTAGTCCTCATCTACTTGATGTACACTAATACTAATTGATCCCAGAGAAACACGTGAGATGTAGGTCTGCTTCGGAAATTGAACATGCCCAATGTCTGCTCAACTCGAGTACAGGTGATAAACAACAACCGACATGCACCCGATGTAAGGAGAAAGACTTGGTCTGTAGGCCAGTTCAGCGAAAGTCTGTTTTTCGTCAAGGATCAACGGCCAAGCTTGATGGGAGTTTCTCGAAAGACCAATCTTGGATGAGCAGCCAACCAAAAAAATGGAAGCTGTTCTCCGGAGACTCTTCACTCCCAGAGTCCATGGATGTGGCTCAGAGGCCATCACCATACCAGGAGCCCACCCCAGCATCCGGCGCACCAGATGGTCTCGTTTGGGCTCGCGATGATGGCAGTCACCTTGACGTTCAAAGCTCACCTTATGATCCGTCCCCGAATGGCTTTCACCCCTTCGTTTTCGGGGACACAGGCAACGCCAACAGACTGTCCAATGTTACCCATAGATGGAACAGCGTGGACAACACTGAAAGAAATCGCTTGATCGATGGCATGCCACGGTCAAGAACACCAATCGAACCGGATAATACTCTCTCTACCTCCGAACCCGCGCAGACCACCGTGCAGGAGGCATGCCTCCTACGCCATTTCATCGAAGAAATATCACCATGGGTAAGCCAACCAATGCCTTACAAAACCTACTCAACTAAACCACCTCAGTTCGACCACTGCGACGACCGTCGACACTTCCAACTAGTAGTCCCTCGCCGAGCCCAACACTGCTCCATCATACGCAACGCTCTATTCGCAGTTTCAGCACGCCACCTATCACGGCTCCCACAATACGCGACACCCAATGGAATATGCTATCGCGGACAACTTCTCCCCAATCTACAGAAATGCACAGCGGTGGAATACACCCTCAAATGCATCCCCGAGCTCCTCAAATTCCCCGAAATAACCGACCCTACTGAGCAAGAAAACATAATGGTCGCCACGGTTATTCTCCGCCAATACGAAGAAATGGAAGAGGATGTCGAGGACCACGACATGTCCACGCAAGACAGAGTGAACTTCTTAGCCATAACGCAGAGAATCATCGACGCTATGATATCCCACCGACTGGAACAGTCTCTCGCTACGGCAGCGTATTGGATCGTTGTCCGACAGGAGGTATACTACGCGCTCACGAGACAGCGTGCACCAAAGATGCGATTCAGTCCTGAAGACTGGCGGAAGGCGTCTGCTGCAAACACGTTGGTAATGCTCGCTAGTGAAGTGACTAAATGGCGCTGGGGCGACGGTACGCGTGAGGAATGGAGTTCGTTACCTCCCTTTTCACCAACTATCTATCCATCCATCACCTGCATCGCTAACCTGTCCTCACAGACCGCCTCATGCTCCGCCACCGCAAACTCCAACACGACTACCGGCACGACCTCGCACCCCTCTTCGAAAACAAAGCAGATCGATCTCGCGGCGAACTCTTCCCGACAATCTGGTACAGCTCCGACGAGCAAGTGACTGCAGTGCAGCACCTCGAGATAGCCAATATGATCTTGACAGCCCAGAACCCATACCTATCGTACGTTCCACAACCCCCCTATCCATAATCCAAAATCCAAAGTCCTAACTAGCGTATCAGAAACTCCACTCGAGCCGCGCATCGCAAAGCAGAAGCAGAAGTCCGATCCATCGTGCTCAGAATATGCGGCATTGCGGTGCACCACGCCCACTGTCATCCGGCGTTAGTCACTGCTGTGATAGCTATTACTCTCTACGGGGAGTATTTTACTGAGTTGGAGGAGCGTGAGGCGCTGCTGGGGATTATTGATCGGACGAGGGATTTGCATTCGTGGCCGATGCAGAAGTGTTATACGCGGTTGAGGCGGGGGTGGGAGGAGATGGATCATTGTGGTTCTTGAGTGGGGTTCAGAGATTTTGTCCACGTTTTAAGATATATTTCTGATATATTATATAGGGTGGCACAGTATGATGAATTCAGTTAAGCCATACGCCCCCTCTTCGGCGCAATCGCCTTCACACACGACCACGACGTCAAATAATCCGCGCTCTGCAGGGCATCCTGCAAGACAAAATCCTGACCGCTCATAATCTGCTGCTGAATGCGCTCAATATGCCCCACGGTAGACATATACTGATCCACCGTAGCGGATGGCGAGCTCGCAGCGGAACTTGACCCAGCATCCGACTTCTCATCCATTGTTCCTACTGGCACGTTCTCCGCATCTTTCTTGATATCCGCCTTCACAAACTCCAGTAGGAGGAACGACGCCCACTTCGACTCGAACAGTCCCTCGCGATGTGGCCATTGCTGTAGCACTTCGATGGCGCGTAGTCGTACCCGAATATCGTAGCAGCCGAAGGAAATCAGGTACAGACTGGGTAGGATGCCCACGTCGAGTGTGAATGCTGGTCGTTCCGGGTACCGCTGTAAGAGTGCCTCGACGAGGTATAATGCTTCTTGGTACTCCGGTGTGTAGAGGTCGAGCACGGCGGGGTTCTTGGCTAGGAGGCAGGTTTTGACGGATAATGTGAGGGTCCGGTGGAGGATGTAGATGATGTCGGAGCCGCGTTGCTCTTTTCGTGTGAGCGCGGGGTATGCGTGGCTGTAGAATGGAGTGAATAGTTCGGCGTAGTGGGTTAGTTGAGAGAGGAGTTGGTATTGCCGCGGAAGCAAAGAGTTGTAATCTCTCGCCACGTCGGCGGGAGATAGTGGCCAGGATTGCGATGTGAATCGAAACACGCCACTGACTAGGGGCTCGATGGCTTGACGGGCTTCGATCAGGCTTGTGAAGGAGTCGGCATTCTTCAGTTGCCATTGGTATTTGCCTAGTTCGTTGTCCACGCAGAGAACTGGCCCGTCGACGCCGTAGTATGTCGACTGGATGTCTAGCTGTACGAATGCTGCCACTAAGCACTTCTCCACTGGTGACTCGGTCTCGTCTGCTAGAGGTTCCTGGACCTTCAGCTCTCGGAGGATGCGTAGGCCGCCTTGCAGGTGGTGGCAGGCTCGCTCGTATTGGCCTTGTAGGAGCTCTAGGAGCGAGTACAGAAGACAACATAGCAGCATGACTTCTCGTAGGCGTGGATCACTCGCATGCCGTCGACTCAGAATCCCGAACGAGCGTGCGGACTGTTCAAGTGCAAACTTCTGCCAGATATTCTGCCGAGTTTGGCCCGGCAATGGCATCCCCGATACCTCAACGTCCTGGTGTATGGCGCTCAAGGCTACCGCAGCGTGGTAGACCGCCGGCTCCGTGTAACTGATCTGAAGGACGAGCTGTTTCCATAGTTCCGAGTCGAATAGTTCCAGTAATCCTGGGATTGTGAAGTGTTGAAAGTGCGAGAAGCAGCGCCGCTCGTCGGATGTTATCGCCCAGCGAAAGCCATCCGTTACTTGAGTCAGTAGGTTTTGGGGATGACGGTGCGTGTTATTTGCTGCGCGCGGGAGACGGTGGATGTCATAGGTGCAGGAGCGCCCGGTTGATGTGCAGTTTTTACATTGGTTTGGAGTTTCATCGCACTTAATACGGCGGGCGCTGTTGCATGCGATAAAGGAATTAGCGGCCGCGGCAGCTGGGAGAGGACTGGATGGTAGTGACTTACCGACAGGTGCGGCACCCATTTCGCGACCTTGTGCCGTCTGCTCTTCTCCGCTTCGGCGGCTCTGATGTGGTGGGCTTTCGCGACATGGCTGCGCGACAAGATGTTGTAGTTTTGGAATCAAGAAATGGAAGAAGGGTTTTGAAGAGGACCTGAGACATGTGCAATCCGTGAGGGGGCTTGGGGTTGTAGCTGCGGGACACTAGGCTGACGAACCCCAAGTTCTGGCTTGACCAATAGTGGACTTGAGAACTGCAGCCATGGCGGGTTAGTGGTTGCTAGTGAGTCTTCCGGTCTTGTTAGCCTTGCAATAGGTGGGACGGAGCAGAGCAGAGCAGCACTGCCATCGCGTCGACGGCCCACAGGGCAAGGGGACCATCCGGGTAAAGCGGAGGGATTCGATCCACTGATGAGCCCAATAGGCAAACGAGACACCCAAATGCCCAATTAATATGGCTTAAATATGTGACAGGAAGGCAGGTCGCCCACTTCAGATTGTTGCAACCGGGGATGCAGTGAACGGAGGCTGCTCCATGCTCCGCTCCGGGCCGGAGCCCCGGAGTGGCGCCAGGCACCATTTGCGCCCCCAAGATCATGTGAAACTAGATCGAATATTTGTATTACTTCTGCATCTTCGTATTATTGGTGCCTTAAACTTATTCTGTGCGCGAGGCATCGCTCGTAGCTACATTTGCTATACTTGAAATGTGGAGAGTATCATCAGCGCCTTCCTTGATTGCATTAGCCAAGCAACATTGAGCGAGTATACTCACATGTACATTGGACACTCTTCCCGGCCGAGCCTTCGTTAAACCCTTCTTCACTGGTGGAATAACATACTTTCACCGTATGAAATTTGTTCTCAAGAATAAGGGTGAACTGCGGAATGACAACTCTATCGCAATTTCTCGTCAGTCGAACTATTGTATTCAGTCCGCTTGATCGGTGGTTGGTAGCAGCCGTACAGGGCACGCAATAACGAGGCTTAGTCTTCGTCACCCCTACCACATTGGGTAGAAGCTCATCGTGGGCCAGCCTGCCTGATACGCGTCACCTTCCAGGACAGCCTGTTCGAATATGTCGGAATATCCACCAAACCCGGAAGCTGCGCTGCCAAATCCTTCCATGCCGGATAGCAGATTAGGAATGCCATGCTCCGTGGGCATGGAGAGTGAAGGGGCGACCTCCAGGTCATTCGGCTGCTCTGCGCTGCAACTTTCCGTATCCTTAATCGGGTAGTCGAAATTTGTTCTAGCACTCTGCACAATCCATGGAGGCGTTACTGTTTCTCCAAATACCCCTAATGCTGCTCGATACGCCTCCCAGGCCTGGAGAATATCTCGCGACACGATTTCAGAAAGCGGATGGAATCTATGCATGTCTTCGAAGCGTATCTCGGCGTTTTCGCTCATGGCCTTCCACATCTCATGAGCGTGCTCTTGCGTGGGCCGCTTCTTCAGATCTTGAATCAAATGTAGATGTGCAGGAAACGGAAAGTACATATGTATATGCCAACGGTACCGTTTGGTAAGGGGGGATTTCATCAGCTTGGTATCGGACTCGAGAATCCGCATTGCACAGGAGCTGGCGCTGTTGCGCTGCGCTTCTGAGTGCTGCGCGGGCGAGAAGTTCGAGTATTCTTCAAGCAGATGGTGTTTTGCAAGGAAGCCACGTATCGTCCAGATCGTGAGATAGTGAAGCGGATTATCTGGATTGCAGAGTCGGAGATACTGGTCCTCTATCCTCCTTTCTAGATCAGTCATGCCATCACTTTTCGTGTCTCTGGCGATTGCCTTCAAGGATGGGTTGATATAATCTAGGTGGAAGGCGCTGTGTCGCAGAAACTCTCCCAGTTCACTGCGCGCAGTTATGAACAACGCTTCGGTCGGACCTGCTTGAGCAGCCGGTAAGTCTTTCATCTCCGGTTGCAAATCATTGTCAGCCAAATTGCGAGGCATGCTGCAATCCCAGGTCGGTATCAACATTGAAGTCTTGTGATCCGACATCTCGCCAATGCGGTTGTCAAACATGATCAACGACCACCATAACCTCCGGCGCATCTCGCCCTCCAGCGCACTACACCTAGAATTTGCCTTTTCGTCATGGATGCTCATGCGTTGAGCAATCCGAATAGCAACTCCAAGCATCGAGGACGAAGACCTCGGATCCGTCTCATACCTCACAGATACCTGACATGGTTAGAGACACAAACGACAAAGTCACTCGACGGACTAACCAGATATAGAAACAATGCAGTGAGGCACTCGCGATCCCCGGTGCGTAGCACGTTACAATTGAGCAAGGCTTGTTGACACCCAAATTGATATCCCCGCAAAAGCTCTTTCCTCGGAGACCCGAACGACGTTCGGCACTCTTCATCGTCGAGACTCATGATAGCGACACTATACACACTGAACAGGAGTGCTTCCAATTCCGAGCTTATACGAGTCAGATCACTAAGAGCACCAATAATACGTGCTTGCAGCGTCGGGGTATGCGTGACTTTGAGCAGCGGATCGACATTGTCCAAGTAAATTTGCCAGAGCTTGAATATCTGGACTTGATCAGGGTGCAATGTCGACAGATCCACACTGGCTTTGCGTGATCCAAATATAAACCCCTCGTCGTTATTCTTGTATGCCTCATCAAACATCTTGTTTATGGCATTTCCACCCAGAGTGAATTGAAAGTGACTGAGGTCATTGCCATCCTCACTGTCATCCTCGGAATCGGCCTCCTCAGTATCTTGGGACTGACGTCCACTGTGAGCGTAGTTCAGCCCAACTCAAAGAAAGAGGTACATACCACTGAATTGAGAACCTTCCAGTAATTCCTACACAACAATTAGCGCAACCTCAACAAACCTTACTGCGGAAGCACAACTTAGCCGCGTATACTGGCTCAGCCTTGACAGCCACGTCCCTCTGATCCCCCACATTAGGCTCTTCAGAACGAACATGATCTCCAGACACCACGACCCTACTATCTTCCGCTACAGGAGCATGCAAAGGCTCAAAAGGTATATTATTCTGGCGCAGCAAGTCTTCATACCTCCGAACGCGATCCAACAGCTCTCGTTCGGGGAACCTGCGACGCCGCGGGCGCGGGCCAAGAGTGGGCACACACTGCGCGCCGGCCCGGACGCAGTTGGCGCAGGGGAACTTGCGGTCGCATTTGACCTTGCGCTGCTGGCACAGCACGCATGCAAGCACCCGTGGTGATCTTCCAGCTAGTCGTGAAGAGGTGGGCGTGGAAGCCCTTTGCTCTGGTGTTGGTGGCATTTCGTTGATAGGTCTCATTCCATGTAAGAGCTTGAGGCGATGATCGGCTTCCCGGTCGTGTGGAGAATCGCTTCCAATTTACTACTTCTTATGTCAGGTGACCGTAGCCTTGTTTCCTGCAGGTGGGAGATCATCTACTTAGTACTAATTGTTATTCGATCGCAACATGATTGGAGGGTCTTTGTTACACTGCTTGCAAAGCGCATCAACTAGTGGAACTCATATATGTATGTGGGTAGATAGTCGGCTTGATTTAGAATTAGCCAAGGTCTGTCGGGGTTTGTCCACCCACAACTTGAACAGTTAACAGTTAACAATATGATTGTAATTTCTTAACTCTGCTCACAGCTTTGCGCTCGCTTGCGCTTTACGCGTCTTCCCCTTCATGAAATATTTGTCCATCTGTGCAAGCCACTCGTTGGGGATTGACGACCTCTGTTTCGCGGTCAATTCCAGCCAGCCCTTCTTGATCCGTTCTTCTTCGTCATGCCATCTGTCCGTCTCTTGTTTGATCCATTCAGCAGCAGGTCCAGCGACTCCTGCCACATCCTCGAACGGAACGAAGTGTCCACCATTCGGTATCACTATCTCCTTGACGCGGCCCTTCTCGTAGCCACCACTACCCCCCACCCCTGTTCCAGTCCGCTGGAGCTTCTCTGCACGCTGATCCGGTGTTGCCATGATACTCTTCCCACCATAGATCCATAGTACCGATGGCCGGACGTATTTGAGTAGTTTCCATAACACAATCGGTTCATAGCGGTAAAACGGAAGTGTTTCCGAATGACCGGTCACATCGGTCCAAAATGTAGGATCGTGTAAGTAATCCGATTGGTTGCTGCCGGGTTGCAAGTCGATGAAATTGGGGCGTAAGCTCTGTGCAATCTCTTGATCTTTTGTGGTGGCTAGACCGACTGACGACTCGGAGTTCTCGGTTTTAGCGGTGTTGTCTCGAAGGCCATATTTGAGCCAGAGATCAAGACATCGTGGATCCCATCCGTTGAGTGTCTCTCTGAAGTACGACTCTGCTTCGGCACGGGACTTCCACGTATCCTTCTTCATCAGCGCTGCTTTGGCAAAGCCTGGGCCTCTTCCAGAAATGAATTCCTTTACTATCACTGGTTCTATGAGGATAAGGGAAGTGAAAAGCCGAGGGTGCATCTGCGTTAGGCCCAATCTGGTGGATCGCGTTAGTGTATCTATAGTACAGGTATAGAGAGAGTGAGAGAAACCTACAGTTGCCCGACTCCGATGCTATGCCCAACACCAATAATAGGTTTCGGCATATCGTCTTTGAATTGGTTGATCATGTAGAGCAGGTCTCGACTGTGGTCGAACCATGATGCTATGATAGTGTTAATCTGGGGAGAATGGGCTGGTAGGCATTTTGAAAGCGTACGCTCAAACCCTAAGTATTCCGCATTGATGGCCGCGCTCTCAGCCTGTGGGGCTGAATCTGCAATCCAGATAGAGCGAATGCGAAGTCCCTGGCGGCTTAACCTTTCATATATCTCCTCCCATAGCGGCTCTTTTAGTTCCTGTGCCATTGCATTGATTTAGATTTTACATTTTCTGGCATCACATTTTAAGTGCACTGTACTGTGCAGAAGATACGTCCCGACTCACCTTAGGTGATCCAACAGAAGTAGCCCCAATGATGGTCACATCACCAGGTTGGGGATTTGGATTTGACTTTGGTGTGTATTGCTTGACCGCAATCTTTAGTGCATCGTTGCTATCTCGAGTCGCGCGGGCATACTCTCGGATATGCTGGCAATCAACAACATGTTCTGTGATATTGAACGGGGAAGACTCCATTTTGTGGCTCGAAGGGTTTATTAGTAGAAGATCCTGCTGAATGGCCACTGACCGGAAACGTGCCATTTATATACCCCTCATATCTGATGTGTCCGACTAGTTCAGGCCCAGCTACCATCAGATCGGCTAGTTCACCGCAGCTTGCTCAGCTGAAGCGAATGATTTGATGCCCAGAGGGTCATCGCCTAGAGCAATACGGGGTAATATTTTTTTTTAGCCCTGACTCGTTCTGGTCTCCACTTGATTGTCAAGATCTTCCACCCTCAGCTGGCACTACGGCGCCATTAATCTCCGTAGGCCGTATGCGGTTATCTCGGCCCTTATCGATGTTGTCTCCAATCTGAGGGGTCAGTGTAGACCGAGGATATGGAGACACTGACTCAATATGTCTACGATCTAAAGCATGCGAGCTATGCGTTGTGCGACAACTACTGTAGAGCAGATCCCTTCAACAAAATCCCAGCCAGCCACATAAAAAAAACCAACCTCAATGACTCGGCTATGTTATGATTCAGGCTGAGAAAGTTCAGCTACGTGACGAAGGCCCCACTGTTCATCGATTTCTTGGATTAGCGCGGAATACGTGTAAGTAGTGGCTAGTGGAAGGGCCGCGATAGGTGCCGAAGCGCCACAAGAGCGGATGTGACTGCTTCAGCTAACAATGGAAGCAATGATATCCGAGCCGCACTACGAGTACAGTGCCAGAAAATCTTCGTGCTGGCCGAGATTCCTGTAGCGGTGCCTGACGCTCCTGTTCCGGTTCACAGCCGCATTACCCGAGGATCCATAAAATAGCTTGCGACAGACAATTTACGGTGGCTTAGGGTACCACACTAGGGATTCCACATATGCCAGGCATCAAAAGACACTTTTCGGTCTTGTTTGCTAGGAATGTGGGAATTCTGAGGGAATGGTAGGGAAGATGAGAGGCACTTAGAGTCGGACAAGAATGCCTCTCTAACGGACTTAGAATCCGAGAAATAGTCTTAGAATTTCGTTTGAACTGGTAATGGAAAGTCTGGTGTGAAGCAGATACTGCGCTGCGCTCAGCTTCCACGAAAACTAATTGATGAAGGGGAGAGAGTTCTTCATCGGCCGGATAAGGTATCATAGAGAGTCCCGAACTAGAGATCGCATTAGCGATTCGGGGAGTGGGAAGAACACTCCCATTGGACGACAGGATGAACTAGTATCGTGCATCTCAGGCAAGGCCCGATCGTCAATGCTGGCTGGTACCAGGGTAATGTTGCAGGTTCATCACACTGTTGGCTAATGGGGCCGGCCATCCACAGAGATAAGTAGTAATGGACAAAGTGTAGGCTGGGATGGAGAACGATCAACAGGTCAGTTGATTGGCTCGGGTAACACTTCCCAAAAAGCAAACATAGAGTGTAGCGCCCAAAGATACTATAAGCAAAAAGAAAGTAGTTGTGTTGCAGAAGCACGAATTCATTACTTCGGAATGCGCAAAAGTGACTTCTGCTGTCCATCAAACATTCAAATGCCGATGTGTACATGTGACCTGCTACGTATGGCTAGTGGGATCTCAGGCTGCATTCTATCATCTTTATCCCGATATCATGCTGTAGCTTATACTACTAGTACTACTGCCACAACCTCTGTGATCACTGCTCGATTATCGAAGTCGTAACTACTAGTAGTACTTCAGTAGTAATTGTAGCAAATGGCCCATCAGATAATCGAAGTAGAGAGTTAACAAAATTATTGAATTTGCTAGTTCGCACTTAATCTGACTTCATGCAGGAATACCTCCCAAAAGATAAAAAAAAAAAAAAAAAAAAAAAAAAAAAAAAAAAAAAAAAAAAAAAAAAGGAAAAGAAAAGAAATTTCTCTTTGAGGATAATGAATTGGCAAGCATTGAGAATTCTTGTATGAACCCTTTGGTTGCCTCTTCAGGACGCAGTACCAAGTGGATTGTTTGCCTTTAGCCAGAGGAACCAACCATCTCCGTTATCGATAAGCCGAAAACCTCACACCCAACATTGAACTTCACATCACCGTCGTCACCACCAGCTCCCTCCACCATCAACACCAATCCCAGCAATCAACCACACAACAATTGTTTGCAACAGACCTACATACCATATTTACCACACTTCCACGAAATAACCAACGACCTACCCACCTACTCAACACTTACTCCGACAATGTCAACCCCAACCCCAGACGACCCAACAACCACCACAACCACAACCACAACCACAACCACCCCCTCACAACACCGACAACAATCATCTCCCCCCCGCCTCCCCGTCCAAACCCACCACTGCCGCTTTTGCAACCACCTCCTCCTCGCAACGACCCGCTCAATCCCATCGCTACCACGGCGCAAATCCCCCGCAAAAGACGGGGCGATAATCCTCCCTCTTCCGCGCGACAACAGCACCGACGACGCTGAACAATCGCAACAACAACAACAAAAACACTACACCATTCTCCTCTCAACCACTATCCCCGATCGCAAACACACGCTCGTGCGCAGGGAAGATGGGTTCGAGAAGAGGTTGTTCCTACGGTGTGGACGGTGTAGAGTTGTGATGGGGTATTTTTTGGATGAGGTACATTTTGGGGGGATGAGGTCGGTTGGGGAAGGAGATGGAGATGGGGAGGGGGAGGGGGAGAAGGCGAGAGTGGTGTATTTGTTGCCTGGGGCTTTAGTCGAGACGGGGGTGATGATGCGGGATGAGGAGTTGGAGAAGGTGGTTAAGGGGTTGGATAGGGAGTGGGTGGGGTGGTTGGAGGGATAGATTTATCTATCTATTCTATCTCTCTGTCTGTCTGTCTGTCTTGGATGCTGTGCTGTGCGCATAGCATAGTCTATGGATGGGGCGATGTATTGAGGGAAGTGATATAAGTTGGAGTTGTTTGTGCTATACTTTACTTCATATACCATGTATCATTTACCATATTTATGCCATGTTTATTTATGTCTTATTTATCCGATGCTGAATCGCGCAATATCCCATATACAATGCACTATAACTAAACTATGCTCAAGCCTTCAACTCCGGCACGGCTGGTAGGAGGTTCGCGTCGTAACAGAAATCATCAGGAACGTCAGGAGGGTATCGGTGTCGTGGGTCGTTTAGTTGGCCAGGATGGTGCGGACGAGATCTGCTGCTGTTAGCTTGACGCAAAACAAATGCGTGGTGAACAAAGTTGGTAGCCTACCGGTGTAGTTGATCTCGCCGGAGCTGGTGTCGACGGCCTTGAGCAGCTCGTCGACCTCCTCATCCGACATCTTCTCTCCGAGATTCGTCAGGACTGTAGCCATCATCAGTATCACTCTAGTCATCCTATCCTGCTTCACATACTGTAACGGAGCTGTCCCACGCCGATAAACCCGGTCAGGTCCTTGTCAAACACCTGGAATCCGCGGCAGTATTCTTCGGGCTCGCCGGGGTCACGGAAACCTCCAGGGCGGTTGAGGACCTTCAAGAACGACTCGAAGTCAACTGCGAAAGCATGTTAGATCCGTATCAGCCATCTCAAATCAGGGCATACGTACAGTCTCCACCGACGGACTTCTCCAGATCTGCGATCTCCGCCAAAGTGGGATTCTGACCGCATGCGCGCAGGAGGTCGCCCAGCGACTCGAGCGCGACCTTGCCGGTACCGCGCTTATCGAAGAGAGAAAAGGCTTCCTTGTAGTTGGTCGAGGCCTGGTCATGGTGCATATCTGGTGAGCGGGACATCTTGAAAACGAAATCACAGGGGCAGAAATCCGAGATGAAGAGTAGTGATCAGAGATGAAATGAGGATGGAAAGAAGACAGGGAGTTGAAGAGTGCCGATGACGAACAAGCAGCCACGACTACTAGTGAACCATGGAAACGAGCAAAGGGATTGGATGGGCCGACGAGGGGCCGGAATTCAATGGATCCAACCACACGAGTTATCCCCGAGGTTCACCACGACAGTCAACAAACAAGGGATACAGAGCACTGCTCGTTCCTGATGCCATCCGGGCAATTCTTCTCCCGCCAGCGAGGGATGATGATGCTTTTAATTGACATTGCGAAACTGCGAGACGGCCACGTACCATGACTGTTTATTGTGTTGATTGCGGTAATTGCGTGAGGAGTATGCGGCAGCGGGCTGCGAGGGATAGCGACAGGGGGATGTAGATGACGATCTAAACAAACGGAACGGCAATGGCAGGAGTACCACGTATGGTTTGGAATGAAGGAGGAGGGCAGAATGAGGGAACAGGGAAAGGAGAAGGGCGGGATGGAGGAGAGTCCGGCTGCACTGTTTGCCCGGTTGTTGTTGTGGTAACCGGACACCTCAGGCACGACAACCCCCCTATCGATCTGCGCTTTGTCTGACACGATGACAACATCAGCCTACACTAGTTCCTACTAGCATTGATCATGGAACATGACTGGCGTCTGTGAAGATACACACAGTAGATACTAATATTGCAATAATACAAACATGCAACGCTATCCATCCCAATGGTATCCAAGTCATAACACATGCGCAAAGTATTCAGACAGCCAACAACACAAGTCACGCAGAAGAATACAGCAAACAAGGCAGCAGGTGCTTATCAAAAACAAGTACAACCATGTACAAGATAACAAAAACCTCCCTCAAACGCTATATACACAGAAAATATGTAGAAGAATTAACAAAGGAATTATAAATTTTGGAGGAAACATGTGAATCAGAAGGCTGCTCCGTTCAGCTTGTCGATACAACTGGTGAGCAGGTTGGCAGCTTCGGCCAACAACTCCCAGCGCGTATTGGTGAATCCGTCACGGAGGACCAACAACAAGCCCAGACAGCGGTTGCGCCCTTGCATGCCTTCCAAGTCGCTGGGCTCACGAACACTGCCCATCCGGCGCAGGAATTCCTGCATGTCCTGCCGCTGCGCAGCAGGAGTGCTCAACTTGACAGGCGTCTTAAAGGGCCCTTCAAGTGCAAATCCATAGCACCAGACCACGAGAGCCGCAACATACAGCACCCACGGCCGGTTCAAGAGGTAGTCGTCACGACCCGAATACAGTTCCCCATCCTCGTTCAGTGCTCGTCTCTCATCCAGGAGGCACTCCGATAAGAACTTTAAAGCATAGAACGTGGCGTCGCGGGCTGTAGCCTTGGTGGCCCAGACAACCATCTTTTCGCGCGCCGCCTTGTAGTCTCTGGGGGTGATAGACCGTCCCATGAGCCGATTCGCTCCAGCGAAGATCTGGCAGTCGACGATATCAACGTGAGAAGCCATGTGCGCCAGTCCATGGAGCACGTCGCGCGACTCAAAGACGTTGTCGTCGTCCAGAGGGTGTCGGGTACGGTAACCACTATGAAAAGGCCCTGATGGTGACTGACCCAACGCTTCATCAAAGTCTCGTCGCCAATTATCAAAGGCTCGCAACAGTGCTGACCGCCATTTGTCCCGGCCTCCCAATGCCGGTGGCCCACCCAGTGAGCTCACCTGGAGGTCTCGTTGGTTCATGTGCCAGCTGACACTAAGCAAACCCGCCATGAGGATGGTTCGTCCAAAAGCATTTGTCCGGACCCGCTGTCCGTTAAGCGTCTTCTTAAGGCCGTCCAAGAACATGACAGGCTTGACTCCATTAGCGTGCAGGCTCGATTGCACGCGGGCTACCTCAGAGGCGCTAGTCGCAGACCACAGCGCCTCATCGCAGGGCAATGGTAACCGAAGCTCATGAGCCACCATCTTAGCCGAGTGCCCGAACATGGTTGCGTGGGTAGAGTCCAAAACAAAAGCCGCAAAAGCCACTCGTCTCGTGGCCTCCGCCTTGATCCAGTGAGTCCATGACTCTTCAGCCACAAAGTCTGGCGCCATTGTCGATCCAGAAGCTGACCGGGCCTGCCGGTCGTCTCGGAAGCTTGCAGGAGAGTCTAATGCAGAGCGACCAATCAATGAGCTACCCCGCCGCATCAGTGTGAGTGTGGTGTCGTGGTGGATATGCGCCCGCTCATGGAGCGCACGCGTGGAGTACATCTTTTCGTATACCTCCAGCAGCAGAAGTGCTTGAAAGATCCACAGCTTAGCTGGCGGGCGAAAGTCTGCATCCATGAAAAGCTCCGTTCGCAGATGCCAGGCGATAAAGTTTGCCAGCTCAGCTGCTGCCTCGGTTACTTCCGACCCGTGGATTCCATCCAGCGTGGATGCGCCAATGGCCATCACTGCGAGCAGAAGAAGATTAGGCGCTTTGTCTGCCTCGAAGGTTGGACGATGTAGAATGGGCAACTGAGAGTGGAAGTGGTACCAATACGAGCCGATGTACATCTGCATCATGCGTAGACTCAGCACATGGTCGTCGTCGTCAATGTCGCCGTCCATCAGAGCATCCTTGCGCTTCGCAGACACTGCGTAGAAGGCCTCATTGAACCGTGAGCTCATGAGGGCCAGGAGTTCTTGTCTCTTCTCCTCTGACATGATGGCGCGCGGTGATCCCGGATCCAGAATGCTTGTAACACTCATGGGATGATGCGGAATCACACCGCTGAGAAAGCTGCCATAGGCAGGATCATTCATGAAGAATTGGTTCTGTAGTTGGACGGCGTCCAAGTAATTTGGCACCACGTTAGTTGGGGCAGGATACCCCATGGACGGAGAGCCTGTCACGGGATCGTTGAACAGCCACGCTGTGAAATCATCTGCCATGGCGAAGGGTGAACGGTTGTGGGCTTCGCCGCCAAACACCGGGTAGACACAAGAAGCCAGCGCGTCGAAGCCGGCATCTCCTACTGACGGGCCGGATGTCATCATCTCTGACATCGACTCCAGTGTTCCGTTGTCCAGAGCCGTCGAAGCCGACGTCGCTGGAGCCATCGATATTTCTGTGTATCCCCCGGGAGGGATTTGTAGACCTGAGTAGGTTGGGGGATGAGCCAACGAAGGGCCGTCGATATCGTGTGTTATGGAGGTTGTTTCGACTACGGAGTGATGCGACCGAACCTCGTGGCTCAAGTCTCCCGAATTGGGCGAAGACTTGCCAGCAGAGTGACCATTGGGCGCAGTATGAGGCACCGCCGGGATCTCCGGAGGACTAAACGTTGTTGTGCTTGATGGACCTGGAGGAGAGCTGAGGGTATGATTACTGGAACTGTTCGATCGGGAGAACGTAGGGTCAGACAGGTCCACCGCATGATGGGAGACCAGAGTCTGATAATTGAACCCCTGTCCGATGCCCACAGATCCCGAGGGCGATGGCATGTGTACGTGCTGATTCGATGCACTCATCGCAGGCACTGTCATTGTAGGACCCTCCGAGGGGGCTTGTACGGGCGAATAATTGGAGGGTAGCGGAATGAGTGTAGGCGCGTGGTTCGCGTTCACCTGTGACATGACTTGAGAGACTTGCGGCTTTTTCAGGTTGCTGCCGGTTGCTGCCGTCTGCGCAAAGTGATCACGCTTCTGTAGCTGCGATCCCTGGGTGGTGTGGCGTTCTCTATGACGGATACATAGGTCTTGTCGAACGAAGGAGCGGTAGCAATCCGGAAAGTCGCATCGATAAATCTGCTTGGGAGTATCTAGACCGACAGCCAGTTAGTACTTGCTCACAAGCTCTTGGAAGGACTGCATGCGTACGGTTCAGTTGGTGGCGGTACAAATGCTCCGCTCGCGAGTAACTCTTGCCGCACCCTTCAAATGTGCATTCAAACTTGCGATCCGTCTGAACCTTTCGGGTTCTTTTCCTCTTGCGTGGGGGTCCATTAAGAGCCGCATGGAGCGCATCAGCTTCCGTCATCATGTCGATCTCTGCACTCGATGTATGATCGCGTTTCGGCCCCGAACCCAGCGGGGTCATTGCAGCGAGAGCCATGGTCATCTTGGCCAGAAGATGCAGGCAATAATCAATCAATTGTTTCGAAACCTTGTCTTTTTCTTTCCTTGATACCACGAGTGGATTGTTGCGCCTTAGCCGACACCCCGAAGATCACCCGCAAAAATGTTGCTTGGAAGAGAAACGTTCATCAGACCTGAGATGGACTGCTTCTCATCGGCAGACTGATGCCGGTCCAAAGGGCTCAGAATGAAACGTGATCCCGATTGTATACTGGCATAAGGCAAAAAAGGAGCGGGCAGGATGTTGTCTCGTAAACGGTGGACGGTCGCCGCTTTCTGGGCCGATTCGTGACGCACGGGGAACCCCGTGGGGAAAACTCGGCGGGCGGGAAGAGTCAGCGATTCCCGATGGGTTGGGGGGACTCCGATAGCAAAGGAACAAGTCCTAAGATAAATTCAAGGAAGGTTTGGATGGAAAGACAAATTCTCTGTATGCCAGAGATTGATTTGGTGTAGGTATGAAGGAGATAGCAGGTCGGAGGAGAAAGGTCGTACGATGACTGGTGATGGGGGGGAAACGGTGGAAGAGGGGAAAAGGGCCGAGTGAGCAAGGGCCCCCCAACACAAAACCCCAAGTGCCAGACTGCAAGCACACGAGGGTGCACAATGGATGCTGAATGCTGGATGGTGGAACCAAGAGACGAAGAGTCTGTGATCCAAGGTAAAAGAGAAGAGAAGCAGTCACCGCCAAAGTCAAAGAAAGGAAGACCGGGGAGGAGCAAAAGGAACCAGAGACACCGGGAATGGAGGTCCCTTAATATTCTGGTTGCTCGTTCGGAGGTGGGGCAGCCGATGCTTTTTAGAGCTTCAAGTCAAAAATGATTATGGATGTACCACTTGGATGTTTCCCAACTTGTATAGAGAATTTCTTTTATTTTTATTTTTTTTGTCTTCTCTTCCATCTCTCTCTTTCTCTCTTTCCTCCCCTCAGCTCCTGCTCCTTCACCTCCTTTTTGTATGGTCACTCCACCCGGTGAGAGGTAACCCATCGCCACAGAATCCACTCACAGCCGCGCAAGTGGTTCCCGGATTTGAGACGAAAAAGAAACGCGAAAAACGAAAATACGACCGCTCGGAAAAGAAGCAAATTGAAGGCTAACTGGGTCTTGGTCATCTTTTGCTGAGAAGAGAATGGCCGGAAGTTGTAAGGGAGGGGATGCGGGCGGGACAGCGATGGAAAACCAGCCAGAATCCATCTTCATTGGCTTCCAAGAACTTAAGGTACTGGATTCAATATCATTGGTTCTGCACCGAACACTCGCAGAAGCCACCTAGAACCAGAAACTGACCACGGTCAGTCTTTCCCCTCTCTTCCTGCATCCTGGGCGTCCCGTGCCATCCTGCACTCCTCTAAACATGTTCCGTCTATACTACTAGTAGTACCTACTATCTAGGTTGATCCCGTTATACCACTCGTCCGAGAAGCCCTATTCCTGGGCCGTCTCATCACATCGCAGGTGACATTGATGTGGAAAATCACCCTATGGATTACATAGTCCCTGACGCTAGTGGTCCCAAGAAAAAATGAATTGGTCAGCTTGGAAAATAATGCCAACCCGGAGAAATAGAATCAAAAGCGAAAAGGACCAGACAAACACGCTCCACCCCTTCCCCAGTTGATGCAGCCCAGGCCAAAACGGTGCAGGCGATTATGCATTGCGGCAGCAGCGGTTACTTCCCCCCAGGAAGATGGATGGTGAGCTTCACACTGGATGGCCTTGTTCGCGGCAGAGGCAATCGGGCGATCCTCCATGCCTCTAATTCCCGATTCGTATGGGATTGTCCCCGGCCAATCATCACGGTTCATGTGTCAGTGTCGCTGTCAACTGAAACTTTGCAGTGCGGAGAAAAAGGGATTTGCAGGCTCTGGGTGGGCACGATCGAGTTCGAAGCGTCATCAACGCATAGACATACATGATACAACCGTGCAGTCGCGACGGTCAATCAGGAGCAGCCGTGACGCACGACCTGCTGCTCCGTCTCGTCTACCCTTTGGTACATTAGACTCAATTGGTACCTTGATTGGCAGGTTTGATCTCCGTTTCCCTTTTCCTGACCCATCTTTTCAGCCCAACCAGCTTCGTTTGGCTTTGGAACTACGGGTCCAAAAAGGCAGCCTAGTGGCAGTGTCTACCTAATTAAGCGTGGTTTCAGTCTCTCGGAAAGAGGCAGCTTACAGACTCTATTCCGCCTAGGGTATTCCCATAGACGCATCATGCGCCGCCTGCAGAAAAAGAAAACATCGAGTTCTCGAACGGCCGCCGTCCAAGTGTCGTCAGACGAGAGTCTCCTGACACTCGGCGGATGGCGTGCTCCGTACCTTCTCCCCGGATCAATGACCGCGGAGAAGGATCGTTGGTCCAGGAACGTAAACTTAAGATACTGATATGATAAGAACATCGACTGATTTGATTCTATGACAGATGTCTTATGCCATATCGGTGCCCCCCTACGCATTCCGCCAGCGCGGAAGTCTCCGATGCGGTACCAGCGCACCGGTACCAGCAATAATAATAATGAGTAAACCACACCCTAAACAAACCACACAGCCACATTTGCCACAATAATAGCAAACCGTACTAATTTCGCACTGGAATAACGATCACCAGAGTGCATTGTGGCCCGTATAGCTATGGTGATCGGCTACTCCAAGTGGCTGAGCCGCCATCTGGCTACGAAGTCTTGACTCAGACCTGTTCCTGCGCCAAAGATGCCAAGGGATCTACCTGAGCCGAAACCGAGAGAGTCCTAGTGGAGTGATCCCCAATATAGAATTGCACTACAGCAGCGATACCGGTGCTGATATTTCCGCACCACCTCACCCATCCCGAAGAAGCAAGTATCGCTGACAACCCGAGAGGAACAACAAAAAAAGCAATTATCCCCAACAAAAATACTCGTTCTCGTCCGAACATCGGATCTAGATCCCCGAGCATGCGTCTAACACGACCCTGGATTATGTCTGTAAATAATTCCAGGTGGATACATATTCCACAAAGTGCTTAGTACTAGCAGGATCCACCGGCCGAGAAATATATCTTTGACATCATGGGTTCAGCCCCCAAAAGCTTCATAAGATCACGGCCCAATGATCTCGAGTATAATAGTTGAATGCCTCTCCTTCCATTGGATCAATAAAATCTCTCTCTCGCCATTGCCGCGTGCATTTTCTTTTCCTCACACACCACTACCCCTGTCCTATGCCAGTATACTGCCAACTAGCCGCAGGTTGCCTGTCTGCCCTACGGAGTACACCGCGCGCATCTACTACTATATTACTACTCCTATTACTACTACTACCACCACCAATAAGCGGCCACCCATTACAGCAGCAGCAGAGGAAGAAGGCATCCCCAAATGTAAGCAAGAACAACTCAACCCATGGCGTGATCACGACCACCACCGGAACCTTCACATAGCCGGCCACCAATCTTCACATAGCGGGATACCTGCCATCCTACATCGGAACCCTCTCTCCAACAACAAAACCAATAATATCATCAACCACGACCAGCCACTTCGCGGACATGGAGTCAAATCAACAAGATCGACAACGTCAACTATGGTCCCCTACCTTGTCTAACCAAAGTAAGTAAATATGACCTACAGTGTACCAAGAAACAACCACCTGATCAACACACCGGGACCACACACACACGCACACACTCACTCACTCACTCACTCACTCACACCCATCTATGATCTAAACCAAGTAAGTAACTACGTAGTAGTAGTCAGAGTAGTATCCATGTAGGTAGTATCCATGTAGCTGACCGCTCCTTCCCCATCATCCCTCATCCACCAACCACCAATCTCTGATCCCCCCCTGCCTACCCAAATAGTACATAACAAGCGAGCCCCAACATCATAAGCCAGCTACTGTAGGTACTAAGGTAGGTACCTACATGGATCACTGACCCTCCCCCGAACACCTCCTAAATCGTTACCTAAGACCTACGGTACCTGGTAAGTAGGTAGTCCCCACCCTACCCTGAAACCTCTTCCGTAACTCTAGATAATCAATCAATCAATCAAGGACCCATATTCAGATCAACATTATCATCATCACCGAACCCCGCCATCTCAGCCTGCACCTGAAAGTGGATACCTACCTACCTACCTACCTAACCATCAAACCCGAACATAACTGGCCACCCAAACCCCCAACATGGGGCCAAAAAAAAAAAAAAAAACCAAGAAAAATTCTCCTTCTTTTTTATCTCTTCATCCGAGATGATCAGCTCTGAAATAGAAATAGCAAAATTTTTTTATCTCCGGGTCTTTACTTACTTAGTTTTTAGTTGTGGATTAATTGTGGATTGTGGATACCCATTGGCTGATTGATAACGATTCTGAAACAATGGGTTCGGATGGGATGGGCGATCATCTCTCTCGGCTATTCATGCTTCTTATTTTTCATGTGTGTTTTGGACTTGTTTGTGCTGAACATAAGGATCTACAGTATGGGTCCCCCATTTACTACTACTACACTACCAAACTAGTATATATTTGTTTAGTGCTGGGTGTATATCAATTGCTTAGTAGGTGCCGGGTGGAGTCGTTGGGTAACCATTGTAGCGCGGCAGCGCGCGTGTGTGTCCTTGTGTTGTGTGCGTATGTGTGTGTGTGTATGTGGGTATCCTATTTTAGTACTTACTATCCCGGGGCTTCTCGTGAAGGGTAAGTTCGGTTCTCAGGATGAAATCTCTGCATGTCATATGATATGATGATGATGATGATGATGGTTGTAATATTGGTAGGGAGGTATACTGGAGACATGGTGGTAGGTTATTGGCTCATCAAGTTTTTTTATCTTACAGCTACTCCACATGCATACTGGTTTACAGGTTTGGGATCCTACGGTGCATGACTTCCAAGACTTGATATACGAAGATACGCGCTGGAATACTAGGTAGGGCCGCGGTTGCCGGGAAGCATTGGTCTAAATTGCTACACTTAGAAAGTACTTTCGATTTACAAGGCGGGTGTTAAGGGGTAGTAAAAGTAGTGGCAAGCAAGAAATCATGCGAGCGGGCTTGAATCTCCACCCTCCGATGCGCAGGAGGGACCCCGCTGGTCTCATGCGCGGGATCGCCCTCCCTCAGGCAAGAGTGCCTCGGATTCTGAAACAACCGCATCATGTCGTATACGGGTGACGCTGGGAGATAATGGGTGGGCGCGGGAGGGAGGGAAAAGGGAAGGGAGGGCATAAAGGAATACATGATTGGGCAAATATTTTTAACTTGATTCTCAACGCGTGCGAGCGCTTGATGATCTTCGGCCGGGTCGCATGACGTGCGCTAATCTTCCAAGGACTATTGCCGCCTTCCAAGGGCTGAGCGTCGTCGGCAACTGATGAGAATCTTTCTCCCAGCATCCTTTGCGCTGAGCGGTTCCTGACTTGCTCAGTCCTGGCCTCCATTCTCCCATGGTACAATCTATCCGCTAAACCGGAACCGGGTCGCCTCCAGTCGGCCCAACCCTTCTCTAGGTGCCACGTTTCGTCGCCGGTATGAGTTGGTGAAGTCTATGCGTGCTTGTCAGCCAATGTAAAGCTTGCGAGAAAATGCTAGTTTCACCATACCTTGAAGAAGGACCCGGATCTTCCGCACCTCACCCGAGTGGACCTTGTCGAAGATGCCCTTCAGCAACCTCTCCGCCTCACCCGGCTTCATGGTGCCGGCGGGAAGCATCTGCAGCGTAGCCTGAAGCCAGGTTCCTGCCTCTTCGGGCATAAGTTCGAACAGCATCATCATCACGCTGGATGCGTCGGGGAAGCACTCTCCCGGGAACGAGAACATCATACCCGTCAGGATATGCTGCGTGAGTAGCTGGCCTTGCGACGCAATCAGCTGCTTGACGGCCTCGCGAATCTCGGGCGGGTTGGTGTAGGAACTTCCATCGGCAGTGGTGAACTCAGATACCGTCGGCTTATCGAAAGCGAAGCTAAAGAGGTCGTGGTAATAATGAAGGGTGGCCATGAGTGGGTCAATCTGCTGCAGGGTGAGAGCGCTGAGTGCGGCGGAGAAGATCGGCACGGACAGCGACGAAGTGACACACTCCTTGGGGTAATACCGGACGGCATCGGAAGACAGACGATAGAAATCCTCGATAACTGGTTGTATCTGGTTAGCTTGAGGCGCAACGAGCATCCAATTTCCAGCTGGGGGAGCACCTACCATCTGGGAGATTCTCGGGGGGCAGATCATTTAAGGTCCGGAGGAATGCGACCGCTTGCTGCTCGTAAAATTGGAAGACAGCATGGCTGGTGGAGGGATCGACGAATTCAGCACCCTCGGAGAACTCGCGCACGACAGCGTCAGTGGCCCACAGGAAGCATCCTTCTCGTGATGCCTCGAATCCGCTTGCAAGACTCTGCGCTAGCGTGGGTAGGAGCGGAGTCATAGCCGTGCGGTAAGAAATAATCATGTTTCTCCAGCAACGGCAGACGCGCTCTAAAATCGGCGTGGACGAGGTAAAGTTCATCACGATTGTCGTCATGATTGGCAAGATTTCGCCGCAATACTTGACTGCGGGGTTCTCTTCCCGGGGTGAGACATATGGGTTCACGACCAAGATGAAGATCGTAATCAACTGAAGGTGATCTACCATGCAGTTAGTATGCAGAGTGCCTTTTAATTTTGAAGTATACCTACCAGCAACAGCCCGCTGGCCCTCTTCATCTTTAGCGTTGTTCGCTAAGTTCATGATGCGTGCCATAATAGGGTCACAGAACAACTTCATCGTCTCGTAGATCTTCTCCAGTGGCTGCACTGCAACCACAGCCGCGACACCCTCGGTTATCTCTTCCTGACTGGCCGGTTTCAGCTTGTCAAGGACCGACTCGTAAAACGAGTGCAGTTGGGCAATGTGACCTCCAAGCAACTTCTGGCAGTCCGTGCCCAAGAACTTGAAGGCCAAGGCTGCAGCCTGAACCACCTCCGGAGAGCTGTGCTGGAAGCCGGAAATGACATAGTTTAGTTGCGCCTCCAATGTCTCGGGATGCTGTGCAGTCCACTCGGTGTAACGCGCTAACGCCATGATGGCCTGGAACCGCACTTTTTCTTGGTTCGGAATCTGCACGATGAGGGGAATGACCTGGGTCAGGACAACATTCTCCTCAGGATCGACCATACGGCCCATGGCGCGCAAACTAAACAGGGGCGCTTCAAGCTCTTGCCAGTTGGGAACATGGTCGTCGCTGGACTGGGAGGCATATTTGGAGACCCATTGTTGGATCAGCTGATAAGCCTTGGTCAAGCACTCATTGACCCCAATGACCGCACAGCAATCCTTAAGCACATCTCCCATAGCGTGCCGGAAATGCCGGAATTTCTCTTCCTGCTCCCGATCGCCACCGAAAAGGTCCGTCTCACCCTCCTCCGGCCGCGGGTACTCGAGGTGCTTGACCATGATGTCCACGAGGCTAGAGAAGATATCACTATAGCCAGTCCGTGCATCCGCATATCGCTCCAAAGTAACATATTGCTTCAACTCGTACCAGAAGACGAAAGTAAGGGAAATCGCATCTCGCTCCCAGTCGCGAGCGCAACATTCTAGGACCGCTTCGACCAGCCCGCGGAAGTCAGTCGGCAGGCGTGCCATCAAAACCACCCAAGCCTCGCCAGCTTCGGCAAACAGCCTCGTGATACCCCTATAAGCATCTGTGTCTTCCGCTTCGGCGAATTCGGCAATCTTCGGGCGCAGGGACATTAATCGCGGATACAGGGCCTGAATGATTGGCAGTGAATCATCGACCTCCCGAGTGTCTCTATACAATGTGCACATGCTGTCGACCGCAGACTCGAATGATCGGTCGTCATCCAGAGCCTTGAGAATCACATCCATTAAGGGTGAGTCAACAATCTTCGACGCCGGGATCTCGCGCATCCATGAGGTGATACAGTCGAGGAGACGGGGGTTAGTAGACGCAGAAGCTAAACCAGAGTTATAATCAGCATATCAAGATATAAAGAAGCTGACTCGACGGCTGGGCACATACGGGATGACTGAGCATATTGAATCAGAAGGTGCATGACCTGTTCGGCGTTGTCTTCCAATAGTTCTTTCGTCCTGGAATCAAGGTCCTCTTCCTAAGTCAAGCCAGCAGGTTAGAGTCTCGTTTGTCGCGGTCTAAAAGGTCGTCGCCTATCGCGTAGGAACGGATTGTAAACAGGTGAGGTGCTGATGCCGCCGAACATACACTGAGATTGATTTTACGACCCTCGGTCACTTCTTCTGGGAGAATCTTGAGAAACTCCAATACACAATCCCCCGCGCTGCTACCCAGAGCCGCGCCAACTGTGGGTAGGACGTCCTTCCAATCCAGCATTTGGATGGCCAGGCTCGCCAGACAGACGCAAAGCTGTGTCTGGATCGGCCGAGGGCCTGCAGCATAAGCCACAAGCAGGTTCAGAACGGAGTCTCGGAGGGCGAGTATCGATTCCGCGGGTAGCTGGTCAAGGTCGAAGATAATCTGGGACGGTCAGTACGGGATGCCAGTACCGCGTCATGTAGGTGATGGGGTCGCTTCACCTTTCCTTTCAACGTGGTCGCTGCGAACAACTTGGCCTCGACAGGGACATCGGGGGACTGTAGCATTTCGTGGGTAATAGTCCATGCTTCAACCTAGATAGAAGCCGAATCATGATTAGCATGCAATGTTATGGGCGGCGTGGAACAATCGGCCCTGAGGAGGAAGAATGAGGGGTAGGGATGAACGGACTGATTTCTGGAACTTCTCCAGGAACTCATGGGCGTGTTCTTTCTCCGATCGCGAGACATTTCCTGACATAGTCGTGACTGCCGCAAGGACAGCACCAAAGGACTGCCCTGCGGTCCCCTCCTTGCTGGCCATCTTGGACGAGAAGTGGGATGTTTTGGGATTGTTCGATTTGGGAATGGGAGAAGAGGGGTTCAGCCAGGCCGGGAGGCTCAACACCTATGCAGTGCGATCATGAACAGTCATTAAACAAACATTAAAGAACAAGCCGCCTCGATGGAATCAGCGCTAAATCTTCAGCACAGTGGCGGAGAGAGAGATCGGGGGGTAAAGTGACTGGTTAGTGGAGGTGGGATGTGGTGACGATCGACCCAAAGGGAAAAGTTGGTGAGCCGCAATCGTCCCCGAGGCGGCAAGAACGATGGAAGCTTGCTTTACCACTTTCCCGATCTTTCTCGATCTTCTCTCTCAGCACCACCCGCCTAACAACCACCACCACGCGTCGTTTTCTCGATCAACCGAACGGCATTCCCGTCTGTTGTCTCCTGTCGCTGCCTTCGCCTTTTGATACCCTACACATTCCTTCCATCCATCCATCACAATGACCGGTCGTGGAGGCGGTGGAGGCGCTCGCAAGACCCTGCTTGCGCCGATTCATTTCATCTTCAAGCTTCTTCAGCAACGGTCTACAGTCTCTATCTGGCTTTACGAGCAGCTTGCTTTCCGCATAGAGGGAAAGATTAGGGTAAATGGATTCTGGCGACCTGTTTGCGTGGCATTTGACTAATCGACTCGTGTAGGGTTTTGACGAGTTCATGAACCTCGTCATTGACGATGCGGTGGAGGTTCGCATGGCTACAAAGTCCGAGGAAGAGAAGCGGAGACCTCTAGGTATGCGGCAGTTTAGCTCTTGTGTTCTCCCCGTTGGTGCTGCAATGCTGATAACAATTTGAACAACCTAGGCCAAATACTGCTCAAGGGCGATAACGTGTCTCTCATTCAGGCCGTGCAGTGAATTTAAAGGGGCGTTTAAGGATTTCGGAAGCCAGGAAAGGGAAAATTAATCATTCATCTCCGACTTCGTGCCGTGATACGATATCGTTTGCATTTTCTAAACACTTTTTTACGGGTTCTCGCTGGAGTACAATTATCTGCACATTATTGTCGCATTAGATGAAAACATGGACATGAAGGGCTCGCTTCTTTTCTGGATATCCTATCAGCGTTGGCGCACGAGGCACCGGTCATCGCCGACCATGAGGACGTCTACTAGCCAGTCGTGATCCGCAACCGGGATCTTTTCGGTCGGAGCAAGCACTTGTTCTTTGAGAGCCAGCGCGACTATACGAGGGGTTAGTGACGGAATATGTTCGGGTTGACTGCTGTCGTCTGGAACAACTATGCCTTACCTAGTAGAGGCAGCTTCGGTGCCGTTGTTGTGCTCTCGGGACCTTTGGAGTACCTTGTCAGGAAATGATCATAGTAACCTTTGCCATGGCCTAATCTTCTGAATCCCTCATCAAACGCCATTCCTGGCATGACAATCAAATCCAACCCGTACGGTCCCTGCGTAGAATCTTCGGGCTGGGGTGAGACTCCCTTGCCTCCGAAGCAGTTCCTCTTGTTAAGCACACTTGCTTGCGAGAGCGATGGGATTCCCCACTTGTCCGGCTCGAGCGATCTGAACTCATCCATCGACTCAAGCAGCAACATATCCATGACTGATGTCTTTGGCTGAGACGACAACTCGAGATTGTGTATGTAAGGTACGAAGACTTCTTTGCCATTGGCCAGGGCATCCTGCACTATCGCAGTTGTAGAGAGTTCACCCGCTGGCATGGACAGATAGACCCCGATCCTCTTCGCATCCCGATATTCCTGGAGAGCGAGTAATTGATTCGTAGCGATCCTGGCTGTGGCAGGTCAGCACATGCCACGACCATATTGGGCAGAAGCGAATCGAGATCCCTGACATTGATTGGCAATGGAGTCGGGGGGGATCTGCTGGAGAGCATCCCGCATCCTCCGGCGAAGGTCCCTCTTTGCGACTTGCAACCCAGCCATCATCTTGGTCCTTGCTTGCACGATGAGAACGCGGTGTACGTAGACCAGCGACCAATGTTTGTCTACGCGGTCTGCCCAAGGTGCTTCACCAGGTTAGTCTGGTAGCCGAAGCGGGCGTGGCTTGGCAGGCGAACATGTTTTGGCGGATGATTTGCATGGCGGTTCATTTGTTTGATCGGCAGGGCCAGTGGCACGTACCGGGGGGAGCTCTTGTGTACTCCACCCTTCAAGGGCCTCCTGCGTTGCGCCTTTCGACGCATTCCTCTCGCTCTCTACCATCGGTCTCTCCCTTTCTTCTGTATTGAATCTCTTCTCGTGGGTATGATCACAACATGATGGCAACGTGCTTCTTATTTGGCCTTCTATTAACCGCTGTTGGGGCCAGCAGCCACAGCGCATCGGATCTAGAAGGAACATGGTCAACCAAGTCGCGCCAAGTTGTGACAGGTCCGGTATGTTTTGCGCCGTGTTGATTGTTTACCAATTTCAATGGGCCAGCTGTACCTGTTCGCTAACCGTTCAACGTCCGGACATTCACAGGGCTTTTATAATCCTATTGATGATAAATTCCTCGAACCCAACCTCACTGGTATCTCGTACTCGTTCAACGCCGATGGACATTATGAAGAAGCCTACTATCGTGCCATTGCCAACCGTTAGTCCCAGGATCCTTAGAACCATGATATCGCGTGCATTTCCCCGATTCTGACATGTCATCATCAATTAATAGCCCAGGATCCTTCCTGCCCAAAGGGGATTATGCAATGGCAGCACGGTACCTATACCGTAAACAGTGATGGATCGGTGGACCTGACTCCGATCGCTGTCGATGGACGCCAGCTCTTATCAGATCCTTGTCAGTCCTCTACGGGGACATATACCAGATACAACCAAACTGAGCACTTTGAGGTACTTGAGTCCTTCCCGTTAACTATGTGAAAGCTACTGACAGGTATAGTCGTTTTCTGTCTCGGTAGACTCATACCATGGTGTCCAACGCCTTGACGTCAAGAACTTCGACGGATCGCCGATGCATCCAATGTATCTTATATACAAACCGCCACAGATGTTACCCACGCAGACGCTCAATCCAATTTCCTCCAACAAGAGTAAACGCCAGGTCGAGGGGGATACTGGAGGTCGCTTCAGCATAAAGAACTTGGTCAGCAGGGAGAAAGTTGGTGACCCGAATAACTGGCTGTGGCTCGGTATATTTATGACCACACTCGGAGGGATCACTTTACTTCGCTCTTAGATGACCACAAAACTTGCGCGTTACCGCCGAGCAAGTACGATGGACGGCTGGATATAAATGGATATGGAGTTCGGAACATTACTGGAAGGACAAATCGGGATGGATAAATAAGGTCGGTAATTCTTGGGATGACATACAATATGGCGCTGGGAAATTTCGTCTTTTTGTTTTGGCACAGCACGTCTGCATGGCCTATCGTTTCAAGACACGCGAGTTCTGCTTGTTTTTTCTATGCAACTTTATGGCGACCCGAAGTTCCGCCTAATGAACAATTGTTGACTTTTCATCCGTCGTATACATTTCATTGAGCGGGGAGCCAGGCAACTGGTCTAGGTATGCGTATTATACAAGTAGTTATTATACATTTTCTCGTGTCAACCGTTAAGCGGAAGAAACTGCTTCTTTGGCAATTCGGGCAACTTCGGATCTCTCGGCGGGCTTGCCATCCAGGGCTCCTCCAGAGGAGAAGAGGGACTTGAGCAGGAATCCAACCTCGACCTTCTTGCCCGTCTCCTTCAACTTGGCGAGTTCCTCAGCGACGATCGTCTTGATATCGTCCACGCTCATGGTTTCCACCTGGGCGCCATATTCTTCCAATATCGCAATGTGTCGATCCTCAGTCTCCTTCAAGTCGGGGCGGTTCTCAGACTCGAATTCTTTAGCGGCATCCTTTGAAGCAGATATGCGCTTGCGAATCAGAGACAGGAGTTGAAGGTCAGTCTGGATGGGCGAGTTGGTTTTGGCGGCGTTGTTGGTTTCGGAGATGAGAGCGCGAAGGACATTCAGCCTGATAATTGGAACAAAATCCGTCAGCATTGATGCGCAAATAGCACTTGGGGTTGTAAGGGAGCATTAGAAGTACCTAGGCGTATCCTTAGCTCGCATGGCAGTCTTGAGATCGGTTCTCAATGCGGTCATCAAAGGCGGCAGAGTCGGACCAGCAGTGGAGTTCCAGCGCACCAGGCGCAGACCCAGACGGGATGTGAGACGCATTGAGGGAAGCATGGTGAGCAAGAGAATAGCAGTAACACTCTTCAATGGCACAATGGATGAATGAATGGGCTTTGCGGTGTTTGTTGCGGGCATGAAATCATGGGCGGAGGAAAAGCAACGCAAAGGCGGAGAGAGCTTGGGCAGGACCTCACCTCCGGGCCCGTGCACAATTTTGTTTCTCTTCCTGCTCGTTTTACGGCTCAGGCCTGTCATTATTCGGTCTGATCAACAACTCGCCCTCAACCACTCCGGCTATTCCCGCCTCTGTTCATTGATGTTGCTTTCTCAAACCTTTCCGTCCTCCGTCTCTTCCCTCCGCCCTCTCTATACCATCGTGAATTGATCGTCCTCTTCGCGCCCTTGCGCCGACCGAATCTTCACCTCGCCGGGGAGCGCGACGAATCGCCAAAGCTTCCCACGGGCTTCTCAACCGGCATCATGTCTTATCCAGACCTCACGCCGACCCTCACCCCTCAAAAGCCCTTACCCGGTGCTTACTTTCAGACTCCTGCACCCACCGTGGCTGCGGCCGCGCCTAGTTTCTCGCCAAAGCCTGTCGCGGCCCCCGCGGAGCAACATGCAGCTTCACCGGTTGCGCTTCCCAGACTCCCCCCAGCCACGTTCAAGCCCAAGTCTCAGGCGTTGAGCACAGAGGAACGTGCTGCAGGAACAGTTAACGACACTCTCGCTCAAGAAGCCCGTTATCCTGACTTGGATAGCTATCTCTCCCGTGAGTATACCCCCCGTCCGTCTTGACGAGGGGGATCAGATCTAACACGCTTGTGTAGAAGGTATCTCGTCTGACTACGATATACCCGCCTCACCATCATGGGCTCCCTTTCAGAAAGTGAAGATGTACAACATCCCAGATCAGATCTTCGACCAATACAATCGAGCGCAGGTGTCAACAAGCATGGGACTCTTCGCCGAGTTGAACCACGCCTGGGTTGCCATTGACAATGCACTCTACATCTGGGATTATACGCATCCTAACCCTCAGTTAGTTGGTTTTGAAGACCAACCGAACAGCATCAACACGGTCAAGCTGGCGAAACCCCGAGCTGGTGTGTTCTTGCCTTCAATCACGCACATCCTCGTAGTATCGACAACGGCAGACGTCATTTTGCTTGGTATGGGTTGTGAGACTACGGCTGGAGGCGCGCGGCAAGTCACATTATACCAGACGGGCATGTCAACTTCCATTCGTGGCTTGGATATCCATGTCATCGCCTCCTCGGACTCGACCGGTCGCGTCTTCTTCGGTGGCACTTCGGACAATGACGTTTATGAACTCATCTATCAGCAGGAGGAGAAATGGTTCCAAGGTCGTTGCTCGAAGGTCAATCACACTAGCTCTCGTCTATCTGCATTCACGCCGAGCCTGAGCTTTACGCAAAAGTCATTCGAAAATGTGGAGCAGATGGAAATCGACGACACAAGAAAGCTACTGTACACGCTATCATCTTCCTCCACCATTCGCGTCTTCCACATGAAGCCAGACGGCAGCCTTGCTTTGGTGATCACGAAGCCAGCCCTCGATATCTATGCCAATATCGGACACATAATCGCGTCTAACGAGACCCTTAACCCCAAAGTTCCGATTGTTTCCATCAGTCCCATCCCAGCCGCCGAAGCCTCTCGGTACCATCTGATGGCCACAACTGCAACAGGCTATCGCATTTATCTTAGCGCCACCGGCTCCTTCACCTGGTCTTCTGCACCGAACGGCACCAACGCACCTACAAGTATGCAGGCCCATCATGTCAAGACGCCGCCGTATGACGGTGCTTCCGCTGCTCAACTTCCCCCGAGCCTTCAAAACCAACCGCGTTTCCAAACCACAATTACGGCCAGAGTGCCGATCAACACCCTGCAGCCTACCAGATTTACTGTTCGATACCCCCCAGGTTATTTCCTCTGCTTCACATGTAAGGACTCCACGAACAAGTCGGACACACTCTTCATTTCGGCTCCGGATTCGGGGCGCGTTGCTCGTTCTCAGGAAAGCGTTATTCCTGGAAAGGCTGGTGAAACTGCTGTCTGGCTCTCTTTGGGCAGCAGGGCTGAAGACGTGGGTCTCTGCTCTCCTACTACCCCGGCCACGAGCACTCCTGGTGGATTCGGAAACGAACTGGCCGTGCAATTTGATAATCCGGCGGCCGAGATCGCCATTCTGACCAACACTGGCATCCACGTTATTCGGAGAAGGCGTCTTGTTGATGTCTTCGCAGCGTTGGTGCGTAGTGGTGGTACCGGCGATGAGGGATTGGAGGGCGAAGTCAAGAACTTCATTCGCACCTATGGCCGGAGCGAAACGCTTGCCACTGCTCTTGCGGTCGCTTGCGGACAGGGTGTTGAGATCTCATCTGACTCACGACTAACGCAGATTAACGACCCCGATGTCCTGGAGTTTGCGCGCAAGGTCTTCATCGAGTACGGTGGCCGACCCACGATGAATGAGAATGCCGTCGCCGATAGCACCACGCTCGCTATCGACGCAGTCGTTCCGTCCCCTCGTCATGCGGGCATTGCTCTCTACATCTCTAGGCTGTTGCGGTCGATCTGGAAGAAGGAGATCGCGAAGGCTGGCATTGCCCCCAACGGTGCTCAGACGGTCGCATCTTCCGTTTCTGCTTCCAAATTGCAGGCGGTGCAGAGAGATCTTCTGGCTCTGCAGGAGTTCTTCAAATCGAACAAGAGCTTCATCGAAGGATTGAGCGGCCCTGAAGCTTTGACGCGGGTCTCCACGAAGCAGGAGGAAACTGCGCTGCAGGCGGAGCACCGCGCCCTCCATTCTTTGGTCCAACTTGTATCCCACACGATCGAGGGTATCTCGTTTGTCCTGGTTCTTTTCGACGAGCGAGTGGATGAAATCGTGGCATCTCTGCCGGCCGAATCGAAAGAGCGCTTCCTGAAGCTTACCTTCGAGGAGCTCTTCAGTACCAACAAGGGCCATGACATGGCCAAGGAGCTCGTGAAGGGAATCGTCAACCGCAACATTGCAAAGGGTTCTAATGTGGAAACTGTGGCCGACGCTCTCCGACGCCGTTGTGGCAGCTTCTGCAGCGCTGAAGATGTAGTGATCTTCAAGGCCCAGGAGCTTCTGAAGAGAGCTACGGAAGCCGGTTACAACTCGGAACTTGGTCGCAATCTACTCAATGAAAGCCTTCATTTGTTCCAGCAGGTCTCTGACAACTTGCCCATGGATTACCTGATTTCTGCGGTGGAAAGCTACATTTCTAACCAGTTCTTTGCCGGTATTTTCAACCAGGCCCACTTTACGTTACTTTACTAATGAGTTTTCATAGGCGCGATCCAGCTTGCTCTCAATGTTGCTGCTCGCTCAGACAAGGCCAACATGGCACTTTCATGGATCGTCGATGGGCGACCAGAGGAGGTAGGTCACGCGATCGTCCTGATTCTACAATCTCGCAAATCTTAACATATTTTGTCTCATAGGACACCCGCAAGGACTACTTCTACTACCGCAAGCAATGTTATGACCTCATCTTCAAGGTTATCCTCGCCGTTGACAGCCTCGCCGCTCACGATCCTGGCGTTGTTGATGGACAATTGACGATAATCGCCAAGCGCAAGAATGAGGCATATGGTGTCGTTTCCGACTCAACCGATGAAGTATTTTTGACGAGTTTGTACGATTGGTATCTGGAGCAAGGCTGGAGCGATCGACTGCTGCAAACCAACTCGCCCTTCGTTGTGACATATCTTGAGCGTAAATCAGCAGACGACCTTGCTCACGCGGATCTGCTTTGGCGGTACTTTGCTCAGTCGCAGCGGTTCTTTGAGGCAGCCAAGGTACAACTGGATCTGGCTCAGAGCGCGTTCACCCTTCCTCTCAGCCGTCGCATTGAGTACTTGGGCCGAGCCAGGGCCAACGCCTCCACATTCACGCCCGACACTAGCCGACAAGCCCGACAGCGACTGGTGCAGGAAACTTCCAACCTTATTGACATTGCGAACATCCAGGACGATCTCCTGCAACGCCTAAAGGACGACAGACGCATTGCGCCGGAACGCCGGGTGGAAGTTCTCAAGGATGTGGACGGACCCATCAAGGACATTAGCACTGTACGTCATCAGCCCAACCTCCCCTAGTCATTCCCTATTTTCTTTTCTTCTTGGCTAACATCTTCCTGCAGCTCTTCAACCAATACGCCGACCCTGCAAGCTACTATGACATCTGTCTCCAGATATTTTTCCTGGCCGACCATCGTAACCCAGCCGATATCCGTTCGACCTGGCAACACCTCCTTCAGGACCTGCACGATGAGGTCCTCGAACGGGGTGAGCCCATCCCTTATGAGGCTGTAATCGACAAGGTCCGCAGTTTGGGCAGCCGTCTGCGCATGTCCGAATCTGTGTTCCCGATCCCCATTCTCCTACCCATGCTCGAGCGCTACGCCCTCGAACACCAGCGTGGAGTCGGTCCTGCAACATGGGTCATTGACCTCTTCCTCGATCTTGGCGTCGCACACGAGACTCTCTACGCCGTCCTCGAATCCATGTACTACACCGACGAAGCTCCTTTCCAAGGTTCCAACAAGAAGTATATCGCCAAGGATCTTCTCTACCTAATTGAGCACTGGTTCCACGACACGGTCCGTCTCGGCGGCGTCGTCTTCGGAAGCGACCTTGTCGCTGAGCGCATCCTCGAAACCCTCCTTCTCCTCCAGCAGGGTGGTATCACTCCGGAACAAGTCCAGCTGGCACAAGAATTGAGGACGAGAATCGATGATATTCTGCGGTGATTTGTCCGCCCCACTGGTTCCCGAATTTCATCGCTTCCCCCTCCCCCTCCTTCACGTATAGCAATGCAACCCAAACTCACTTCGATTATTTTTTGTTCTGTTCTGTTCTAGTCCTGGGCGCTGGAGTCTCGTGTATTTTCTTTTTTTTATTTTCTTTTATCATCTTCAATTTCTTGCATGCAAGCAGCATCCAGAGAGTCATGTCGAGTCGAATCAAGTGAAGTGAAGTGAACCGAAGTGAAGTGCCAAAATAATCCCATCATATATTATATCATTTTCAAAGCCGTCTTTCTTCCTTCCTTTCCTCCCCTTTTCCTGTCCACTTTCTGGATATGATCAAGGTGTACTACTAATACTATAACTGGGTATTAATCAATGTAATCAATGTAAGATGATGATCATGACGTTTATAACTATTACTTAGCTGCATCTTCCTTATTGGTGCGGAGCTGTACAACTACTAGTAGTTGTACAGGCAGAAATCACCAGGTTGATATATATATATAACCAACCGACTTTCATTCTGCCATTCCTGGGTAAATACTAGTAGCACGACCATTTTCCTAACTTGTATTTCGCCGATGAATACTACTACTACCTAAGTACTGATAGGTGCTTCTAGTAGATTACTGATTGGCGGTTGTTCTTTAGTAGTAGTTTCCTGACTCGAGCCCAATTTCGTCTCATTTCCTTGATGCTTCACTGATACCTTAACATGTATTATTCCTACCGGTTATGCAATAGTAGATGCAGCATTTGTTTTTCAAAGAGGTGAGTAGATACTAGTGGCAACTTACTACTAAGTACTTACTACTGTGAAAAAATGTTTGGTCCCCGCTTCCCGGGTGTTGATGAATGGATGGTGGGGTAAGTAGGTGTGTTCGATGAGGCTGCATACAATAAAATATATATATGGTGTACAGGGTACATCCGAGCAACATTTACTTACATTTTGAGTTTTGGTTTAACTACTTATTGATCAAAATTGTATTTATTCGTATTGTTATGTTTTTGTTGATATTCTGACGCGTGAATATGTTTAATAATAACTAAATCTGGTAGATAATAAAAGAAGTGAAGTCTATCGGGCTAACAAATCCAAAACAAAGAAAAACAAGAAGAACAAATAACAGAGAATCAAAAAACATTGCTTTCGGACACAAAAATTTTAGATCAAAGAAAAATAAAGAAAAGGGGAAAAAAATAAAAAGTTTGGCCCCACTAGTTCTAGAGCATAGAAGCCTAAACAGGGCACAAAATAAGGTCACTAAAAGTGGGAATAAAAAAAGAAAAACCACATTAAACAGTCTAATGAACCAGGCCGAGGTATCAATCAAAATCAAGTAGCCAAGCAAAAATCCAGGCAGAAAAACGGGAAGAGGATGGATCAAAGAGGAAAGGATGAGAAGGAGGAGGGAGGATCAGGCACATGCGACGCGCCAAGGATCCCAAAGTCTGAGGGGTAGCGGGGAAACATCTTCCGAGCCTGCTGCATGGAACGTTATTGCTGGCAAGGCATCGCGGTGGCGTCCAGCACCCTTGACCTTCCGTGAGAACTAAGAGGTGCTGAGAACAAGGATAGAGCTCCTCGAACAGGTGGCGGAGGCCGTCGGGATTTACTCGAATTGGTCGTATACAGGGATGGGCTTTTCGCCCAATGCGCACAGACGGAAGATATGACGGAGTTTGGCGCCGTTATCATCATCGAGGTAGTCGACAATGGCGGAATCTATTGCAAATATCCGTCAGTATTGCTTTTGGGTGCTTATCTTTGGTAGGTACCAAGGAACTCACGCGTTGTGCAGCGATTGTCGAAAATTACAATGGTCCGAGGCTGCCACCTCACTCGCGCCTGAAAGTCGTGCCCAGTGATGATATGCTGCATGAGGAAGTCCAGCAACCAGCGCTGCTCGGGCTCCTTCAGACCTTGAATCTTGGTGATGAACTCGCCGTTCACAAAAAGACATTTCTCGCCGGTGACTGGGTGGACACGCACAAGCGGGTGGACGGTGTCGACGGCTTCTTTGCGTACCAGGCTCCCAGTCATACGTGCATGCTGGATCATTTTTGCCGATGAGTGGGTTGCGCGCAGCGTGTCCAACCAGGAGGTGAGAGTTGGAGAAAGACGCCTAATTCATGCATTAGAATCTACCTGCCCGGCGCTGATTCGTCGCGCTTGAGGATGATACTTACTTGTATGCCATATCGGTCGCCGAGAAAACAGTATCACCACCTACTTCAGGTCCCTCCAGCAGCCCAAGCATCACATAGCCCGGGGGCTGGATCTCGTAGCTGACATCCTGGTGCCAGAGCGTCGTGGTAGTGCGCTGCGACAGGAAACGAGTGATTTCCTCGCGGTTGCCGTCGCGATGGATGATATGGAATCCTGGGTGCCCGCGCATTGAGCCAGAGACGGGCTGATAATTGGGCTTGCCAAAGTGACGCATGAAAGCCTCTTGTGCCTCAGGACCATCGTCAATGAGATCCTGGTCCGGGAAAGCTACCACCTTGCGTTCGGCAACCAAAAGGGCAAGCTCATCTTTCTGGGCATCCGAGAGCTGGTTGAGCTGAACGCCTTCCACGACACTACCAATGCGCGGTTGGATCTCCGTCACTTTTGTGCCGGGTGTCAGAAGATTGCGCTTGGACTTATCCTTTACGCGAAGGGCAGGGTCCTGATACTCAAAAGGAGGAAGAGGATCGAACCACACTTTGTCCCACGTGGGAAGATATTCGGGGTATCTGGTGCGTAGGTGAGACTCCTTGGTGACATCCACGTAAGGGATATTGATGTCGTAGCTGATCGGCTCCTCCTCCTTATGGGCATTGATGGGAAGGGCCTTCTTGGGCCGTAGGACAGGCGCAGAGGACGGCATGGTTGCGGATGTGCGTGTTGACTGGTGTGTGCTCTTGTGCGAAAGAAGTATGTACGTAATGTAGTGTTGCTCAAGGCCACAAAGAGGTTAAGCGGGACCCTCGACGTCAAGAAAGATGAAAGTGAGCTAGGAGGGAAAAGGAAAAGGACAGAATTCGAGAAATCAAGGTCAATTGAAGTCTCTGGAGATGGATGGGGAAGAGAAGAAAGTTCAGTCGAGGGTGGACGAGAGATGAATATATATCTGATCAGATACAACCTCCACCGGCTCGATATGGCGATAAAGGGATTGCACAAGCAGTAAACACGGCCAAGTGTGGATGATATGGCCGCAGCAGCGCCAATGGCAATGCATCCACCGGAGGTTCGCTTAGAAAGAGTTAGACCAGGGATTATCCCTTTCAATTTTCCGGACCGGGAAAGCTTGGGCTGGTAGATACGCCCGATTACTACTGCTACTACTACTCAAGGCGGGCACAAAAAAAGGTCGTCTCGAAGCCATGACGACAGGGGTACAAAGTCGGTGCCGGACGGGTCTCGACAGATGAGAACAGCGGTCATCGTAGGGGGGTGAGGGGGCGGCGGCAAAGGAATGAACCACTTAGGAGCCAGCATGGCACAAGCAGTGTCTAGAAAAGGTGAAGGGGAAGAGAGCATACAGAGTGACGAAGAGGCCAGAAAGGGAAGAGGCAGGCCGTTCGGAACAGGGACCGAGACGAGCAACAGATGCACGACGGAATTGGGAGAAGCGGTCAAGGTCCAATGAATAATAAAGAATGGGGCATCGGCGCGCCCACTCCAAGACTGGAGTATAGCTTCCTTCCCGCATCGGACGACAAAGGGCTTACAGCAGCAGAGAGTTGTCCGGCATGGCAACGACGATTGTCTTCTCGGAGCTAAGCCTGACCGACCGCAGAAGCGATAGCGATTGGACCTGCCGATACTTCGATGGGAAGGCACTGTCTTCTCCCTGGACCCGGCGTGTTCCGGGGGACTGGCTCTCAACTGTAAATTGTTCCATTCGATGTGGTTCTGGTGTGGTTTCACCGCTCTGATCTAGCGAACCCGGATGAACGATAAGCAGCCAGAGGGCCTGCAAAGAAGGCAGAGGTGGAGCCATGCGGCCGGCACGTTGGGCCAATATCATTAAGTTTGAGTCTGTTCCTTCTAGGGTAGACGGCACTAGATCGCGGAATTTGTCCTGTGCAGTAGTGGGAAGGAGTACCATTACTTTCAGCAGCAGCAGCAGCAGAAGCAGAAGCAGCAGCTACGGTAGCTCTGCTATCTTGCATTAGTCCTTGCATCGCTCGACAGAAGGACGATGGTAAAACTCCCGGCTTCGAGGCCGCGGCTGCTTTGTACTACTGTAGCCTGTATGCGCTCTGCCACAGGTAGCCATTGCCAATAATCCAGGAATATTGCAGCCCCTCTCCTAATGTTTGGTTGGTGGAAACCGTTTATCTCATGTCAAGAGGGCGCATGCGTACTCAGTACAACATTGTGAAGGGGGTTAGAGTAATTTGTGTTCCACTGCTGTTTATTCCAAAGAACCAGAAAATGTTATTTTTTTTTTTTTCTTTCTTTTGGTTGTGAAATTCTTTGCTTTTTTTTTTTTTTTTTTTTTTTTTTTTTTTTTTTTTTTTTTTAAATTTTTTTTTTTTTTTTTTTTTTTTTTTTCTTTTTCCTTTATATTTTTCTTTAAAGTTATTTCTTTTTCTCAAAATTTCTTTTTCCACGGTTTAATTTTTGTTTGGGATAATGCCTGCTCTCTTTCTAGCAGTATCCTGGTGGTGATCGATCGCGTCAACTCAATCGAACAAAAATAGTGCCGACTTCCTGGCTCCAGTTTATTTTGGGGCCACAATGCCGAGGAGGCACAAAATCGACTCAGCGCATACCCACTGTAGCTTCCCCGAAAATTTGATGTGTTCGCTCTTCCTCTCGGTTTTAGTGACGCCTTTGCGTATCCATGCTACCCCTTCAGGGAAGCAAACAACACTGGTGTCAAAAATTTTCTTTTCAACAAAAATAATTAAGATTTTCACTTAGCTCACTTGCGGAAGGAGTGAGCACCCGTGTAAGCCAAAAGGGTCACACATAGACCCGGTTTGGGCTTCCACCCAACGGGCGAAAAACTTGCTCACAGTATCCATCCATCCTTCGCATCAAGTCCAATTTGAACCAGGGTGGAACAGACAGGCCTGGCCGATCTCCTCGCGCGCAGAGTCAACGGAGCCTCTCGCGCGAGTTGTGACGTTGACTTTCATTTCGGGAATGCGGTTCAATGTCCGTGGACTATCGGGTTTCCCCACCGAGCCACGTTAATGTTCCATAATCGGTAGAGATGGGCCGCGGAAGGTCATCCAGGCTATCTAGAACATTTCCCAGATGGCGTCGAAGGCCCACAGAAGCCTCGAAGGAAGGATGCAAGAGAATTGGTCTGATCATAATGTACGACTGTGTCCGCTCAGTTGTTCAAGCCACAACATGACCGCGTTTGAGCAACCTTCCAAGCTCAGAGCTTCCGAGTCTGGAGGGGTCGAATTGCAATTGGGACCAAGTTTTTTTCGTGTCATCCGTGTTTCCGTCGTAGGGCCTGAGTGCTTTGTCTTTCATTGATCATATCTACTACCTATCCAAGTTAGTCTCTTCCTGCTGCCATTCGAGACAGCCTAGGAAGAAGTATGTACTTTGTCGATTGATGCCCGTTGAAGGTGTCACGTCACTGATTCGTTGTCCATGAGCTATCTCTTACGAAATATTATCCCAACTGGTACATGGGGTACAAGGAATGTCAAAGGATTCCCAAGTTTGGTGCCGGTGGGTACGGTGGATGTGGATAGTCAACTACTGGTTGAGGCTGGCGACTATTCGCAGGGTGTTCTTGCGAGATACAGCGACTAGATAGCACCGGCGGTCAAATTTGGCCCCAAGTTCCGGGGAAAGGGTCGCTGTGACCTCCAAGGTACGTACTTACTACTTAGTGTCTAGCGTCTACCCTGGGAGTCGGGCGACGCATTTCCGGCTGTTGGAGACTAGCCCACTCTGTGCGAAACACTATGCGACAATGGACTGACGGACGGTGGTGCAAAGTGTGGCGCTAAGCGTAAGCTTCCCGTCGTCCGCCCACACAACGATGTTCTAGGAGGACCGAGCCAAATCATGAGATAGGGGACCCAGGTACATTTTGACGTTCGAGGACATTTCCTGGATCAGGTTGCTTTGTCTGCAGAATGCATGCTATTATTGAGAGACATGGTGGGATCAGCGTGCAGGTGGCGGATACCAGCTGCTCAGAATCCTTGCAGTACTTTTGTTTTGATGCGTAAAATTGAGTCAAGGCCGATTCCGGGCCAAGAAGGAGCCCAGAGGCAAAAGATCAGCCCCAAGGGAAGGGGGAGGGGCAAGCGCCACAACTTAGGGATCCTGGGCTCCAGTACTCCGTCGAGGACTTTTTGCACCACAAGCTTTGCCGGGAGTCGGAGGTCACAACGAGTAAGCTGAAGGCAGGGTTCGAGAATTGCGGTGAAGACGCCCAGTTTATCGGGCCGCCCTGGAATGAGAGATCACCATGAATCTATGACCGATGGCTTGAGGGCGGAGCTGGACCAGCTACCAGGGTGGACATGGCACTAAGATGTCTCACACAACGATAAGATCGAAGAAGAATATATCGATATACTATTCAACACCATATGCAAGGCCGATGAGTCTTGCTAAAAAAGCAAGCCTGTTGTTGGATGGGCGAAAGAATCAAGTTCAGTTGTTTTTTGGCAATAATTTCATACTTTTGCGCTCGTTCAACCGTTGGGTCACCACGGCTGGTTAATGGTTGACAGTGGGTTAAACTCATCTTACCCGAGCAGCCATGATTGTTGATTGAGCGATAGCTGGACTGCGATCCACACGGCTAAGCTTAAGCTATGTTTAGGGACTCCTGAGACGCGTGCAGTTTGGAAAAAGCAAACATTCTGCCAAAGTAGTGAGTATTAGGTACTAGGCCTCGGACTGTCTTTTCCAGCCGATCGGGTCTGGCGAACGGCGGGGATTTTTTCTCGATGGTTTCTTTTTTTTTCTCATGGTAGTTGCTTTTTCCGTTTGCTTCGTTTGCGTTTTTCCTCTTCTCGGAGAACCCGTGACGGTCAGCTGACCCGCTTTCTCGCTCTTTCCTCTTCTTTTTCTTCTGCTTCTTCTTCGCACATATCAGATCAGATCCTTTCCCTTCCACCCCCTCCAGCTACTAGACTCTACTAGTTTACCACTTAGCTGTCAAACGAAACTTCTCGGCCGGACGAAAGGGACCCGACCTATCTACATCCTACGCCCTACGTTTCTAGATAACCGGGGACACCTTCTCTTTTTACGCAATTCCGAAACCCAGAATGGCTTCTCCGACTGCTCCCGCCTCCTTGTGGAGCCGGAAACGCGACTTGATCTACTTCTCCTTCTTTGCTATCCATGTCCCCATCATTTTTCGTAAGTCGGTCTAAAGTTGCCCCCCCATTCCCACTGATATACACACTCGTTTACGTAGTCCCGAAACCCACTAACTCGCTATCAATCAATCAATCTTCCTAGTGGTCGACGCAGCCCCGATCCTCCCCACCGCCCTCCAATCCAACCTTTCCCATACCCTCCGACAGTTCTACATCGATACGTACCATGACAGGTTTTTCGAGGAGCCACCAGCCCCCTGGTTTTACTTCTTCATACTTATGGAGCTGTTCTACCATGTGCCCGTAAGCGTCTGGGCACTTGGCGGCCTGAAGAGAGGTGCGGATCTACACCTACTATCATCCACAACTATACCTACCGTTACATCATAAACGCTCGGTATCTCCCTATCTGGAACTTGGAGCTAACGGGGTGGATACATGACAGATGACCCTCTCGTCCCCCTCCACCTCCTCATTTTTGGTCTTCAGGCCTTCCTTACCTCCACAGTCTGTCTGGTTGAGGTCTGGAGTTGGGCAGATCGCTCTGTAGCCCAAAAGCAGAACATTAGCATGCTATATGGGCCTTATGTCGCTCTTGGTAAGTAAAGATACTGCATGCACCTGGACATAAGTAAGCTGAGTTGGATGGCTGCTAATTAATTCTGATAGGTGCGTTCATGGCACTGGATATGTTCTTTAGACTTCGGACCAGACTCCTAGTCAAGTCCAAGAAGGAGTAAGTCACCACTGTAATCAGTCCCCATAACCCCAATATTCTCCCCTTTCCTATTTCAGTGGAGGGCATGTATGCATACAGTATCCAATGCAGGGGGTGTATGTGCTGGGACGATAATCCATAGATCACGTAAAAAAATGAAAAATAAAGTAAAGGAATGGCAGATCTAAACTCAGGCGTGCATGCGTCTGCAAAGCTGGAAAGTGCACTGTACACAGTACTTTACTCTAGGTGTACTTTGTAACAGTAGAGGTGTACACTGGACGGAAATGTTTCGCAGACCAATAAACTAGACCAGTCATTGGGTTCTAGGCCTAGGAAGTTGCATGAGCCTAGTCATGCAAGGACATCAACCTGCCTTATCGTGCTGGACTTAGTGCCGGGGGGTGTCTGAACTGAAGGCGTAAGGCATACATGCCAACTCGCTAAGTTAGGTGCAGTGGGCTGAAAACCAAAATTTTCTTTGGGTCTGTGATCTGTGCTCTGTACATTGTACAGGTAGGAATGCATGCCCACTAGATAGTACTTACTGTGGAAAAAGTGTAAAGGTGGCAGCAGGACCCGCTACACCGACCCGATCGCTCTTAATGCTGCAGCTGCATGATATAGGTAGGTCGGGATGAAGCCCGATGTGAGAAAGATGAGGCTTGCGGATTTGGGGGGGGCAAAGCAGGGATTGTGATTGTTTGCCACAGGGCTGGCTGATAGTATGGAATGATGGTCTCCAAAATATCCTCAATAAGAATTGGGTGGCTGTTGATGGTGTCTATCTTGCTTGCTAGGTATAGAGTTCCGGGCTGGGACCATGGGAGTGTGTAGGGTCACAAAAATGCAGTAATAGTTACGTCCGTAGGCTTCATTGTTACAAGGGAAAGGAACAAAATAGAGACATGGGTAGGGAATAGAGCGCCATCGCACAATTTGCGCACAGGTCTCGCTGTTGTTGATGATAGATCATATTACAGCGGTACCAAAGTTCCCGGGACTGCTCACCCGGCACCAAGTTTGCCAAAAGCTGAAGGATTCCAAAGCGGTGACATCACCTGCGTCATATCAGAAATCCAATGGCTCCGTCTAGGTCTCCGTTGGCTGCGTCTAAAGCTCGCATGGCTTCTTCTCGCGTAAAGCCTAGTTCGGTGATCTTCGCGATGGAGTCCGCCGGCCAGCGTGACTGCGGCGGGGCTGGGCGGGAAGAGGATGCCGCAGAGGCCATGTTGGGGCCACCAGCTGCTTGGCTGCGGCTGGCCTGATGCGTGACCGCACCTGTCCGGGCGCCGACTTCGGCGCCATCGGCTCCCTTGATCATGGGCTCATCTTCGAATTCCTCCTGGAGGTGCTTGGGAATGTCCGCCTCTCCCAAGAACGGGACCGCTTGGTCTTGAATGATGAGTGCACCTCGTTTGAGGTCAATGCAGGCTTGGTGTCTCCTCAACATATCCAAGCCTAGGAGTAGATCAATGTGCTTGCCCTCCATAACCGTGAAGGAGCATGGAAGAAACATGCTTCCAATCTTGATTTGTGCTGAATGCACCCGACCGATAATGTTAGCCGTACCAACGCCCTTTGCGATTCCCCCATATCGCTGGTCGACGAGTCGCATGATGTTGCACGCGGTCGCACATTCGGGTGACATAATGGTGACCTGTGCGCCGGAATCGACGAATGCGTTGAGTCTATGGCCATTGACCTCGACAGGGATATACAGCATGGTTACGCGACCAAATGCTGTGCCTTCATGTTAGCAATAAAGTCGACACGGAAAGCGTTTCGTCCACTTACACTCTGGGTGGTGTTCCATGGCATTGTGGAGGTTTTCCGTAACCGCGTTTTGACGGATAATCTCCTCGATCTCTCGTTGATTCTCGGGGTTGAACGGATCAGCATTCAGCATCGCAATTCGAGCCTCCTTCTCTGCTGCGACCTGAGCCTCGCGCTGTTGTTGTCGTTGAAGGACATCACGGAAGCGCTGTGCATCGTTGGCCACCTCCGCCAGTTCCGGGTTCTGCCGTCGAACAGCCTCGCGCACTTGCGGATTACCGAGAATATGTAGACGAATCGTCTCGGGATCTGGTGTCATTGCCTGTCTTCGCTGCAGGTTTTGTTGGGCAGCAGCAGAGCTGGGGCCCCCAATACTCCGTGGGGGGGCCTGGGGTCTCCGCAGCGTAACCTGAACACCTATCATGTCGCCCTCACCAATGCCAACCTGTTCGAGGGTGCGAGCATCATCGGCGAGTAGTTGATTGTTGTAGAGAATACGTTGGGAGGGAGGAGGGATGGAGGTTTCGCTTTCGACGATGGCTTTGAGGAGCTCGACGGTCATGTCCCCACCGACTTCTAGGGAGAAGATGTCGGCGTCGGCCTGATCCGGACGAATCACGCTCACGGTAATGCGCCTGGATATTGTGAGAGCCTTCGGTTAGCTACATATTCACTTGGTCTCTCATTTTTTCCTGTGATGTGTTTCTCCACGACATACATGATGCTGTGCAGCTCTAGTGCGGGGAAGCTCTCCCAGACTCGGAGAGGGTCAAATCACGTTGGGAAACCCAGCAAATGCAAGCCCTGGCCAACTCTGGAGCAAGATTTCTATCGAGTCTATAGACAGCCAGTAGATCAGGGTCTTTGTTCGGACAGCCTTAGGTGGCCGACGGGGCGAATTATAAATACAGTCACACCAGCGAAGCGATCGACGCGAGCGGGCGAGGGAGGGGGGGGGGGAAGTGGCGCTGAGAGGGGGAGGGAAAGGTGAGAGGACCGGGCTCCAGACGAGACAGGAGACGGTCGAAGCGAGACGACAGGGTACCCTGGAGATAGAAGAAGAAGTAGCAGTAGTAGTAGAGAAAGAGATGCAAAAGCGTAGGACGAGCAAAGGCGGGAGGAGGTGAGGTTACGGTTCCTGGTGAAGTGCAGCAGCGGGCGGAGCACCTCACAGCGGGCCGCCTGATTCGGTAGGCAGCCAGTCATGCGTCATCCGCCGCGACACTCAATACTATACTTCCTGCTGTCGCCATCCCATCCTGTTTTCTTCCCCTTTACTAGGTTCCATGGTTAAGGAAGTTCGCACGTTGGCTTGTGTTATGTCGGGTTTCTCCCTCCTCTCTTCAATTTTCCAAGCACAGCACATTCGCTTCAAAAAGACAACCATCGTACAGGTAAAGCTCTTCTTCCTTCAAATGCTTCCAAGCTACGGTCGCGTTCTAGGCCTTTCTGGGCCCCCGTCCATCCATCCAGCAAAGATCCGTCAATCCACACTCGGGTGGTCTCACCAACTCTCCAATCTGTTGAGCAGCAGCATCCCCGCAGTTCGAAGATATTTGCTCCACGAAATTACGCAGAACGTTGAACTCTCAAACAGCGCCTTTTACCACTCATAGCACTACGATAAGAACACCACATGCATTCCTGTGTGTGCATGCCCACATTCTTCCCCCAGATGCCATTCCTGCATCCCATTGCGGCCTGATGCCATGAGGTGCAGCCACCGGACATCCTCCAAGAGTCATGGAACACTCATCAGACAAAAGGACTCTTCCATTCCCGAATATATCCGCGCTTCTCTAGCTCGAGACATGATGACCCCACGGTGCTCACTAGCTATTCACTGTCCAGTCATCTAGGTGCCCGCTCCTACTACCACTCTTAGCTCGAAAATAATCCATGCCCGTGATTGCCACCTAGTTGCTTACTGCTGGGGACAATACGAGACTAGTGGCCCCAAGGCTCGAAGTCATTCCGGGATTAGGCCCATGAATTCATCCTCGCGACCCCGGTGACATCAGGCAGACAAGGTCTGCATGCCTGCGAGCTATTGCAGAGAAGCCTCAGTGCTCGAACCACTCACTTTAGTTTCTGTGCAGTTCATGCGTATACTGCATACTGTACTGCAATCGAGCGGCTTTGTTGCGAGGCCATAGGTGCCACCAACACAATTCACATCACCTTGCCAAGAGGTATAGTCATGACCGGGACATACGTATCGTTCCGGATGATCCATAGACTAAGTGGTCCACTATATTGCTAGTGAGACGGCCGGGCCTTTCATCCTTAAAGACTGCAACTTGTGCAATTTAGTGCTTAGCATAGCGGCCTGCGCCAGTGGTAGTGCACAGTTCTGCCTGAGTCGAATAGATACTTGGTTTATGTTAATTGGCTGATGCACTTTCCTGATGTGAGTGTGGGTGTCGTCAAGCGGCTAAGTACAATTACTTGATCGTGCTCCTGAGACCTTGGACATCAAATTTCAGATTATGGGCAATTGGGCTTGGTATCATATATGCTAAAGGTAGTGCGTTGCATAGCTACGACAGTACTAGTTATATATGGTTCTCTGCGTATATCAGCTCGCATACTACTAATTAGGTAAGTAGCGATGCATACGTATATGCGAGCGATCCTGGGATATACCAACACACAAAATTGATGGTGTATGAGAAAAGACTATTACTAGTACTGCCATCATCCGGTCCTCGAAACAAGCTTTTCATCAGCACCGTTCACCTCATCCTGATTCTATGATGATCTGGAGTTAAACATGATACAGAGACAGTCGGACGATCGATGCCAAAAGCAATTTTTCTGTCGATCGAGACCCACTGATACTTAGACTGGTTTCGCATACACAGTATCCCTCGTGGACGAAATATACGCTCCAGGAAAGTAGTATTAGACAATTATGAGCCGATCCTCTTGCACACTTTGTCATCATAAACTTCCAGACGGTGTGATAGTGAAAACTCGTTCGTTTATGCTATCATAACCACAAATCTAGGTTAATATGATATACCCCTCTTCATCTTCATCGCTAGCTCTCGCCTATGACTGAAGACATTGCTGTGTCTGGCAGTGATAGTACTTGCTGTTGTGCTCGCTAGTGTTCTGGCTTCCTTTGAGCTGATGTGCAAACATTGACTGGCCGACGCCGGTTTCAGTCAGAAACAACCCGATACTTAGATTGCAAGGGTACTAAAGAAAACTGCTTCATAGAAGTAGTATATTATCTTTCTCGCGGTGAAGCCAATCATGTCCAGTCATGATACGGCTGGACTGTTCAGCCTCGACACGGGTCATCAAAGATAGCCACTGAGAAGCACCAAGTATCAACCCATGTCAATTTGGTGCTGCTAAGTGGTTAGTGCTTACAGTTAGCCGCTTATGATAGATACTGACTGGCCTCCGATAACCCCGCCACCACCCCTCCTCAATTGTCTACAAAGGACTTGTTCTGCTACCGATTGTCATCACCCCATCTTCGACTCAGCCAACCAATCATCCACAGCTCCCTGCCTTCGAACGAAGCTAGCAATAAATCAGATAATCTCGCCATGTCCGACTCATCCGAATCCATCTCCCTGCAAGTAACAGTCCATCTTAAACCCGAGGACGTGCCGAAGTTCTGGGCCGCTTTCGAACCTGCCTACAAGGCTGTCACCGCCGAGCCTGAATGTACTTTCTTCGAACTATACCAGTCGCTCGATTCCCCGGGAACTATCTCCTGGGTAGAGAATTGGTCTGTCCTGTTCCATTGCTGGTTTCTGGCAGTGGGTTTGTTCGTAGTTTGGTGCTAATCTACCATCTGTATGCAGGTCTGCGTCAAAAGAATGGCTTATGGGGGTAAGTATAAACCTTGTTTTTCAGCATTGGTGACCAGAAGCTAAAATGAGTGGTGCTGAGATAGGTCCAATTGGTGAAGCCGTATTATCGTGATTACTTCGCTGCAACGGAACCTTTGTTTATCAAGCCCAGAGAGGCTAAGTTGTTGAAAAGAGTTGGGGCACCGTTTACTATGGTGAAGAAGACGAATGGAGGGTTGGTGGGCTAGATCGAGGTTCAGGCAGCTGGGATGAGAGATAACTCAAAGCTTTCTTGACACTGAACGAGGCATAGAAATATACGTACTCAAGTCATATACGCTTATACTAGTTGAAACTGGTCCATAGAATATGGAGCTCGAAAGTGATCGCAGCAGTTGAACGCTAGCTTGTACTTGTATCTATAGTTCACAGAATACTTGACACAGAACCGGTATCACATGATCCCAAGCTAGGTCACACCGTTCAAAACAGGTACATCAATCTACTCTGAAATCTGCTATCAAAACATACAGGTACAGCAATGCTGACAATGATAACTCCGACCAGCTATATTCTGCTTCTAACGCGGCCCAATTCTTACTCGATACGTCTTGCGCATGACACATCTGCTACCCCCTCGCCTTCAACTACCTTGGCCGAAACAATCTCATCCACGGGAATCTCAGCCAGCCGTGAAATGACATGATGCAGCGTTGGCAATGCTTCCCAGCTGAGTGCATCAATCTCAAAACGGGCGTTCTTGGTCGTCCGGAGCCGAGTGATTCTTGACGGAATGTTCTTCTGCTCCTCCTCTTGTGGCACAAGCACGGGGTACTCAGCCTCAGGCTGTCCCTTGTTCGCGCGTCCAACTTGCGGCATGTAGCGATAGATCAAGTCACCCTTACCAATGTTCTGAGGAGGGTTCATGCTGAAATCTTGGTCCTCCAGGTCTTCCAAATGGAAGTGACCCCATACAGCTCCTTCCCAGCTAGTCGTGAGATGGTAGGAATTGGTCCGCTCGTGTGCTTCGATGGCAGTGTACAGCTTTGGCATGCCGAGCTCTTCGCGGCCACTCACGATCGGATCAGTCAGACTTTCGAAGAGAATGGGCAGGTACAGTCCTTTGACAACCTCGCCGTCTGTTTTCTTATACTGCACGCCCTCGATGTAAAGGCCTAGGTGACGGTAGCCGCCGCCGCCGAGCCAGTCCATGCCGTGGAGTCTCGTTTGCGAGAAGCTGGCGTAGGCCACAGTGCTTGGGTCAGTGAAAGAGTACCTCTCATTAGGAAGGAGGTTTTGCAGCAGCGTCCGACTGGTTTTGAATCGGATTGACGCCGTCTGGAACGTCGACTTGAGTGACTTCTGGACGCGGTTTCTGCCCCACCAGTCTTGTCTGGGGCCGGGCATGGGGCCGAAGACAATGGGCTGTCGCCAGTATTTGGCCGGGAGTTTGCTCCAGAGATGCTTACGCAGCACCTGCGTGGAGTAGTCGAATTCGTCATGCCCGTAGATATAGTCGGTCATTGCTTCCACTGTGGAATATTAGCTATGTACTGATAAGCGGGTGCTGATACTGACTTGTCTCCATTGACTGCGGCTTGGAAGACTCTCGTGTCATCTGCTGCACAGTGCTTGCTCGAGTATGACGAGCCTTCTCATACAGCTTCAACCGTTCCGGTATCTCCTCGCGGGTCACATCGCGGGACAGCATGACAGCTAGGGAAATACCATCCTCAATGGCCATCGCTCCTCCAGATGCACGGTAAGGCAAGAATGGGTGTGCTGCATCCCCGATGATTGCAAGCCGGTCATCAACCCATGTGGGAAGAGTTTCCATGTCCAACAAAGGCCACACCCTCAAGGTGTAAGGATCTGCCTTGGCTAGCATCTTGAGAACTTGGGGATTGAAATCCTTGAAAACTTCAAGAAGCGCCTCCTTGCTAGCTTCTTGATTCCAATCAGAGGATGTGTTGATGGTGCTCATTGTGTCAGGGTGGATGCAAACAAAGTTCAGCAACTCATTGTTGGCACAAGGGTAAATGACCACACGCTTTTCATCAGAATCCCACATGTCCACTGAACTGTACACCTCAGCAAGTGAACGGGTCTCGGGATCTTCTAGGGCATCTTGGCGCTTTATAAGGAAGCGGAATGCGTTCTTGCCAGAGCTGAAAGGCTTAATGTCCTTTGCGAAAGGCAATTTCGATCTTGCAAGGGAGTGGACACCGTCTGCTCCGATAAGGACATCACCCTTGAAAGTTCCCCCGTTTTCAAGAGTCACCGTGGCGTTCTTTGGGTCAATGTCTACAATCTTGCTCGATGTGTGCAGCTGAGCTGGTATACCCGGACCAGGAGCCTGAGAGGCAACTTTCAGAGCTTCGTGTAGGTGGGCTCGGTGGACCAGGGTCCATTTCTATCAAGCGTTATGACGATTGATTTCCAAGCAGGAGAAGTTTACTTACGTGTCTCCATTTGTCTGCATGCGCTTTGTTGTCGACTATACCCAGAGTCTTCCCACCAGGAGTGTATATGCGTAACTGGCAAGGTCAGAGGTGATCTTTCGGTTAAGAGCAAGCATGGCAGCGGGTACCTGCTCAGTTTCTACAGCCCCAAATTTGGTGCCGTCGATCCCCAATCTAAGCAACGCAGAGTTTGCATTAGGTGTAAGATGAATCGCTGCCCCGATTTCGTTTGCAAAGCGGGAGCGTTCAAACAACTGCGTCCAAGTTTTAGTCCAAACTTATTGTCCACACCCTGAAGTTCGGATGCAAGAGTAACTGACCTCAACACGGTGACCTTGTTGTCTGAGAGCGATGGCAGTGGCCAGGCCTCCAATACCAGCGCCGGCAATAAGAATGTGAAGGCCTCCTTGGGCTGTGCATGGGTCAATGCTCCCCATTGTTGCAGATAGGGCAGTGTATCACGTTTGGCTAAAGGTTGCAGACTGGGGACACACGGGTTATTTCGCCACTTAAGAGCGGAGTGTTGCCATGACATACTACACAATTATATCTTTCAAGACAACCCCATGATTTCTTTCACCCCCACAAATTGCCAGGATGAGTCATGTGTGTCCACCGTCAATGCCGGACGGATTTTGGGGTCTGGAGTCGTGATCTCAATCCTCGGCTCAACCACTTCGGCTCCACGTTCGGAGCGGATGCAAGGGAACCGTTGAAATGGCGCAAAACACCGTGAGGGGTAGATAACGAGGGCCTATTTATCACACCGAATTTGGGTTCTTTTGTTACACATCGTTTTTACTTCCTCGCCTATTGACCCTCTATTTTTCTTGGTGAGGTACAGTATCACCATCATGCCGAATCCCATCCGCGAAGACATCACTACCCGGGATGATACATCCTTCCCCTACATCCTCGAGCAAAATGTCACCATTGCTCTTAAGGATAAATCGGGTCTTGTCCGATGCAACGTCTACCGGCCCAAGGAGCTGGAAAAGGCCCCAGTGCTAGTCACTTACGGCCCCTACGGCAAAGATATTCCATACTCGGACTTCCATCCGAAGTCATACAGCGAAGTCAACCCTGAGCATCACTCTGCCCATTCAGCCTGGGAGACTCCCGATCCTGCCTTCTGGACTAAGCATGGCTATGCTGTTGTTCGGGCGGATGAGCGAGGCACTGGCCAATCTCGCGGAAAGCTGGACACCATGTCCCGTGAAACGAGCGAGGCTTTCTTTGATGTGGTCGAATGGGCAGCCGAACAGTCATGGTCCACTGGTAAAGTAGGACTGCTCGGAATTAGTTACTATGCTGGAAGTCAATGGAGAGTCAGTGCGCGGCAACCCAAGGGCCTGTCGTGTATTATCCCGTGGGAGGGCATGTCCGACTACTACCGTGATCGCTGTCGCCACGGAGGTATCCTTTCGAACGCTTTCATCAAATTCTGGTGGGACCGCCAGGTCGTCTCTAACCAGTACGGTCGGCCTGGTCGTGCTGCCCGTAACTGGGGTCCTGATACCATCGAGGGTGATCTTCCCGAGGAGGAATTGGAAGCGAACCGTCAGGACCAGACAATCGACAACGTCAACAACCGATTCCGCGATGATATATACTATGCTAGTAAGGAGTACACAATGTCCGACATTCAGGTGCCTCTTCTGTCCGTGGCCAATTGGGGTGGCATTTTGCTGCACTTGCGGGGTAATGTGGAGGGCTGGACCCAAGCAGGCAGCGAGTTGAAGTATCTGCGCTTCATCACCGGTCGCCATGACCTGCCTTTCTACTATTCGGAAGAAGTGGAAGTCCAGCGCAGCTTCTTAGACGCCTTTCTCAAGGGCGAGGATCGCGAGGGATGGTCCACTGGAACAGCCCCGAAGGTTGATCTGGTTCTCCGCAAAGGAGACGTCGGATTCAACAATTCTGAAGCAGAGAAGCAATTCCCTCGCCGTACTGAAAATGAATGGCCCATTGCGCGTACGCAATACACGCGATACTATCTGACCTCCAAGAAAGAGCTGGTAACCACAGCTCCGCAAGAGCGCCCGGTCAAAATCACTTACCCTGCTCTCGGAAATTTGGAGAACCCGCAGCTGGTGCAGTTCACCACTCCGCCATTTGAGAGCGAAACAGAAATCACCGGACACATTGTCGCGCATCTCAATGTGTCGATGAGCCCCCAGCCAGGCTCTCCCACTCCGCAAGATATCGACCTGTTCGTCACGCTGCGGTACATCTCGCCCGAGGGCAAGGAGGTGTTCTACACCGGCACAGCTGGAGACCCAGTGCCTCTCTGCAAGGGCTGGCAGCGTGTCAGTCTGCGCAAGACAGACCCCGAGCATCCTCGCCACCGTCCCTGGCTCCCTCATCGCAACTACTACTCCACGGACGTGCTCCCGGTTATCCCGGGCGAGGTCTACCCGGTCGATGTGGAGGTGTGGCCGACCAACGTCGTAGTCGAGAAGGGAGGAAAGATTATCCTTGAGGTCGCATCTGGCGATACACAAGGAAGTGGAATATTCCAGCACAATTCTCCTGTAGACCGGTAAGTTGATCCCAGCCTGTATTGAAGACTACGTTGCTGACAGAGCCAGATCCCCGGAGCGATTCCACGGACTCAACCATATCAACTTCGGCCACGGAGATAACTATGTCACTTTGCCGATTATTCCCCCGCGGGGCTGGCTGGAGGAACTCCGCAGGAAGTAGATCATAACTTAGATGGGATAATTAGAAATTGAATTTCATTCTGTAATGCCAGAGCCGAATAACCGATTGGAACCACCTTCTGAACTCCATCGGGATGTGGTCCCGATGCATCCTGATCCGTATACTATAGTATAGACACAGCATTATATAGCAAACAGCATCCCATCCTAAGCAGTATACCAACCTCAAACCAAACAAAGAACTCCTCATTACATTCCAATTTTCAGAACATCCTACACAACAAGCACCACCCATTTCCTCCCAAACCAACACCGCCAAAATGACCGTCACCAAAAACATCCGCCCCCTCTCCCGCTACATAACCACCCACGACCCCACCACAAACAAAGCCATCTTCTCCACCACCCTCTCAGAAACCATGCCAGTGCAACAAATCCAAGACTCCGCCAACGCCCAATTCTCCCTCGCCTACACCACCGACTCCTTCCCCGCAAACCTCACCGACGAGGCCGACATCCCCGCCTACGCCTCCTACCTGACCAACCCGCCCGGGATCACCATCTCCACGGGCTCGGTGTGTCGCATTGTGGATATGCCGCCGCATGCGCTGAGTCCGATGCATCGCACTGTCTCGGTGGATTATGGGGTTGTGTTGGAGGGGGAGGTTGAGCTTGTGCTGGATTCGGGGGAGACGAGGTTGTTGAAGAGAGGGGATGTCGCGGTCCAGAGGGGTACGAACCATGCTTGGAGGAATGTTACTCCTGATGGGGAGAATGGGGAGGGGAGCTGGGCCAGGATGTTGTATGTGTTGTTGCCCGCGAAGGGGTTGGGGGAGGGATTGAAGGAGAATTTGGGTGGGATTCAGGTTAGGGATAGTACTTAAGCTTCTTTTTTCTAGGGTTGTGGGGTGGAAGGGGGATGAGATGGTTGGAGGGTTCGTGGTTGATATAGGGTGTATTTAGAGTGCTGGATGGAATGGAAGGATGTCTATAGCTGTCATGCAGATACATAAGAGGATGAGATTCTAGAGACATTTGAGATCTGTGAGCGATACATTCCTCTTGGATGTTCAGGTTATTGAACTATTATAGTGTAGGATAAATGATGATATAGTGCTATAACGTTACTATTCATTTGGTACATTCGCTATAGGATTAAAAGGAAGTAGCTTGAAATTCGTAGCATATAAGTTATTTATATAGCAGATAACTAGTACAAACGGTTGATATATTGCAAAATAATGAGATCAGACATAAGCTATACTAAATCACCACTCTCCTCCAACTTTATAATGGAAGATCTTATCGTTAATCCTTCCCCCAGTAAAGCGCCAGAGACGCGCAACAGACTGCACATATATCAGAACTATCCAATTTGAAGATTGAGCATAGGTACTCACCGCATTCAACCACACCCCATGCAACATGGTTTGGATAAACATATACTCCACGGGACTCGTCCCAGCCGATCGCTCTTCGTAGCTCAAGTTCCGATCCACAGGTCGATATGAAGGGATACGTCTATAGTGCGAAGGCCAGTCCACAGGCTGGGATACAGGGACAGCATCACGAGGAACCCGGGGCTGAGGCTGGGTCTCTGAGCCGGTGTGGTGGATCTCGTAGTCGGAGAGGATGGAAAGCGTGCTGGCGTCAACAGCCCTAGATGTAGATGTAGTAGTTGTAGTTGTGGACGACATGATGGAAATAATATCTTGAGTGTGTAACAAGCACTTTCACAGACAACAACAGCAGGTTAGAACAGATGATGTTCCTCTTGACTAGCGGTGGATAGTGCACCGAACCGACCTGCATAACAAAAGGGATGTGCTGTTCATCCCATCCACCCCTTGCTTCCTCCACATCCCGAACGCCCAGACTCAACCCAACGCCTCCCTCCATCTTTCCCCCATATTTCCCCCGCACACTCTTCCACTGTCCGCATGATCGGATCACTAGCTGCGGCCATACTGCCGAGGAATAAGTTGTGTCCACATCGCGTGTTTGACGGTGTGACGTGATTGTCGGCTTAACCCCTGCTACTATATCCATCTAGATTCCAGACCTGGGTGTAACAGAGTGCCACCTAGCACGCTTACTACCAACGCACAATGGTCGCAACACAACCTTTCCAGCGCATTATCGCTGCTGAGATAGACGGTCGCTGTCTAAATATCAGATACCGTCAGAACCAGTTTCATCGCCTACAGTCCATTCTCGTACAGAATATCGAGCAGATCAAGGATGCGATCGCTGCCGATTCGGGAAACTCGTCGGAGGAAGTTCGCGCCGAAATCTGCCTTGCCTTGAAGGAGATTCGCACACATTATGCTTCGCTGGACTTGAAGAAAGACCTGGAGGAGGAGTATCGCGTTGCCAATGGCAAGGATAATTATGATGGGAAACGCGGTGTGGGGATTGTCTATATTGTTCCTTCTTCGCATACTATGTTTTTCTCTGTTGTTGCGGCGCTGAGTGCTGCCATTGCGGCCGGGAACTGTGTGATTCTTGAGGTGGGCTCAACACCACGAGTTATTTGGCTTAATGCTAACTTTAATAGTTGACGAAAACCACCATGGCCGTACCGGGTGTGCTCAAGAAGATCCTGCCTCAGACCCTGGACGCAGATACATTCGCTATCAGCGAGGAGAGACCAGACACTGCATTCCTTAACAAAACGCGTATCATTGCACAAAGTGACTCTATTCCTCCTTCTTCCAACAGCCTTTCTTCGCCCACTTCAGCCAGAACCGTCGCCATTGTCGACCGCACAGCCAACATCTCCGCTGCAGCGGATGCGCTGGTGTCCGCGCGATTCGCTTTTGGCGGTCGCTCCACTTACTCGCCTGACGTTGTACTCGTACAGGAGTTCGCCATGAAGGAGTTCGTGGAAGCCATTATCCAGCGATCGTCAAAGTACCTAGCTGGTCAGAATGGAGACGCTCGTCAGACGGCCGTTAATCCGCGACGATCGAGCTCGGGCGCTTCGTTGCTCGATGCGGCGTATAAAGACGCCAGTGCACGGGTGATTGTATCTGGATCTGAATGGGGTGTCGTTGAGGTGCACGACCGGTAAGCTCTATACCTCCATTCATGGAAGTAGCATGCTGACAGCCTAGAAAATCGTCTCTTCTGCAAAAGAAGGTATCCGAGAAAGTGCTCGTTCTGCATCCGGTGACTAGCCTGGACGATGCTATTGATTTTAGCACTTCGTATGCCTCCCACTTGCCCCGAAACCTCCACCCCCTTACTATGGAAAATCAGCTAACAAAAATCTAGCATGGGAAGCCTAGCAGCAACATACGCCTTCTCCGCCCCAGCAGCAGCCAAATACCTAACCCAATTCATCGACTCCTACACATCCTACATCAATCACGTCCCAGTCGACATGCTCAGTAAGCTCCCAACCCCCATTCCCAGCCCTCTACAGGAATGTCTAACAAGACCAGTCGGCCCCGCATACCCCATCAACCAACAACCCTCGCGCGAAACTCGCTACTCAGTACCATCCCTACAGGTCCCCCGACCCCAGTTCGTAACGGAGACCAACAACACCGCTCTGGTTCGAGACATAGTGAGCAGCTATGCATCCAAGTCCAACGACGCATTGCGCGAGGCGTTGGTGCCACTGCCCGCTATTGGGCAGCGCAGTGGCAAGGCAATTGGGTTCTTTGAGCAGGGGATTATCACTGGTGGAGTTATTACACTGTTTACGTTTGTGGCGAGTATCTCGACAATGGGGATTTATGGGTATGCAGCTGTGAGGAGGTGGAGGGGGTTATGAGTGGTGTTTTTCTTTATTTGGAGTAAATTGGTATGCATGTGAGTTATGTTGTTGTGATCTTGGGTCACATTTTGTACTTGTGAGATATGAGACTTGGTGTCAATATGTGTGAATACTGTTTGGAAGGAGATGGTATCCTGAATTATTGGCTAGTATGATAAGTCCATCTCGTCTTGCAATAGTTTAGCAGTGAGGTAGACCAAGACAATTGGTTGGTCAGGAATGAACATATTGTTCAGTATGTACAAAGCTTCGATGACCAAGCGTCTAATCACAATCTCATAATAATACAGTGACTATACTATAATTAAGCTAAGCATCAAGCAGCCACAAGCTTTTGTTCTGGCCACCTCCCAAAGGTAAACTGCAAATTAGCCATATTACACAACTCCCAAGTCTCCGCGCCCAAGACCCCGCAACAGCCCTCATCCTCTGCATCCCCCGCCGCCCCCGCCACAAAAGCCGCCGGTATGAAATGATCATCTGTACCGTGCGCGTCGCGAAATTGTGGATGCTTCATGAGCCTAGTTACCGCCCGCTGCAGCTGCAATCCCGATGTCTTCGTCATCACATCCTCCAGGGATTGCTTGAACTCCAGTGCCCATCCCTCCGGGGGAATCTCCTGGGCTAGGGAATTGCGATGTTTGACCATGGGTCCCCATCGATTGCGGTAGAGATTATGGACTGATCCTCCTGTGCCGATGAGGAGGTAGTTCTCCTTTCGGAGTTGGCGCAGCGTCTTTCCTATTTTCAGATGGTAGTGCGGATCGTATCGCGCGTTACTGGATATCACTGTTACCGGAGGGGGATTGCCCTCTGGGAACATCTTCTGGATAATGGTGAACACGTCTACTATCCAGTTGTAGTTGGGGTTGCCGGATACATTGAATCCCTCTGCTTGGAGGAGGTCGATGCATCGTTGTGCGGTGGCCAAGTCAGATGTCATTTGGTAGGCCTTGTAGTCGTTGCTCGGGACGATACCTACGGGGCTGATCTGGGGAGCGGGGTTCGTGGCCACTTCGATGCCGTCTCCTAGTGTTGCCCAGTGGGAGCTCTGGTTTGGTCATCATTGGGTGTTAGTGAGTTAGTGTCCGTGGGTGGATGTCATTTCCCCAATTTGGGTAGTGTAGAGTTGACGGGTGGATCCGCGTGTTGACGATTATAGGGATGGTAGAGGACGCACCAGCATCACGATTCCTCTCACATTGTGTGCACGTGCTTCATCGCCACATTTGCGCCAGTAGTTGGAGGATTCTGTCGTTTCGTATATCATCATCGGAGAGCCATGGGAGAACATGTGGACCGGGGTGAGGCCTAGCTAGCGGTGTGAGTGGATCTGCTATAGCTGCCGGGCTCGAGCTGCGTCCTGGCCAGCTGGGGTCCGGTCGGGGTTTTGCGGACATACGCGTTTTGTGCCATTCGGCTTCGGCTTTCATCATTTTTGTGGGGGTTATGGTACTTCCAACAATGGACTGGGAAGTAATTGGATCTGGACTAGTCTGGGCCTGTTGGTAGCTGGAGGAGATGGATCATCCAGGATGGAGACCCAGGAAGCGGCCTCGGTTAGGGTCCTCCACATCCCGAACACACTGTAAGGGTCCAAAGGTAATTGATAAGCCACCTCACTGGTCATCGCGAGGGTCCATCCCTTTTACTTACCCATCTGGCTGACCGGGAGACGTGTGCTCGTAAAACTCGTCTGCCTATACTAGCTGGTTGATCGCCGGTAGTATTCGGGTTGCATTCTTGCACATCCTGAATGATCCATATATGAGAAAAGAAACCCTGCAGCTCTTCTGCCGCTTAGTCATGGCGCCATCCAGGGCTGGAGCCAACTTTATGGCGCAGTCCGAGCAGCAGACTGGCCAGCCCCATCCTCGCCTCTCTGCGAAATACGTAGACCCTCTTCAATCCGGCTTAGTTCCCAGGGAAAGATAGCCTGAATAATGAACTAGTCCTCACTATCCCTCTGAATATCCCAATCATGGACCCCGTTCCCCGCATTTTGCCATCCCGAGCTTAACGCTTGGTGACTTCCCCACACTGTCCGTCATTCCAACTCACTTTCAGTCTACTTGACACTATTTCCTCTTTTTTTTTCACCTCATCATCCCTTTCATCTCATCTCTAGTTTCACCAATGTATCGCCTCCATCATGCTCGATAAGTCCTCTCCATCATTCCCAGCGCAATCCCCATCACGACCACTCCCTAAAGCGCGCGATGGATATTTTCAATGTGGGTTCTGCAAAAAACACTACAATCGGGCAGATCATCTAATTCGACACGTCCGGTCGCGTATGACACTGTCCTCATGCCCCCATAACTCTTTCTTCTAACTCCACGCGCAGATACCCGCGAGAAACCATATGTTTGCCACGTGTGTAACAAAGGCTTCGCCAGGCCGTACGTCCGTCCTCATCCGTCTCTGCCATCCCCTCTCTGGTTCTGACCGCTCCGCATCAGGGACCTGATGAAGCGACACGCTGCAGGTCATGACCATCCGCGAGATGGCAAGCGCAAACGCCCCCCATCCTATGCGAAGAGCGGTCGGGTCTCCCAGGCGTGCAAAGCATGCGCCACATCAAAGCTCAAATGCGACGAGGAAAAGCCTTGTCGGCGTTGTCGGGACAAAAAGCTTATTTGCGACTGGCACGACGCCGGATTTGATGAAATGACCCCGGGGTCTCCGATGCAAGGTTGGTTCATCTAGGAAAAGCCGGTATATCCGATAACTGACCGATTTAGGGTACGATGACCCTGATGGCCAAAGCCAGTATCCCGAGCCACCCCAACCGCAGACCGCGTTCTCACCAACAATACCGCCGATGGGCGACTACCCAGCCACTATCGATCATCCTTCATTTACGACCCCTGACTTTGCTGTAAACAACTATTTGCCTGACCCGCCTGACCCCGCTCCCGAAAATCCCCCGTCGACCAACTATGGCGGTAAGTTCCGCCTATATCATAATCGAAATGCAGCGTGTGCTAATCGAGCTTCGCCGAAGCAATATCACCCGCGTTTGATCATGAGAGTGGTATCTTTAGTGTCGATGGAACCTTCTTCCCCGAGTTCATTCCCGATGCTCTCATCCCATCCTTATCCCGTCCGAACGAATTAGATCCACTGAATGCCATGAACCCTGCGCCAGACTACCGCCATAACCTTCTCAATACCAACATGCAGTTTGATTTCGATCTGACTGAAGTCGACTTTGGCCTGATCGACTACTTCAATTCCCAGGGGCTATCACACCTTGCTCCACAGCCCCCGGATGCACCCAATGATCGGTCCGATGTGGACAGTAGGATCGCGCTTGGTGCCGAGGCCTACAAACGGTCATCGTTGTCGGCATGGAAACCGGCACAGCATGACCATGTCTTTGCTGACCAAGACAATCTATCAGTTCCAGTGGTTATGGATAGCCCAGGGTCCAGCATCAGAGGAGAGCGGCAGATCCTACCGGAGAGACTCGCCCCGGGTAGTCGCGATCTCATTTTCGGAATGGTCTTACAGACGAGCGAGAAAGCCATGATTCCACGGATAATAAAGTCATTCCCGAGCACTGAGCTGTTAGATGGTCTCATACAAGACTATTTTGCCTATCAGAGTCAGAAGCTGGATCCATTCATCCATGGTCCGACGTTCTACCCCAATGAACAGAGCTCCGGCATGCTAACAGCTCTTGCTGCTTCTGGTGCGGTCCGCTCGGCCATACCAACCATCCGTAAACTTGGCTACGCATTGATGGAAGTTGCACGCCTCCACATGTCGACTACGGTACATTTGCCTTAGATGGGCTCATTTGACACATGCTAATGTTAGGCAGTTCGAGTCAGATAACCGCATCACACGCCATCTTCGGCCTTCGCAGACATTCGCAGTCGTCATTGACATTGGTTTATGGAGCGGCAATGGTCGAAGGACGGAAATAGCGGAAAGCTTCCAACAACCACTGGTGACGGTCAGTTCACACCTACACTAGATATATGGCGTCGCTAACGATGGCTCAGATGCTTCGACGGGCATTACGTTTTCGCCGGACTATCTACACAACTATTGTGCCAAGCCCCGAGGACAACGAGGAAGAGCTGGAGAAGAAATGGCACGCTTGGATCGAGCAGGAATCTTTCAGAAGGTGACACCACCTTTCTCCGTTTTAGACTTCAACTGACACGTCCAGACTTGTCCATCATTTATTTTTACATGACGCGCAGTGTGCGATGATGCTGAATGTCAGTCCACTCATATCGTACGCTGAATTGGAGCTTCCACTTCCATCCATCCGCGCACTATGGGACGCCAAGTCAGCAGCAGCATGGAGGGATACCTACCTAGACCTTGGATTACTTTCAACCGAGCGACAGCCGTCTCTAGTCGAGGCCATGCGGGACATGTCCCGGTTACAAGGAGCTGTCGATATGCAGCTGGCCGGTTGCATCCTCCTCCATGGCTTTTCGGCTATGGTGAACGAGTACCACCGGTTTAGCTTTATTTCCAAGGGCAATTCCAAGCATTGGAATGCACTGGTGACCAACTCACGACACCAAGAACTAGCACAGGCGTTGCAGCACTTTCGCATGATCTGCTACGAATGGCCCAACTTTCCCATCCCCGAAGTCATCCTAATATACGAGATGATCTCAATGTTACTATACATGTCTTTAGAGGATCTACAGCTATTCGCCGGAAAGGAAGACAAGAGCGAAGCAAGACGAGTCTACCACAGTGCCCTCGAATGGATCAGCAGCATCGACTCACGAAGAGCTGTATGGCATGCCGGCCAAGTCATCCGGGCAGCCAAAGCCATTCCGGCGGGGTCCGTGACCGGCTTCCTAGCGGTGGGAGTGTACTACGCCAGCTTGGCCTTTTGGTCGTATAGCGTGGTGCTCAAAGCCAAGAACAATAAAATGGGGGGCTCGGAAAACCGCCCGTTAGGCCCTCCTCCTTCAACCATCCGCGGCCCAACAGTCTACCTCGACGGAGACGAGACCACCGATGTGCAGAAATTCATCTCTCTCGGATGTGGCAGCCCGGCATTGCAGGGTAGACAAGGCCCTGCGTTTGTCTCTGATCCCGGACAGACCATGGACCTCACTCAGGAGCTTCTGCGGGCAGATGCTTCTCAGGATGCGCTTCCCCCGTTGGTTCAGGGGTTGTGCCAGTTGATGAATGGTCTTGGTAATGCTGCTAGATCTGGTACCTGAGAAGATTAGGTGTAATTATGATGAATATGATGTACGATTGGCGCGGCTTGGTGGTGTGTTAGCTTTCAGTAGTATTAGTGGTCTACTCGATCGGATATATCCCAGTATATGACATTTGACATATCCAGGGCCGTTATTAGTCCCTACCTCAAGCACGAGGCTGGAATCAACGATCAGGAAGAAGAGAGGAACTTGGTGATTGAAGTTCTACTACGATCGGCTTCTCTAGCAAACTGTCACATGAGAGGACCTAATGATCGTCAGAGATATCATTAGGTGATACTAAATAGAGACTCGTTTAAATTTGACCAGATACTACTTACTAGTAGTAGTAGTAGTATTCTATGATCGCAAGCTATAGGTTTAAACAACAGCCATGCTACTGTATTTAGTAGTATATATGTATTCGTTCATACTCCGCAACGGATAAGATTTATATAATGGGAGACACCGTCTTGACACAAATTTGGACTTTCATTGAATGAAGTTCGTGTGATTATAAAGCTATATATATATAATATTTATCTAGTGGTTAGGCACTACAGTAAAGGTATAAGCCATGATCTAATCGTATAGTGGTAGTAGGTAGATGTTAAACCGAATTGTGCGCGCCCGCTTCAATTGCACGCACACACAAAATGAGTAGCAAATTCGTATGGAAGGTTATTGAGGGAAAATCAATCATGACTAGACAAGAGAACTAGACAAGAGAAGAGATGGAGAAAAACAAAAAGAGAAATTCAAACTCCGATAGGGGGAATCGAACCCCCGGCTGCCGTGTGAGAGACGGCGATGTTAGCCACTACACCATATCGGATGTTGTTGAAAATCACAATAATATTATGTTTTATAGGCAAGGCTGTAATTGAGAGGCCGATTTGGGGATCTGTTGGTGGTATTAGGACCCAGATATAGCTATCATCTTCATATCGAAGAATAACAAATTTTAGTGCGATAGGGGGGAAAGATCAAAGCAGATGTGCGTTTTCTTTTTTTTTGGACGAAAGGTCCCTGCAGGGAGTGCGTCGCGCTAATGCAGTGAGCACGTGGGGTGGTAGGGATCTTCGCGGGTTTTTCTTTTACCAATTTCTACTAGTGGTGCGTACAAAATAGTCTACTGTTAGTTGCTATGGGAAGATGTGCCATAGAATTACTACTAGCATTTACTGTATGCGATCGTGTCTATGATGTGTGATGTAGTAGTGATGTGGATGGTACAGTTTATATATATTTTACCGGGGTCAAAAGTATTTCGCGGCTTGTACCAGGAACTTGTAAATACTCAATCGGGCCTTGGGTGATTGCGACAAATACTTAGTACAGCTAGTCGGTTCTTGGACTCAATTAAAGCATATTACATATCCTCATTGAATGCTAACTCATTATTCATCATATTGTACATCAGTCATGGGGTATAAAGCGAAGTATACAGATACATAGGTCAGTGGACCAGTCAACGCAAGCCTAGCGGAATACAGCACTATTCTCTGGCTTCCGAGCGTAGACAACGGTC